AATCTCAACATTTGGACATATGTAAGTTTGGAAAAAAAATATTTTATAATTGTAAATGAGTCAAGCTCAAGTCAAGCCTTTAATTTTTTTTATAAATAAGCCAAGTCAAGCTTAGAATTTAGCTCGTATTAAGTTAATGAGTCAAGCCAAGCTCAAAATATGTTTCATAAGCTTGACTCGTTTAAGCTAAAGTTTGGCACGACTCAGCTCAACTCATTTACACCCCTAATTGTGAGCCTCCGCCTATTTTATTTTGTTCTATTTCTGTTTTTTAGTAGTTTGAATTTAGGTTCATTAAAAAACATTGTTGCTAAGGGTTATTTAAGCTTATTTACATTTTCGTAAACTGAGTAACTTGTAACAAAAACAGATATGGTAAAAAGAATATAATAAATATTGTTGGATATAGCACACATTATATGAACCAGATCAAATTCTGTGTCTGCATTTTTTCCCCTTACTTTGCAACTGTTTGTTTGTATTTGTGTTTGGTTCCAACGCAACAAAAACGGCTTTAAATCACATTTCAAAGTAAAAAATGAATGAAAAATTGTAACCGTATCAAACACAAAATAACATACACTTCTATAAAAAGCTCTAAAAAAAATTATTTTTTTCTGTATAATAAAAAAAATCATTGTTTCTACGGTAGATAACTTATCTACATTGAGCCCAAAACGACGTCGTTTTGAGGCGGAAATCAAGTTATTTTTGTAATTATAATTTGTTTCAGAGTTATAATAGCTTTTTTATTATAATTTTTTGATTTTTCAACTTAAAACGACGTCGTTTTAGCGGCGAATGTAGATAATTTATCTACATTCACCTTAGAAACATTAAACCCTAAAAAAAAAAATCAAAACTTTATTCAAACGAAAAATAGACAGAAATCAGCAACTTAAACGCTAAAATGCATTGCTCATTTGCAGAGCTCATTTGCAGAATTCCTTTAGATCCAGAAGCTGTTTACAATACGGTGAAGAATCAAGACGATAGCAGGGAGATTAAGGTGGCTCTCACATTTACTCCTCAGGTAAATTCATATAAGTTCATAATTCTATTAGCATTGGAATCATCTTCACATCTTGGGTATTAGAGGTCGTTCTTAAAAGAAAAAATTTAAAAATGAATTAAATTCTCTTTAATTAAGTAGTTGAGATGTTCCATTCATATAACTAGAAGGAGATAAAATTACTGGTCACCACTTGACACTAAGAATCTTCCCCCGAAAAACTGTTCCAAATTAAGGTAGACACTAGCTTTTATTATTTTCTCTGATGTGACTCTTCTTTAAGAAAATGACGAGTGCTGTAGTTAAATCTTAATTTTCATAATTCTTCATGTTGTTTAATTTTCATACCTAGCTCTTTTGGATTTTAATGCTTTTAACTGTTGGTTCTCTTTCTCAATTTTGCCAACAACATCTTGCCTAGTGTATCTTAGAACGAAATGAAGAAAAATTATAAGTAGTGTTCAAGGTTAAAATCCGTTGTTATTCTTACATTTCAGATAATTTTTTTTTAATCCTTTTCCTCTTTAATCCTCTCTTTCTTTCTTTTCCCTTTTTGTCTTTTATCTTATTTTTCTTCTCCCCAATTTTTTTTTTTAATCTCCTATTATTTATCATTGGATTCATCTACCACTGAACCTAATTAACTTAAGTTAAAGATACTGTTGATATTAATATTGATGTTGATGTTAATTTGCCGACCAGGTCTATGGTGAAGAGAACCATCGTGAGTGGAAGGATGCAATTATTGAACCCTTAAACCTTTTGGGTCACAGAGTGGCTTTTAAAAAAAAAAATTACCCTTTTTGGTGATAGAAAGTTCTTTATTTTTTTCAAAAAAATATTTCTGCACTTATTGCAGATAAGTTATCTGCATTTACTCTCAAAACGACATCGTTTTGGTATTAAAACATTAAAAAATTATAATTAGAGTAAACACCATTTTTAGTTCCTGGCAATATCTACGAAGTCCTTTTCAGTCCTTGGCAATAAAAAAAGGACCAAATTGGTCCCTGAAAGTACAAGAAAAGGGTCACTCTACATATTTGGGAGTTGACATAAGGACTAACATGACCCTTTTTTTGTAATTTCAGAGACCAATTTGGTCCTTTTTTATTGTCAGGGACTAAAAAGAACTTCGTAGATATTGACAGGGACTAAAAAGGGTGTTTACTCTTATAATTATAAAGACTATAATAACCCTTAAATAAATTAAAATTACAAAAACAATATGATTTCCGCTCAAAAATGACATCATATTAGACTTACTGCAAATAACTTATCTACCGAAAAAAAACGAACCCTGTTTTTTTTAAGTAAAATCTCAGATTCAATTCAACTGCTGTGAATGGAAAGAATGAGAATTGGATTTTTTTTCATATGTTTATAATATGATATTTTATGTAAAAAACTATAATTATTCATTGACATGTTAATAATATAATTTTAGGGTTTGCTTTTTCTACGGTCAATGTAGATAACTTATCTACAGTGAACTCAAAACAATGTCGTTTTGAGACGAAAATCAAGACATTTTTGTAATTATAATTTATTCTAGGGTTATAATAGTCTTTTGCATTATAATTTTTTAATTTCTCAACCCAAAACGACGTCGTTTTAGAAACATTAAAGTCATAATGTTATTAAGAAAGTTCATAAAATACATAAAAACAATTGGGCATTTCAATTTAGAAAGTGTATTGGATTAGGATTTTAAAATATTTTTTGAGATAAAAAATCTTATAGATTTTAAAAGGCTATGTATAATTGGAAGGACTTAGACTTTTTAAAAGACTTTTTTAACAATCAAGATTTCATAAGATTGAATTTTAATAGAATTTATAAGTTCTGAAAGGACAATATGGATTTGTAAGATTTTAAAAAAAATATATGAATTTTTAACAAACATTCAAAATTACAAGAGTTAATAAAAAAATAAAGAAATGCAATGATATTAATAAAAAAAAAAAAGCAAAACCTAATATAATTTTCTCAATCAATAAAATATAATATAATTTTTAACAAACATTCAAAATTATTTAGCAACAACTCTCCACATATCTAAACCTATACTAGTCCTCCATGTATTAGCATTTTTTCGTTTCTGCTTTTGGGTTTGACCAATGGGTTGAAAATTATCTTATTCATTTGATATCAGAGCTATGTATATATGATTATAAGACCCAAAAAAAATTTATTTATTAAAATAATTCTAAATTTTCATATAGAATATTAAAATAATTCTAAATTTGCATATAAAATCCAAAGCTCATAATAAATTTTCGTTTGGAATTTTTAGCAATTGATCTTGAAAACCTTGGATTTTTGTTCTATGTGATGAGAGTTTTCTAACCATATATCATATACATATTTTCATTGAGTATTCTAAGAAAATTTCAAATCTGAATTTCTGGGTTTTATTACATGAAAGTTTAGAAAATTTCTCAAATTATTTTCGATCGATACATTGAAACCTTGGAGCTTTTGAAAAACAAGTTTTTAGTTATCTATTGACACAAAATTTGTTTGAAATCATTTCCTATAATGAAGGAATTTCGTTCATGAATGTACTGTTACGAAATATAGGGTTTATATTATGAAAGTTCAATCTTTCTTTAAATTGATATTGTTTTATTGATGTAAAACGAAAATTGTTTGAAGATTTTAGTTTCTCTGTTGTTTTCCCACAGTCTTATGTTATTTTTAATACAAAAGTCATACATTTTTGTGCCAAGAAAAATCGCCACCCATAGCTTAAAAAATTATTTTTTTAAACTTCCAAAAGCTCTCAAAAATCTGCTATTTTTGAAATAGATTATATTACAATCTTGTTGGTTTGTTGTTTCTGGGTTGTTTTGTGATGAAAATCGCTCAAGAATATGTTGTTTTTGAGCTTTGACGAAGCTCTCATGGCGGGACTCGATTTCGAGCAGATCAAACCGTCAAAGGAAGAAGAAAACACTGCAAAAGAGAAATCTCAAGAAATCCTAGGGGTTAGGTGAGATTATGAGAGAGACATCTTATTTATATTTCTTACTAAAAAGTCTCTCGAAATCTACAGTAATAGAAAATTCATTAAAATTGTTAGATTTTTGAATATCACATGATTTTTTTTCTTTATTTAAAATCTTGATTGAATACTAACGGATTTGGAATGACTCTCAAATAATCCTTTAAAATCCTAATCGAATACCACGTGATTTTTTTTTCAATCCTTTAAAATTCTAATGGAATACCAATAGATTTTTTTGTCTAAAAATAATTCATTGAAATCATTTGAGATCCCAATCCAATTGCCATTGATTTACACTTGAATCGCATGAATAGAGACATATTAATCAAAAAACTTAAAATCTAAGACAAGTGATATCTATATATGTGTGGATAGTAATAACATTATTCTTATTTGAAAATGTAGGAGTAAAGCTTTTTTTTTACGTCAATAGTGTAAGAAAAGAAAAAATAAATTATAACTTAAAATCTTTAAAAAATTTATGAATTAGGCTTGGGTCTAGAAAATATTTAAATAAAAAAATTGAATTAAGATGAAGTAAAATTTGAAACATTGCTGCAATGACGGTGAATTAAAGGTTACGTTGGTGAATTAAGTATGAATTAATTAGGGGAGGTAAGTGTAACGCATGTGGAAGGATTAGCATATATACACGAATGACAGTGCATTAGTATTTTGTCTTTTTTATAACTTTTTGATATTAAAAAAAAAATTATATTTATAACGTATTTTTGTTTAGAATTTTTTATAAATATATTTTAATCGTTGATTTTCGTCGATCAATAATTATTATTTTCATAAATAAATTTATTAATTAATGAATAATTTATAATAAATAATAATTATTAATTAACAAAAATTAACGATTAAAATACCATTACATATCGTAAATGAAAAGTAAGATGAGAGTGTGGTTTCTTTGGAAACATTATAATAGAAAAAGTTGGATACAGGCAAATCCAGCTCCAATTGGTACTGTACTGGTTCAGGCACTTTCTGGTACAGTTACTTCCACCTTTTACTTCAACTTTATAAAAAAAACAACGTAGAATATCATAGAGAAGTCAAATATTCTTGTCCATATTGAATTTGTCCAAACTCCAACCCCAAAACCTAAGATGCCTCGTGGGACGCTTGAAGTTGTTTTGGTCAGTGCCAAAGGCCTTGAGGACAATGATTTTCTCTGTAAGTACTATGTACTATCCTTAACAGATTGCAAAATCATACATTGTATATGTCAATAATTTTCTCTTTTCCATTGAAATCTCTGCATGAAACTGTGGATCAGAGAGTTTGATTTTCAATTTTTTGATACATCAAAATTCTCTCACTTTAAGATTGTTTGATCTGGATTTTTGTTGTTTTAAATCCCTGTCTTTTTACAGATTAAATTAGAGAAAGTTCAGCTTAAGCTGGTCTGATCTAAATATTTTTGTTGTTCATGAAGTTTTGTTAATTGTGTCAATCTTATTTGTATATTAAACTTGAGATCAATTCTGTTGACTTTTTCTTTAATCTGATTAATGGGTATTAATATCCCAAAGGCATTGCAATTAACTGGTTACAATCATAAAATGTTTATAATTTGTCAACATCATCCTCTGAAGGATCGATTTTGTTCTTAATGTGTAGCTAGCGTAGATCCTTATGTGATTCTTACTTACCGGGCACAGGAGCACAAGAGCACTGTGCAAGAAGGTGCATTTCTTGCCAACTCAATTATATATTTGCTTGTTTTTACCATTTTCTCTCTTGGTGGCTTGATTACTGTGTTATGAATACCAGGTGCTGGATCTAACCCACAATGGAATGAGAGCTTTCTTTTCACTATTTCTGACAGTGCTTCTGAACTTAATCTAAGGATAATGGATAAAGACAAGTTTAGTAAAGATGATTTTCTTGGCGAGGCAACGTGAGTTAAATTCTTCTCTAGACTTTCACATTTTGCTTTTCCTTTCAAATTTCATTGGAGATAGGATGGAATTCAAGAGAGGAGAGTAATAGTATAAATTCTGAATTTCTGATGGACTAAAAAATGTTGCAATTTTCTTACCAGTTAATTGCAGTGACTTGTCTTCTATTAACTGGTTTTCATTTTGCATTTATTTTAATATGTCATGAGCAATTGTTGCTGGTACAAAAAAAGGTAGTCAGAATGGGGCATTTGCACTTTTGGCTTACAAAATATGCATTCATTTCTATATGCAGAATTCCTTTGGATGCAGTGTTAGAAGAGGGTACCTTTCCTGAGACTGCTTACAATGTTGTGAAGGACCAAGAATTTTGTGGGGAGATTAAGGTGGCTCTCACTTTTACTCCTGAGGTAATGCTAGAATCTATTTTTCTATTATTTTTCTTCATGCTTTGATGCCTACCATTCTCATTATTCAAAACACACTATTAACTTCTGGTTGCAGAGAGTTGCTGACCACCAGGGTTACAATGTAGAGGGGGATAGCTATGGTCACAATGCAGAGGGGGAGAGCTATGGTGGATGGAGAGAATCAAGTAGGGAATTTTAAAGTGAAGGAAGGATTTACATATTTTCCCAGGCCAAGAATTACTTTTAGAACCAAAAACATGCAGTTTTGGGAATTTCAATTACTGTGTTTTCTGGTGTGATATCTTATGGTGTTGTGCTGCTATGTTGCTTTCCTTCATTTTGATTTAAACTGAATTGTGGTTAACATATTGTCCTTTATGCACCAAACCTTTTATTTATGAGCAGTGTTATTTTATTTTGTTGGAAGTTTTATTATTATTATTATTAAGAATATTGTTGGATTTCGCCTACATGTGGTAAAGGTCTCGTAAAGTGAGTCAAGTTATTTGGTCAGAGTGACATGTTTCTCTTATTTTTAATAATAAAAGAAAAATCTTTAATATCAGTTTTAGATAAAGAAAAAGTGTAACCGTACTCACAATTGTTTTGATTATATAAAAAAAAAAAAACAATTATTTTTTCACGCTGTGGATATTATAAAAGTCAGTATCGAATGGTATGCAAATATTTTAACAAAGTAGTGAGTCGGTTGACAATTTTTTTTTTTCTTTATACAATAAAATGATATCAAGACTCCCCAGCATGTAAGAATAAGTGTGAACATTGTTTGTATATAGTTTTATCCTTATATTTTTACAAAGATGTTATTTTTCATATTTGAATCCATAACCTCTTACCTTAACACTGGTCTAAATCTCGTCTCAAGTAACACCTCTTATATAACAAACAAACAAACAAAAAAAAATTACACCTTTTAAATAGAAGATAAGGAGAACTCAAGATACGTTGGTCAATTTTCTTTTTTATCAATTACATTTCCTCACCCAAAGTAAAAGTTGCAAAAGCATGGCTATAGTCATATATATTTGCAAGGTCAAAAAGTCTCATCTTGGCTATACTATCATTTAGATTAAGACTTCAACCAAAACTTCAACTCAACTATGATAATTGCCAAGTTTGATTTCATTCTTTCTTTTATGTAACACTTTTCCAAGAATGAGAGAAATTGCTGAAAGCCGGGCTAACACTTGGCCAATTTCAATTCAGCACAATGATAGAAAGTCACATGTCAACGACAAACACAAATGACATGTTGTATATAAAGATCCATCCCAGAAAATGAATGTATATATAAGCACTGTTATGGCCTTCTTTTTATTTGAAAAACAAAATCAAAGGAAAATAGAGTATATTAAATAAAGCCTCTGGCTGAATCATCAGCTACTAGGTCATCTATTTCTTTATTTAGGATCTGATAATGATTCACTTGAAACTCAGTATCACTGGGATGAGAAATCATCCGAGACATCACCCTCTGACTCCGACACATAATCCTGATCTTTCTCCTTGTCAGTGATTTCAACTGAGACTGATGATTTAGCATCAATACCTGAAAGAAACATAAATGGAATCATATATCCAGCTGACTACAATTAAGCACTAAAGGATAGAAGCAGGCCATTATGCAGCTCAAATGTTTCATATTTTGAAAGTCACTTCTAATTAAGTAACCCTGTGATTTTCCCTCCGATTCTTTGCTAGATGTATTAGTAAAAAACATTTATAGATATGGACAAAGTTGTATGTGCCCATGGTCATAGACGTGACTTGTACTAAAAGTTTTGTTCAGAAATTTACTCTGGTTAACAGTTATTGAAGCTTTCACCACAATTGATAAGCCAGATGATGTCTTCCTGGATTCGGTAGAGGCAGAGGCAGTGGCAGTGATAGTATTAGTTTTATCACTCTCGATACTCCTTTTCCTTTTAAGTGATTTAAAACTCTGCAATAAAAAAGAAAAAGAAAAAGAAAGAAACATAAGATGGATGTGGGAAGTTAGTGGATGATAGCTCAGCTCAAAACCAAATATAAATAGTAGAAACTTCTAAGAAAAAGGGAGCTAACATGAACAGAGGAACAAATCTTCACAAAGGGGGGGTTAGAAATTTAAATGGCAATCAACCACCCAAGTTGAAAAACAATGAATTTAGTATCTATTGTAAAGTAAGGAAATTATTTGCAAACTCCAACTGAAAAAGTAAGAATAGAAATAGAAAATGTAGCTGTCATATGCATATCAAGGACTCCAAATCATCAATGTCTAGAATTCAAAGAATCTGCGGAGCTGTTTTCTAAGGTAAGGTGAAAGCAATTGAAAAGATCCAACTCATTTATAGCCAAACAACATTACCAAAGAATCTAATTTTTAAGTTTATGATACCTATGTCTTGGCCATCTCAGCCATACAAGGTAACATATAATAGCAATGCCACCTTGAGGGGTTCATGAAACACATGATGCAGATATCTGGCCCACGTTCAGCCAATGACATGCACTGGAGCAAGAGATCCATAGTATTGGGAAGCAAGATTGTATATTAACAGATTACAGAAAAATTACTTTCACGTCAAACTTCAGAGTATTCATATGTTAAATTAGAGTGAGAATATTCTAATTACCAAAAATTATCACTACTAACTTACTACCCATCACATCACCATTGGATCAAAGAGAGAGAATGTTAAAAAGTGTTTGAAGAGAGAGAAAATGTTAATTTAATGGTGATTAGATAAATAGTAAGTTGGTAGTGGAAAATTTTGGTAGTGAGAATATCTTTCCTCGTTAAATTAATTATACAGGGAAAAAAAAGTAGAAATAACAAAATCTTCCCATTTGAATCATGTCATAGTAGCATAAAGTTTTAATGAACAAAAACCTTTTCAGCCTACCAGAATTACATTCACTTATAGCCAATGCTTGGAAACCAATGGTTAAGATGGGTGAAATCAGAAGTAAACTTTCTTATACAACAAAATCAAGGACTCGAAACAATACAGTTGTCTATATAAATTACTTCATTTTCCAAATCTCAGAAAAACAACAGTTCCAGAGTTCTTTTCCAGGAATAGAACCAAACAGTAATCAGTTATAATTGAACTGGATATCAAAATTAACATAGCAAGCCATCCATGAGATGGGGTAACAGAAAACTGAAAAGCATGGCCGTGATGAGAAAACACAATTGAAAGATTGGTTGTTGAGATATATAGAGTCCCACATTGGTTGTATGTGCAACTAATGTGAAGTTTATAAGGTCTTGGGTACTCCCACCCTAAGAGCTAGCTTTTGAAGTGGTGTATCCTAAGGTTCTTTACATGGTATCAGAGTCTCGCCGCCCCCCACTTTCTCTTGGGGCGTTTCTTAACACAGGTAGGCTGGGCCTGTTGCATTGTCCACTCTTCAAGCCCAATGAGCTCTCGTATGAGGGGGCGTGTTGAGATATATAGAGTCCCACATTGGTTGTATGTGCAACTAATGTGGAGTTTATAATGTCTTGGGCACTCCCACCCTTAGAGCTAGCTTTTGGGGTGGTGTATCCTAAAGTTCTTTACATTGGTGAATGAAAAGTAGAACTTATGGTTATCAAATTATTTGAAAACTTAATATTAGTTTCAGAAGATTGGCTAATAGGAACTCTTCTTTTGATATAATAACTTTTTTTTAAATAAAAAAGAAAACATATAATTCATTAAGGATGGATATAACAAAGGGATAAGATTTTCTACCTACCTTTTTTTCTTACCTATATTATCTACTCGTCTTCAATACCATTGGATCAAAATCTCACTATTTGTATCCCCTCTTGAGATTCTGATCCAATTGTATTGAAGATAAGTAGGTAAGGTAGGCAAGAAAAAAAGGTAGGTAGAATATACATCCCTATGACAAATTAAATTTTGTCCTAACTGCTTCAGTTGTTAACCAGAAATCCAAAGTAGTGAAACATGCCATTTATTTGCCCAGAAAATAATTATGAAGCAATTGAACTAAGGCAAGTTTCCCCTGCAGATAGCCACAACATATTGTATGATATCCAACCAATAATTGAGCTCAATTGTGCCACAGTAAATGCCCTTATACAGTGAAGGAGAGAGAAACAAAATAAATGATTAACATAATTAAAATTGGTAAGTCCCACTTTTTGTTTCTTTCTTTCACAACAGCATCTATGAAGTGACTGCAGGAGAGCCAAATACCAAAGAATTAATCACTCTCTTGGACTCAATCAGTACAGTCAGCACATTGAAACTTTATATATATTCAACAAGATCACGTGACACTTCCATGGAGCAACCTTAAAAGATTACATGTCCACAATGCAAGAAACATTCACAAAAATAGATGGGAAATCCCAGGCCTGATAAGAACAATACATGTAGTTAATGATTTAGGAAGAATGAAATTCACAAAATTAATGATATCACATCTTTTATATATGCACCATCCATATTCAATTTGTGAAGTACGACCATATATGTTACTAATTAAGTTAAAGCCACATCAATCACAAAGACCAAACTCACTGGTGAGTAGATGCCAACCCCTGCGTTCTTAGCATACTCCACATAGCGCATGAGATCAGAATAGGTAAAGAAGTGCTGCCCAGTACCTGGACAATAATAGAACTACAAGAAGAAAATTCAACAGTCACTCAATGTAGACATTCATAGAAAAAATAAAATATATTGGTTGACATTATTCAGAAATTCATTTCCATTCGTTCTACCTGGATCACTAATATTAATCTGCTTTCTATGTCAGCAATATAAAGCAGAATTGCTTTTGCATATGTTTCCACTTCGATAATTTCTTTTATTTTTGGGAGGGGGAATAAAAAATTTGTTTTTGGTAAACAATAAAAATATATTATTAGAAAAGAAGGAGAGAGAGTAATCTGATCAGAGGATAAGAAATCCACCAAAAAGGGAAAAAAATAAAATAAAAGAAAACAGTGAGCCAGAGTGGATCAAGAATTCAACAAAGTTGTTCAGTTTCTTCGCATATCAATACAGAAATGCTCAGCCAAGAGTAGAGCATCAAAGAAAAGCCATAAACACAATCATATCCCATTTTCAATGTAAGAGCAAAGACACCCTAAAAAAAACCATCCAACCAAATACACCAGAGAATTGCCAACACTGCACACATAGAAACTTAGTTTCTGTATTTCTGCCAAAATCTTTAAAATTTATAATGAGAAACTACTCCAAAGTGAAAGGACACATCCAGTGTTAGCCAAGAGCCCCAAACAGGTTATTCAAAAAAAATTAGCAGCTTCACAATGCAAAAATAAGTGGGCTACTATTTCTGAACTAGAACTGCACGTAACACACATATCAAGAGAAAAAAGCTATCCAAGGTCTATGAATCTGCAACATGTCATTTGTCTTCACCTGTGTGTTAAGTACTGCAGTCCAAAAGGAAACTTGTTCATAAAGTTTGGAAGTCCAAATAGGTTTCAAGTTTCAACTTTGATAATGAAGAGAACTGATAAGTCTTAACAAAAGAACTTTTATGTATTTATTTAAAAAAATCTTAACAAAAGAATTATAAGATCAACACAGTTTCCCCCTCGTTAGCCTCCAAGTCTTCAATAACAACACAGCAACTACTATCAAAGTAGGATGAAGCCCAAAATCTTGAGAAACTGTCTCTAACATTTTTTAAAAGGGCTTAACTATATAAATACTCTGTAATGTTAAAAAAAAATGTAGATACATGTAAATAAATAAATAAAAAATTTGTGAGGACATGGAGAGCTCCAAATAGATAAACAATATGCATGAAAATATCATACACCAACAATTAGATAGGTATTTTCTTTGTCACCCTTATTATATGTTTTTCTAATTCCTTGCATTTCTTGTGACTCCATATCAAATCCCGATATCCTTATTTTGTGCAACTTTTTTTTTAATATCAAGCAGTTTATTTTAGCACATTTCTTTTGTTGGGACAAATTTCAAAGTCATCATTTGGGAGGAGCCTGATTCTTCCTGTCCAATTGCAGTAGTAAGAGGCCAATTTGCATCACTTTAAGTTCTTACTTGTTTTGAATGGAAAGCCCAAATAAATTGATGTGATCAAATGAATGCATCTTGCAGTAAATCTTGTTCCAACTCCTCGTTCATGCCAAACCACAGACAACCTTCATACTAATCTATTTTCATGAAAGTGATGCCATTTTGTAAACCACAGCTAAGGTTATGCTTTCATGGTTGCCTGATGAAATATATTAGGAAATCCAAATGACAACATGGCAGGTAGTTCAGGCTGCTTCAGTTTTACACAAGCTAATGTTTATTGATATGATCTACTTTACCCCAGGATTTATGGAAAACCCAAGGTTAGGAAGAGAAAGAATGACTACAAGGAGCTGTTCCCTCAGGACTTTGAGAGCTTGGTCTCTCCCACACACTCAATGATTTCCACTCAATAATCTCTCCTCGCAGCCTGTTTCTCCTTAAATCCTACAACCCTTTAGAGAAATATCCTCCAATATCAGGAAATCCTAACTGTTGTATCTAACCATATCCGTTAATATCAAGTAACTCTGCCCAGTGCCTACTATTTCCAACAATATCAATTAATACCAAGTAGCTCTATCTATTATATCCAACAATTTCAATTAACTCTAGCTCCTTTTACAAGAGGGCCTGACCCATCTAAATCATTGGACCCATCCTTATTTCTCCTCCCATACACCTCCCTAATTGGGGGCCAGCTACTAACAAAGTCATCTCAGAAAATTCTGACATTCCTCTCCAATCATAAGCATCAGATAATTGCATGCATTGGACACCATCAAAGTGCCTTGTTCTGTCTACTACTACCAAGGCATTTGAAATGGCACAGGAGAAAGTGCTAGAACCTCATTTGACACATCCAACATTTACCAAAAAACCAAAGAAACTACATTACAAATATCTAGCTTTCAGATCCTTCACTAGTAAATTTTGTTTTCTATATCTTATTTCAGATCCTTCACTATTAACAATTTACCCTTTTATACACCACCTCTAAGGTTAAGAATTTTTTTCTGGACATAAAATCTTCATAGGATTACAATTAATGATATGTTGCAGGTGTGTTGGCCTCATAAGGCTTTATCCCCATATGCTAGTTTTATGTGTAACAGCAATTCAACTTTGGCCAATCACTTTATTTTTATTGTGATGTTGCTAGGTAAGAGAGGGAAAACCTTCTTGGTTTATTTAATGGGCACATATTCGTTGTGTCTTATGAGATTTTTGAAACGGAGTGCAAGGACCGATGATGCTTGCTTCTTTTGCAGGCATGGGGAGTATTTTTTGTTTGAGGGAATTGTTAAAATTTTAACCTCTGGATTTTGCTTATCAATTCTTTAAGGAGAGTTCTGCATGAGATATAAGGGATTAAAGATTTATTTTAGGCTAATGTCTATTTCTCTTTTCATTGAATTCCTTTGTTGTTTGGAGGATTCCTTATCCTCCTGTCTTGCAATTTTCTTCCCTTAGTAAATTCATTTTTAGTAACCAAAAAAAAAGGTTAACTAGTCTCAGAATCACAGAAACAGATAACATAATCAATAGGAGGGAGATCATTTCGTGGTCAGCAAACTTGCAAACAAATCATTTGCATTAACTGTGTTCAGTACTGAAGTCTAAATGAAAGATTTCAACAGAGAGGTGGATTAGCAATAAGAAAGTTGTCCCTGTTTTGAAAACAAGGACCTAGAAATGATTCCATAGGAGAACACCCCAAAGGAGTCTAAGGTCCAAAGGGGGGGGGGGGGGGGGGGGGACAGAGTCAAGCAAGCCAAGAAGAGATGCCATAAAGGTGTTGAATGAAGAAAAATTTAAATGCCAGGAGCCGTTAGAATTCAGAATAAATAATTCCAACTACGTTTTATTTCCATATAGATCCTTCGCTGCACTAAGACAATACTAGAGCCAAATTTAAGCTTCAATGCCAGATGGAGCCATGCTTAGGAGAGTTTGATTTATAGAAATCAAGGACCATCTGCAGATAACAACGGCCTTCACAGTTCACACAAGAAGAAAAGGATTTCTCAAATCTGTTTGTTCAAGTCTCCACTCTTGACTTTCATCTGTGTTGCTGTTGTTTCTTCTAGATTTATATTTAAAATTACTTTGACAAATCAAACATCACAGAAAGAAAGATCCACAATTGTAAATGATAAAGCTAACAAAGAAAGTTTGGAGCCTGTAATTAAAAAGCCTTCCTAGTTTGGTTAAAATTCTAGTTATGCTCTGCTAACAAGTAAATACCATGCCAATTTACCATTTTCTATTTCCCCAAATCTAAACAAGCGACACAACTACAGTCTACAATATACATCCATTTTTAGTTAGCATGTATGGTCTAGGTTAGTTAACGCCCATGCAACTACAATGAAATGCACATTATGGAAATTCATCACAATAGTCAAACATGCACTTCATATATATTAAGGATTATTATACTAATTGGTTCATGTATGTTTTTGAATTATGAACAAAGGTTAAACACTGATTTAAAAATTCAACTTTATCCCAAAACAAGCATTGATGTAGTTTTATCTACCCACATGTAATAAGTTCACATTAATTATTGGATGTAGTTTAAAAAGGTCATTAGTCATTTGAACCACAGCATGTGTGATTAAAGGCAGACACAAGATTAAGAACCTTTCATGCAGATCTATTCACTACAAAATATGGAACCAGGAGTTAAACTATCTAACATCATGAATTACTGGAATGTTGATGTTATTTAGTTACTGGCATGGAGAAATAGAAAGTTATTCCATTTCCATGATGAGAATAATAAATCAACGTAACATCAACAAAACTTTTATCCCAAACTAGTTGGGGTTGGTGGATGATGACACTAATAAATAATATTGTCACTAATGTAACATGCTTGGAGTCTGTTAGAGACACCATTTAATATTGAGACTGAAGAAAGACATTAAAATTGTTATTTGTATTTTACGTGATGCAGTTGGGTGTTTATGTCCTACAAAATTTTATTGATAAAATTTATTCAAAGTTGTGTTACAAATGATATTGGTTGTGTTACAAATAGTATCTTTAACATCGTCTACAAGGAAGTATTTCAAATATTACTGTAGTTGATTTGGTTCTGTTTAGACACATTGGTTATATGGTAAGCAATAAATCTGACTCATAGATATGGGGGTAGTCATCAGCACTTAAAGTTCTTTCAGTAATTGTTTGACAATAATCAAGACTTAAACATCGGCAGTAATTGAGAGCTCCTTTCATCCTGAAAAAAATTACTTTGCCACTTATAAAGTGTTTGATTATTATTTGTAACTTACGTGATACAATTAGGTGTTTCTGTCCTGCAAAATTTTATTTATAAAATTTATTTAAAAGTTGCATTAACTTTTATGAGACAGAAAAACCAATATATTTAAAAGTTGTATTACACTAGTAACTTTAAATAATAGCTTCATGTCTGCTTATTTTTTAATTTAGACCATCATCATCATCTCAAATATAATGACTTTTTATACACAAAGTTTGTTGCCTGAGTAACTTTCATATATTGTTTGTAATAGGAAGAGGTAATATGCTGCTCAATAGAAGGAAAACAGGTGCCTCACACAGGAAAATTGGAAAACAGAGAAAGATCCTCTAAACCAAAAAAGTATATTTAACAGTTGAAGTATAAAATTGTCTGCATCAAAAAACCCACCAAAAACCATTAGGGGCTTATCTTGACAGGGATATAGCTGTTACGGAGACAGAATGGCAGACTACATCACAGGGGGTATATGGGAACCTAGAACAATTTAGTTAGTATCAAACTGCAAGTTATTACCAAAGCATTTGCATTCCCTGCCTCTAATCAATATTAGACCTGTAAAGAACCAATTCAATCTAAAAGCTTAAGCTTTGTTGGGTGAGGCTATATTAATAATTTTATATATCTCAACACGCCCCCTCACACGAGAGCCCACTGGGCTTGAAGGGTGGACGATGCACCGGCCCGCCTACCTGTGCGAAGAAAGAAATTCCACTAGAAAGAAAGTGGGGGGCGGTGAGGATCGAACCCGGTACACCGAGGCTCTGATACCATGTAAAGAACAAATTCAACCTAAAAGCTTAAGCTGTTAGGTGAGGCTACATTAATGATTTTATATATCTCAACACCACCAAAGTTCAAAGCATACGGCAATGAAATCATTTTGAACTTTGTTATTGAAAAAAGGCGCTATACAAACAGTTGCCAACCACCTAGTTTCATTCTAGTATCTATGATTACATTTACAAGACAATACCAACAGAAGAAATCTAATATGTTTTTTGCTTTGCTACATAGAATTTTTTATTTTTCGAAATGGAAAAAAAAAATTGCTCATGCTATACTAATCCAGATCTATTAAGTATTTTCAATTGAAACAAGAGGTAATAAGAATTTTTAGCATTTAATTAGTAGATATGATATTAACTAGTCAATTCAAAAAGCAAAATAAAATCAACAACGCAATCTTTTGACAAAATGAAATCAATCGCTCTTTAAAAGACAATTCGCCACATGATCAACTTTAATGAAAGTCAAAATCTTGATTGCCCTTACTAGAATTCAATAATTTCACCCAAAAAAAATAACAGAGAATGTAGAGGAGATTAATTAGTAGATTTTGAGAATTTTTAGCATTTAATTAGTAGATATGATATTAACTAGTCAATTCAAAAAGAAAAACAAAATCAGCAACACAATCTTTTCACAAAATGAAATCAATTGAATCAATCGAATCAATCGCCCTTTAAAAGACAATTCGCCACATGATCAACTTTAATGAAAGTCAAAATCTTGATTGCCCTTACTAGATTCAATAATTTCACCCCAAAAAAAATATCAGAGAATGTAAATGAGATTTTTAAGTACCGATAATTTGGATCCATCCTTTTGCACTTCAGTTTCTAAAGTCCATCCTGTAGGAATCGGGCGTGCATCCCTCTTAGGAGCCATATAAACAACAGACTTTCTCCCCGAAATAAAATTAGGAAAGATCTCTTCCTTCTTCCTTTTTGCTCGAGAAGCTTTTTCAACCTAGGTTTGTGACAAGGACACAGCAGTAAAAGGGTAAAGACTGCAACAAAATAGATGCCTCTAAAACCACGTGCTTCCATTCTCTCCACGTGCAGTCGGCCAGTCATTAAAGGTCAATTGATGCCCAAATGGTACTTTTTCCTTGCCATTTCTGGAAGACAATCAGATGCATTGAACAAAACCAACTATCATTAGCCGGAAGGTTTATAGGCATGGATTGATGCCAATTCAATTCAAAACATTACCAAAGTATGTCATATTACCATTTCTGTGAACAATTCACTTATAGTCCCACTCACCAAGAACAAGTGAGACATATATCCTCTTGAAATCAATGATACAAAAGGAAAAACATTGTAGCAATGCATAAAAATCAAAGGGTAAAAAAAAATATTAAATAGCAAGCAAAGACAAATGAACCCCACATGACAATAATGTCAACAAAGGTCCTTTTTGGCAACTTGGAGCTATAAAGCTCCCACTCTGCAAATTTCTTATTGATTGATCAAAATAAAAAAGTTTAGAATGATGAAGTAGCAAATTGTCAAGGAAATCAAATGCCTTGATCAAGCATATAACCATAACTGAAGATGTTTTGCCCCTAACCAAGGGGCCATCAAATATTGAAAAGAAATTTCAACAAAATTCATAGGACATTTATCTTTAAGGATCATGACACAACAAACAATTAAAAAAGCTACCTTTAGAGAGAAAGGGAAATGCTGGATATGAATGTCATCTCATTTCCGGTGAGACCATAATGTAGATGTTGTATAGTTCATTCCTCTCTGGCAAATTTTCCAGCAATCTTCTCTTGTGATGCTACATGTAACACTAACAACGGATGATCAAATTAATTCAAATAAAATCTCGAAGGCTACACAAGAAAATATGTATTAATCTAGAACCTCATTAAGTAAGAATGCAGTTCCTGTTCCATACATTTTATGCAATCAAACAATAGTATTGGTTAGCGTTTTAAAAAATTGTGGTCAAAACAAAAGAAGATAAAAAGTAGGATATTATTTCTACTTTTTTCATGCCTACTTTATCTATTTCTCTCATATTAGATCACAATCTCAACTAACAATGGGAGGGGAGAGAAAGAGTGAAGTTCAGTTGAGATTTTGATCTAACAGGAGAGAAGTAGGTAAAGTAGGCATGAAAAAAGGTAGGCATAATAACTTATCAATGTAAACCTATTTTACTTTTGGATTAAGTAGATCAAAGTGAATTCCACTTTAGTTATGCAATAAGCAGCGATTTTGTGTTATTGGGAGAGGGTATAGAACCCTCATAGGCCAGTTAACAAAGACATATATCCCTCTCACTTGATGATAATTACCCACTAATGAAACAGAGTTTTCCCCTCAAAATATGTACTTGATGATAGGTAATTGAAAGTACATAACTTAATAATGAAAAGATTAACCAGAGTAGAGTGTTCACCCCTAGTTTTTTCTCAGTATTATCCAAATTGAACACAGAAATCCAAACCCACTCACTCCTTCAACCAATAATACACATGCTGCCAAGCCCCAACAACCAACCACACATGAATGTCATGCTTATCCTAGCTAGTGTAAGAACCAACAAGTTTAATGAATATGAATAGTTGTTAAAATACTATGCAACAAATGCATGCATAACATACCAGTGGCAACAAACATCTTCAGCCCTTTGTGTTTTCCAAAAGTTGTTGTTGTTGTTGTTGTTGTTGTAACGATGCACTCACCGGTTCAATAACAGAAAAACCCTGCAAGACGAGTCGAACGACACTATCGCAGAGTGCTTCAGCGTAAGCAAAAGCATTATTCATTATCAATTTCCAAACTCGCATTTTACACCAACTAGAAAATGAATGATTTATTTATGATGCAAAATTGAAAGCTTTAATCACTCATTGAAAAAAAAAAAAAAAAAAAAAGAAGAAAAATCAGGGTCGCTTCTAATAGAAAAATTCACGAAAACTCAAAAGTTTAGATTAAGAGTTTTTTTATGAGAAATATGAGAAACAATCAGCTACAGAACTACTTATATTAGTTAGTTAATTTCTAAAATTAAAGTCTCTTTTTTTTAAAAAAAAAAAACTATTCCTAGTCCCTCAGAAATTTTCATTTAGCTGAAATCGTGGTCCCTCACAAATTCAAGAAATCAAAAGGACTAATATGGGTTCATTTTAAATTTCTTAGAATCACGAATAGCCTTTTTATTTGCTACGGATTAAAGCGGACATTATGAAATTTGCTAAGGACAAAAAAAATATTTTCTTTTAAGAATAACTCGCGCGCACCTCAAATAATTTACACTGATATTCTTGTAAATAACCTTAAATAATTGATATAATTTAATATTCAAACTAGTAAATGTATATATATATATGGGGCAGGATCATTTTACACCGGTGTAAGAATAATAAGTCTTACACCAAATCTTAACCATTGATTTTCTGCATCTAACGGTTAAGATTTATTAGGTCTCACTCATTCATTAATTTTTAATTCCAAATAAATCTCAACCGTTGGATGCACAGAAATCAACGGTTAAGATTTAGTGTAAGATTTATTATTCTTACACCGGTGTAAGTTGATCCTATCCCTATATATATATATATATATATATATATATATATTTGAGGTGTCAAATAACCTCAGATAATGATGTCACGTATTTACAAATCAGAGTTATTGATTTTTTTTTTATCTAAAGGCTATCAGATGAGGTGTCAAAGGATCCTACCTCATTTGATCTTTTTTGATACCTCATCTGATAGCCGCTAGATCAAAAAGGATTAATGGTATCACATGCTTACAAATCAGAGTCGTTGATATTTTTTTATCTAACGGCTATCAGATGAGGTATCAAATTTCAAATTTGACACTGGTGTCAAAGGATCATACCTATATATGGGAAAAAAAAAACATTTTTACAGTCACTTTAGATAAGGTTATCTACAGTTACCCAAAAACTACGTTGTTTTGATTAATGAAGGGTGTTTCTATAATTTTGGTGAATTAATGAAGGGTGTTTCAGTAAAATGCATATGATAAAAAAAAATTACAGAAACACCCTTCATTAATCAAAATGACGTAATTTTTGAGATAGTTGCAGATAACATTCTCTAAAGTGGCTGTAGAAATATTTACCCCTATATATATAGGGATAGGATCCTTTGACACCTCGTCTGAGAGCTATTAGATCAAAAAAGATCAATGGTATCACATGCTTACAAATCAGAGTCGTTGATCTTTTTTGATCTAACGGCTCTCAGATAAGGTGTCAAACTTGAAATTTGATACAGGTGTCAAAAGATCCTACCTTATATAGGGGTAGGGGTTTACATTTCTGCAGTTGTTGTATGTGCAGCAATCAAATACTTGACATATATATACTTGAAAGCATTAAATGCGGGGAATCATAACCATACAAAGGATGAAAGCATTAAATGTGAGAAATCATAACCATACACCTGTCGTTGTTGTACGTAAAGCGGCTGCAAAAAATAATTTTACCATATATATATATATATATATATATATATATATATATATATATATATTTTTTTTTTTTTTTTTGATAAAGTTTAGATTGTCATTTTTATCCATGCAGAATTTGGTTGTTATATATTTTTTTTAATGTCAATTCTAAATTTTTAGTCGAATTTTAGGACCAATAGGTTAAAAAAAATTATAAGGATTACCTAAGATCAATATCTTAATGTGTTTGGAAATTATATGTCACTTGTGTTAAAACTGGGAGGGTTTTACTGTCTTGTGAAAAATGGGAAATGAATATATCATGCTGTAGGAAATTGGTTGTGTCGTGTCATGGTTGTGGACCTCACTACTTTTTTTTTTTTTTTTTTTTTAAAAGTGATGGGGTCCACATTGAATGTGTCTATAGTATGACACAACTAATTTCCTACAACATGATACGTGTATTTCCCATGAAAAATACCTTTGATTTATATAAAAAAAAGTATGAATTCATTCTCATTCCAACCGTACCCAAAATTGATATATACAATTTTAGGAAAAGATATTTATCATTTAAAATGACACAACTTATATTTTTTCACTCTCATAAAAATGTGAGACCCACACCACACCTTTATATTTTTTTGTTCACTCTCTCTTTCTTCCTTTATCTATCTCTTTCTCTCACTTGAAATGACACAACATTACCTCCTTTAGAATAATACACATTTTTTTCCATAATTTTAACAGGTGGGACATCGTTTTTGGTCATTTTCGTAAGTTGCTTGTCATCAAATGAATCGTGGGAAACACTGCTAGTGATAGGAAGCACACACAAAAAACGAAACAACAAAAACAGAAAATGTTTAGTGTTACAATACAACGATAAAGGAATCAAAACTCAAAGCAAAGAAGGACTCAGAGAGAGAGAGAGAGAGAGAGAGATGAGTATGAAGAAGGTTTTGGTTGTGGGAGGCACAGGGTACTTGGGTCAGCATCTGCTACAAGCCTATGCTGATACCAATGGCAATGGAAGTGACAACGCTTACGATCTGGCATTCACGCACCACTCAACTCCTCCTCCACAGCCTTTGTTGGATGCCATTTCTTCCTCCCTTGCTTTCTATGTTGATTTGAAAACCGGCAATGGATTTGAAGCCATTTCCAACGCATTTGGTCAGGTTCTGTTCTTCTCCCTGCTCCACCCTCCTAACTTGAATTTTGTTTTGTTCATGTCTTCAATTCAATTGGGTGAAAAAAATTAATGATTTTGATTAATGGGTCGTTTTCTGAGCTTCTTTTTGGGATTAAAGTTTGGAACTTTTTTTTTATATTGCTAGTTGATTGTTTCGTTTTCACCAACAGTTGAAGTGAAATGTCAAACTCTTTAACATGCTTTTATGGTTTTTATTATTGCGATTTATGGAGTCTCAAATGGGAAAATGTTGTTGAGTTTGCTCGAGTTGGGATAGCTTTGGCTGTTTCATATGAATCACTGAATTAATTGTTTATTGCTTATTCATAGCAATGATTTAAATAGTCTAGTATATGTGATGTATGTTGCTCACATTCCATACAAAATGTAAAAGGGCTACTAGCATAAGATGTCAAATGCATGTCCAATTTATCTGCTAATACTTAGTGGATCTTACATGAACAAATCTTCAGAATCATTATAAATGGATTTAGATTATAACTTTGCAACTGGTTTTAGGCCAATTTGGATAACTACGTCTTTTCTTGTTTGACACTGAGGCTCTGTGGTTTTCTCCATGATTAGCACTAATTTTTTATCATCCTTGAAATTGAGATTTATTAATAATTTCAAAATACTGCATGCTTTTGAACTGATGGAATTTATTTTTATATAAAAGGTTTGCTTCTCCATTTCCTCTCAACTTGGTAGCCCCTCATTAATCATCCTTCTTGCCATATACCAGTGTTGAGTATGATCAAATTTGTCTGACAACATGGATCTTGGAGAGACAGAGAGAGAAAGCATGTTTCATGTAATGAATTTTAAAATATTCATAATTTCAATAGGCGCTGATGTCTTACAAGAGTTTGAGCATTTCATCCATTAAATGTATCTTGAGGGTGTTGCTGTCTCCAAATAGAAAATCATCACAAGAAAACATCTGGATAAAGGATCACATGTTACCATTTCAAAGTTTATAAAACAGTTTTATGATTTGTATTATTATCGGACTGACAACTCTGTTGCTTTTCTAATGGCAGCCTGATATAGTTGTTAATTGTGCTGCCATCTCAGTGCCTCGTGCTTGTGAAATTGATCCTGCTGCTGCGCATGCTATTAACGTGCCATCATCTCTTGTAAAATGGTTGCAAAGTTTTAAACAGAGCAGTACTCTTCTCATCCATCTCTCCACAGATCAAGGTAACCCAACCTTATCAGGATAGATGAAGGTGAAGGACTGGATAATTTATTTATTTTTTAGCAAAAAGAAGGAAGATATTTTTATAACCTTTTTGAGCTCTGCTCACTTCCCTCTTTATATCTTTCTCTATGTGTAATGCTTGTCATTCTTAACTAAAAGATTTTATCATCATTGTCAAGTGTTGGAAATTTTGACCGGGAATAACATGGCCGTGCATAATTATCTCGCCTTTATCTATTTTTCCCTATATCAAAGAGAACAAATCATCTCTGGTGTAGAATTTTCTTTCTTGATTAATATGTTGTGTTTGTTATCCATATCCAAGTCCATTTACAGTTTGATTTTAGCTAAATTGTAATCCATGTTTCTTCTCATCAGTTTATGAAGGGGAGAAGTCCTTTTATAAGGAAGAAGACATTGCTGTTCCAGTTAATGTATATGGAAAAACTAAACTGGCAGCAGAGCAGTTCATTTCAGAAAAATGCTCTAACTTTGCAATTTTGAGAAGCAGTATTATCTACGGGCCACAAACAGTCTCACCTGTTCCAAAATCTCTTCCTATTCAGGTGCATGTGCAGTATGTAGACTTTGTATTATACACTTCATTGGCAAGCTAATACTTCCAGCATTTAGATTGATGAAACTTGAGAGTCTGATGCTTGTAAATTTTTCTACTTCTTGCATGATAAACATGACATTTCTTTCTTAAAAAGATGGTGGTAATGCTTTGCTCTCATTTTTTCAATCTTCAATATTAAAAAATAACTTTCCACCATTTGTGGTTTCTTGTATATTGTTCCCTTGGTGCCTTTCTTTTTCCTCTTTGAAAGAGTGCTTATGATTTCAGATTTTTGCTTCAACCTTGTTGCAAAGATTATAATTTTCCATTAGTACTTATTAGCTGCTTCTAATTCTTCTAGGGCATGTTCTTGGGAAAGGTGTCTGTCTATGGGGGAATTTATAATTACTTGATATTTGATTTAACTATCTAACTGTTGCAGTGGATTGATGGCGCCCTTGCTAAAAGAGAAAAAATGGACTTCTTTCATGATGAGTTCCGTTGTCCAATTTATGTTAAGGATCTCGTAACTATCATACTAGCTTTAACAAGCCAATGGATATCAGGTATAGGACTTTATACCTAAGCTTACATATAGGTTAGACATATGGTATGCTGCAAAAAAAATTAATAAGAATGATTTGGCATTTGAGACTGATTTTCAATGACAAGATTAATTCTTATCTAGAAAGTTGTTTATATACTATAACTGAATTCCAGTTATGTATGATATTTTCTTGTGTATAATTTTAGCATTACCTAACAATTGACCCCTCTTGTTCTTGTAATTATGATTTCCTTTGGCTTTTCCAGATTTTTGTAAAAGGCTCGTCTTCTACTTTCTTGTATTGTTTAAACAACTTTAAGCTGAGCCATCTCAAATTTGTATTGTGAATTCTGGTTTTCTGATTCTTGTTACAGAGGGCAAGCAAATGCAATTGTTACTTAATGTTGGGGGAACTGATAGGGTATCACGCGTTCAAATGGCCGAGGCTGTTGCACAATTTAGAGGGTATGACACCTCATTAATCAAACCAGTGTCTGCCTCATCGGTATGTATTGCGCTTCATTTTATCTCAAAATTTTGTTATACAAAATCAATAACATGCTTTCTTTGTTTATCTGCATAATCTCCATGTATATATGAAAATATTAACCTCTAATGCTAATCCTTAATCAAAGATTCGAGACCCTTCGTGTCCTCATTCCATTTCATGGCCACCAAAGTTTCTTATTGATCTTTTGATGGCCATTTGAGCACTATTTAGCCTGACATTATTTATCTTCTTCTCTTGCTCTGATTGTGCTTTCTTAAGATGTATTTAAGCTTTTCTTATTTTTCAGGTTGACCGAGGTGTGAAGTCCCCAGCTGATATATCTATGGATATCACTAGATTGGTTCAAACCCTAAGATTTCATCCTGTTTCATTCAAAGATGGTGTGAGATTAACGCTTACAACTGGAGATAAACAATGAGGCAACAAGGATGTCGAAAAAGGCTTCCTCATTGGCATTTGAGTGTTGTTGCCTAGCCTTAAAAGTAAAATGTGCTCCCAATAGCTCTTATTACATTTTACATTGTTGTAAAATAAGTCTAGGTAAATTCTTGAAAAGGTCAAGTCAAGCCAATTTGTTGGACCTTATGGGAATTAGAAAATGATAAGTAATTAATCAAGTCACAAAACCAATCACCAATTGTCATTCATCACTTTCCGCTTAGTCCAACAAGTTGGTTTGGCTTTCCATCTCTGTCATTCTCCCAATAAATTTTGAAATGTTCATTTTATAAAATAAAATAAAGGTCAGTGTACTGACGTATTGTTTTCATTTATTTTTGGATGTAACAAAAAAATGGAATTAAGTTGTTAAATGTATGTTCAATCATGGCAAGGTAATTGCGTTATTATTATAGAAATTGCTTTACAATTGCTGGATTTAAGAAAGCACTGTGTCAACCCTCAAATGTACTCTGTAAGACTGCTAATTATGCTTGGAAATATGTTACTTAGCTTTTGACTGCTTGATTCTCTGGAGATGTAAAAAAATAAAATTAAAAAAACTAGAAGTTGATGGGGATGCATTCTAACAATAGAATAGCCAGGGAAGAGTATATACTTTGTCCTCGCTTGTGTTGTGTCACACATGAGAATGTGGCCCAATGAACTAACTTTGTGGTCAGGATTAAATGAGAGGAAGCTTTCTGATAATTTTTTCTTTACATGGAAGATAGGGCTATCCAACAACCTTTGTGGTCAGAATTAGACTAGGATTCTGTTCTTTCCATATCTCACTCTCTCCTCTCATTAATGCTGTCTGTGGCCAGTTTACTAAACAGTTAAGAATGTCTACTTTTGTTGCTCTTCATAGCCTTCAAGGCTCTCTTCTTCGATCCCAGTTCCTAGGCCAAGATAGCCTTACTCATCTCTACCCTCGCAGCAAGCCATCCACCATTCACAGCATACCAACCTACAATGTAGTACAACCATGTGCCAAATTTGACATGGTGCAAATCTTGGGAGGCAGAGGACTCTGCAATGGAGAAGAAGGCCTTCAGCAAGAGCTGAAAAAGCAAGTTGGTGTTGATGAGAAGCCACCAACATCAGCAGAAAGTGACAAAGAGCAAGAAAACTTAGGTGGCTCAACACAGTCTTTAGAAAGTGTTGTAGAAGATGGTTTTGATAAAGAATTGATGGGGTTAACTGGGGGGTTTCCAGGGGGTGAGAAGGGTTTGATAAAATTCATTGAGGAAAACCCACCTCCCATTTCAGGTGCAGGAAACAAAAGCCTGAACCTTTCACTGTCAAAGAAGCCAAAACCACCAGAACTTCCTTTGTTACTGCCAGGAATGATTGCCATTGTGAAGAACCCAAATAACCCTTTTTACATGTACTGTGGTATTGTCCAAAGAATCACAGATGGAAAAGCTGGGGTTCTCTTTGAAGGAGGGGTTTGGGATAGGTTGGTCACATTCAGGGTGGAAGAATTGGAGCGCAGAGAAAAAGGCCCTCCCATGAAGAACCCCAAGTCTTGTGTGCTTGAACCATTTCTTGAACAGAAATCATAGTTCAGCTCTTTGTTGCAATTTGCAAAGAATGTTCACTTTTGTTATCACGTATATATATCAGCCTTTCTGACAATTAAAGCTTAGATGGGATTGCTATAGCTGCTTTGATATTCTCTTTTGCTGAGTGATGTTATGAGGGTTAACCAGAAATGAACAAAGGTTGAATTGGTACGAATGAAAATAATACTTCTTTGTGCTGAACCTGTAAATTTATGTAAGGTTATGTTGAAAAAATAAATAAATTTGATGGTGTATATAATTCAGTGTGATTTTTATTGTTATATTTTTAGAGAGAGCTGTTCATGGGCATTGTCCTTTTGTAGAAAGAATCGTAGAACTACTATGGTTGGAAAAAGATTGATCATGGTTTTCTATTTCAGTCCCGTGCTTACACATTATTGATAAATGACAATTAAAATCAGCGTATTGTTCTTAAGTAACAATGCACTAATTAAGAATTGTAGGTTAGCATTACTTGTTCGAGACAAAGCTTGGGTCCCACACACTTCTCAAAATGGAGATTATGGCATGTGGGGTAGCTCCTAAAGCCTTAAATTTGGCCTTAGCCTACAAAGCCTACTCTGTAGTTGAGATTTTTGAACCTCAAATTCTCGGAGTCCTATGATTTAGTGGGATAAATTGGAGCTTATCCACTGGCCAAAATTTATCCTTTATTCAAATGTCCAATATTTTACATAAAATAAAAAATGCACGTAAAAATGTATAAATTAAAAATTTATAAATATAAAACAAACTATAAATATAATATAATAATAAAAATATACTTTATATGTAAAATTCTATAGAATATTATATCTTAACGATTCAATCAGAATTTTTTATTTATTTATTTTAGTTGTTCTTTTAAACTATTTTAAGTGAAAGATATTTTTTTCCTATTTATAATTTTATTTTATTCTTTCTTATATGATATTTGCAGTAAAAGTAACTATAGAGTTCAATTATATATAAATTTAATACTTAAAAATACACCTATATCAAAATTTAAATAATTTAGAAGAGATAAACTTGTATTAAAATATGAAATTACATTCTTCGAATCATTCCGATTTGAATTCATCAATCTTGAATGTTTAAAAAAAGGGATTTACATTTAGAATAGGAGCTTGCACACCCCAGGAGGCAGAGGCTTGGGGCATATTAAAAGGATTGGAATATTGCTGGACCTGGTCAATAGGAGCCAGGAGATTAATAGTAGAGAGTGATAATATCTCCAATCTGAACTATATTCTTAACCCCCATCCAAACAGCCCAGATCCGCAGCTAATTGGTAGGGTGAAAAGTTGGTTGCCAAAGAACTGGATGGTTACCTTATCTCACGGATATAGGGAGGCAAACAAGTGCGCTCATCAACCTATATCAAATGAGGAAGGCTTTGTTGATTATAATGCAGCTCCAGAAGGCTTAACTTCTCTTCTAGAAGAGGATATAAAAGCTGTCACTAGCAATCACTATAGATAGCAGATTGCCAGTTTAAATTTTATAGGGCCTGTTTGATAAGTGTTCTGTAAAACAGTTTTTTGTTTTTAAAAACAAAAAAACTTGCTTGATACCAACTGTTTTGTAAAAAAAAAATTTGAAAACAGTTTTTCAATTTTAGTTTTTAAAACAGAAATTAGAGAACACCTTCGAGGTGTTTTGATTTTAGTTTTTTAGCAGAGTGTATTAGATTAGGATTTTAAAAGACTTTTTCGAGATAAAAAATCCAACAGATTTTAAAAGACATTTTAGAATTGGAGAGATTTTATAGACTTTTTTTACAATCAAGATTTCGTAGAATTAGATTTTAAAGAATTTTAATAGAATTCATAAGATCTGAAAGGACAATATGGATTTATAATATTTTAAAAAACTATATGAATTTTTAACAAATATTCAAAATTACAAGAGTCAATAAAAACAAATAACAAAGAAATGCAATGATATTAATAAAAAAAAAGTAAACTTAACAACGGGTTGAAAATTATCTCAAAAATTACTAATATAATCTAATATAATTTTCTTAATGAGTTTGCGTTTGATTTGCGAAAATAATAATCATTGATTGACAGAAATCAACGGTTAAGATATGATTGTAAAATGTTGTAAACAAAAATAAGTTGTAAGTATAATATTCCCCATAAAAAATAACAAAGAAATGCAATAAAATTAATAAAAAAAGTAAAACTTAATATAATTTTCTCAATCAGTAAAACATAATATAATTTTTAACAAACATTCAAAATTACTAAACAACAGCTTTTCACATATCTAATGGGTTGAAAATTATCTTCTACATTTGGTATCAAAGTTATGCATATATGATTATAAGACTCAATTTTTTTAATTATAAAAATAATTCTAAATTTGCATATAGAACCTAAAGTTCATGATAAAATTTTGTTTGTAAATTTTTGCAATTGATCTTGAAAACTTTGGGGTTTTTATTTTACGTGATTAGAGTTTTCTAAACATATATCATATGCAAATTTTCATTGAATATTCAAAATTTTGAATCTGAAATTTTGGGTTTAATTACATGAAAGTTTAGAAAAAAATTCAAATTTTTTTCAGTCGATACATTGAAACCTTAAATTGCTTTGGGGCTTTTGAGAAACAAGTTTTTAGTTATCTATTGACACAAAAATTGTTTGAAATTGTTTCCTATAGTGAAGGAATTTCGTTCATGAATGTATTGTTATGAAATATAGGGTTCATATTATGAAAGTTTCAATCTTTCTTTAAATTGATATTGTTTTATTCATGTAAAACAGAAATTGGTTTGAGAGTTTTAGTTCCCCTATTATTTTTTCACTATTTTATATTTAATACAAAAATAACACTTTTTGTGCCAAGAAAAACCGCGACTCATAGCTTGAAAAAACACTTTTAAAACTTTCAAAATTTCTCAAAAAATGGCTCAAAAATATGTTATTTTTGAGATAGATTATATTAAAATCTCGTTGGTTTGTTGTTTCTAGGTTGTTTTGTGATGAAAATGCCTAAAAAATATGCTCTCTTTTTTTAGTTTTGATGAAGCTCCCATGGCGGAACCCAATTTCGAGCAGTCAACCTGCCAAAGGAAGAAGAAAACACTGCAACAGAAGAATCTCAAGAAATCCTAGGGGTTAGGGTGAGATTGTGAGAGAGTCATCCTATTTATATTTTTCACTAAAAAGTCTCACGAAATCCACACCAATAGAAAATCCATTAAAATCGTTGGATTTTTGAATACCACGAGATTGTGATTCCATTGTTTAAAATCCTGATTGAATACCAACGGATTTGGACGGATTCTAAAATAATCCTTTAAAATCCTAATCGAATACCACGTGACTTTTTTTCAATCCGTTAAAATCCTAATCGAATACCAACGGATTTTTTTGTTCAAAAACAATCCATTAAAATTCTTCGAAATCCCAATCCAATACATCCCCTTTCCCCTTAGGGTCACTGGCGGAGGAGTTTGGGTCATTTCAACTTCATGTGGATCGAAGCTTGGAGGATATTCAAACTCGTTTCAATGATCTTCAGTCTCAATTTGCTAGCATCAATTTGCAGCTTCAGCACATTCATGCAGCGCTATTGGGGGGCAGAAAATTGAATGGGAGAAAATGCTCAATCTTGTGTTCAATAACGAATATTCTGAGGCCAACCCATCAAGATTGGATCCTAATGATCCAAGAATGGTTCGAAATCTGCGAGGATGGAATTACCTTATTTTTAAGGTAAGGATCCGATAGGGTGCATTTTTAGAACAGAGTTATATTTTAGGTGTCAACAAATTCCTGAATAGTTGAAAGTTCGTTTGGCTAGTATGAAAATGGAGGGTATGGTTGGGCCTTGGTTCCAAAGGTTGTATAGTGGTGGAACAATTCAATCGTGGGAGGATTTGAAAGTTGTAGTGAAGCAACGGTTTGGTGGGACAACTTAAACTGATATCAGGGGTGTTTTGTCCAGATTAACTCAAGCTGGAGCATCTGCTCTTCTCCTAATCTCCTTCATAACACCACAACACATTTTATGTCTTGTGTTGCCTTGCTAACAGTTATGCAAATGTGCGCGCAAGTATATACGACAACAAATAATACAGGGCTTAATTGAGTCTCAGTTATCATTCCCACAAGGATCTTTAGCGTTTTTAACTTGACTAAAATTTGTAATTTCTATAACTAAATAAAGAAAATTATGACTAATATTGATAAACAAAAAATAAAATAAACAAACAGAAGATTAAAAGTTCACTTGGGGTTTTTCTGATTTAAATTTGAAAATAATTTCTTAATGTGCAAAATGAAAGAAATAAAATGAATTGAGAAAATTATTTTTGGACTTTTCAAATTGATTATGTTTTTGCAAGGATTACTAAAAAATTTAACTGAATTAAAAACAAACAAATTTAACAAAATATTAAGAAGTCTAATTAAAAACTGGGTTGAGTTCTAATTCCTTCCCCAAAACCCTTAGTGTCTAATTGCTTAACAAAAATCTTTCAGTTGGCAGACTATTGTGAATTTTTAATCCCTTAAAAATCTTTTTTCCCATTTGTTCCCACACAAATTATTCCTAAGCAGGTGGCACTAAGAGCTTGAAGCTCAAGTCCTTTTGGCCACATGGAGGAGTAAAAATCATATCTGAAATACTCCCTTAAACAATCCTTTATTTGAGTCCATGAACTCAACTCATTTTTCAGAGAAATTTATTTCTCAATAAATTCCCCCTAAACAAACCTATTTCACACGGTTGAAATGAAATAAAATTTGAACAGGTAAATCAAAGTTGAACTAAAGAAATAAAAAATTCATTTCAGAAAAGTAATCAACACTAGTCACTGCTGTTGGGTCTCAGTCACCCAACCTTAGAAAATTTAGCTCAAATCCATAGGGATTGAGCTTAACAACAGTAATGAAAGAAATACAGAGAAAATAAAGTAAACAGAAAGCTATAACCACAATGCAAGTACTATCCCCCAAGATAGCCTCGACACTGTGTTCAAAACTAAACAAAATAAAATAAAATCTTGCAGTACCAAAAACAAATAAAAACCAAAATGAAAAATACACAAGAAGGTGAAAGAGACCCTACAAGCTTTTCTCTTTTCTTTTTATATCTCCTTTCCCACATGCATGGGCCTTGGGCTCTTCCATTCTATTCCTACGTGCAAGTCCATCATATGCACGCTTGGTTCTTTTTTGTGATGCACAACCAAACTCCACACTCGCACCACCAAGCATTTCTAACAAACTCCAGCTCACCCAATCGATTATGGTCAGTGTTTGGTGTATTTTCTTTTTAAGAGGAAACAATTAGGGTCAAACTTTTGGGTGAATGGTTGATTGAATCACTAGGTAGAGGGATTTTGTGGTTCATATGGCTAACAGAAATCCAGATGGAAGATTGATTTGGAATGGCTTTGTGGTTGGATTGAGATGGGTGGTTCGAAATGGTGAGGTAAGGTGAGAAGGGGTTAGGGTTCGATGACTTAGGATGTTGTGAATTGAGAATGAGCCACGCACAATGAATATCCCTTCTTTCTGATTTTTTTTCTTACATTTCTGCCCTTCAGAAGGTTAATAGGTTGGGCTGGATGTTGCTTGCCTTTTTTTTTGGGCTCTGGCTTTTGCACTTTGGCCTCTCAAGAAAAAAACTGAAATAATAAAATGAATTTGTTAATCATTCTTGTTAACATGTGTTAGAGAAATAAACATTAAAAGGTTAAAGCTTAATAAATCAATTAAAAACTAGTCACCCAATAACATTTAACATCTCCTTTCAGAGACTTGTCATCTTCTTTTTGTGCAACGCCACTATTTGTTGGAGTATTTTAAGGAAGTTCCGGACCGCCACAAATGTTGCAATTTTTGGCATTTCCTAACCTTCACAATATATTTGACTTTCTGTAGGTTAAAGACTTCCACAAAATATTTCACTTCCTAGAGGGTGTAGACCGTCACAATTTATTTTACATTTTTGGCTACCACTTTATTATGGCTCCTTTAGACTACCACTTTATATGAGAGTTGAAAGTTTTATATATCATAATTTAGGGATTAGGTCTCATCCCATCACTTGATTTGATAGCCGATATATTTTTTAGCATTAGTGATAATGGTGAGAAATAATAAAGCTACTTGTAAACACTATTTTTTATGCTTTCTCCTTTCTTATTCCCAATTTTATTTAACAAAATTTTTTCTTCAAAAAGAGAGTGCATTTAGGCAAGCAATATTGCACAGAAAAGAGAAGGACAACGACAAGTCTTTCGTACAGAGATCAAAGCAGCCAGGCATTGAGACAAAAATTTTAATGGGTGAACTATAAATGGAATCAAACATAAATAAGAACAGAGAAGAGAGCTTATGAGATCAACACCAAAATGGAGAGTCAAAGTGGCATCTCTGCACAAAAAAGGATCGTATTATACAATTGTTGCAGCAATCCAGACACATAGAGTAGATACACCAGATTATAAAGAGGACAATATAACCATCAGAAAAAGGAGCAAAAAAAAAAGGCCAAAGGAAGAGGTAGAAAAGATCTACCCACTGTTCCTTCTTTAAAGAGGGGATCCTCCCTCAATCCCACCAAGAACTTCACGGTGGAAATACCAAAAAACCTGATAACATTTCCAAGCAATCAAGAAAAAAATCTGAGAAAGAAAAGAATAAGAACTAGAAGAAAAAAACCCCAAGTTACCTTTGAACCTAAGACACGTAGAACCTAAAAATCCAACATAGCAAACACAATGAAGGCGTGACGTCAACCGGAGCCACCACACCAAGTTGTTGCTTTCAACATACCACCCCCACTTTAGCTCCAACCAACCTTGTGCCTCCTCGTTCATCGTGTGCACCACTTTGTCAGTCCACCGGTCTTCATATGTGGGCCCGTATGCTACTTTCTTTTTATTGGAGTCTACCACCTACACCTAGCTTAGTATTATTTATTTGCAAAAATATGATGAAACCAAAAGGAAGAGTATTGTTGGGAGTTGCTCCTTCTTCAATGCTTGGCTCAAGTCCCAAGAGGTTGGAACTCTCCATTTTTGGTGCAAAGCTCAAGGGTCATAACCTTTGAGTGGTTCAATGTCTCTTCATTAATGAAGGTGTAAGGCTCAAGGGACATATCCTTTGAGTGGTTCAATATCTAGAATCATCTCAATCCTTTATATAAGCTTGTAGTGTGTGAGGTTTAGAGATATGAGAAAAATGATGAGAAAAATATGAGAAAAAGAGTTTGAATACCTCTAGAGAGATGTTTGAATGAGACTTCTTTAGGAAAGTTTGATATTACCACCATTGTAGGTGATGTTTGATTGTACCTCTAGTGAAAAACTAGGGATGTTTGATTGTTGTAACCCATTATTCTTATAATGGAAGTTTGATTCTGAACTAGTGTCCCGTGGGTTTTTACTTCTTCACATCGGAGAAGGTTTTCTCACGTTAAACAAATTGACCGTGTTCTTCCCCATTTCTCTCCTCTTGCATTTTTTTGTTCCGCTTCTGTAATTGACTTGAGGGTCCGACTTGACCCAACAGTGGCATCAGAACCCGATTTCGACGGGTTGTTCAAGCTGATCGCGGACAACTTTTCTTATTGGAGACCGATGAAGGAAGATCATCTCTACTACAAAGAGTTACATGAGCCCACTATCCTTGATGAGAGACCGATAGGCAAAACTGATAAGGAGTGGGAGATCTTGAGTCGTAAGGCGATAGCTACAATCAGGAAGTACATCGACAAAAACCTCTTTGAGCACGTGTCTGAGTTCACAAACGCATACGAATTATGGAACAAATTGGAGTCCATGATTCAGAAGAAGACTCCCAGGAACAAAGCACACCTGGTTCGCCGACTTGCGTAATTGAAAGAGATAAGTGTTTCTTATTTTGTGTTCGGGAACAAAAAAAAAGTAAATTTTTTTTTATTTTTTTCTGTTTTCCAGCACAAAAATTAAACCGGTTCATCTGGAAAAAAAATCGATTTTATCAAATGAGTTTTCTATCCATTTCTACTACCTACCGGGAGCAAAAATAAAAATTGATTCCAGACACTAGCGGACCCACGGTGGGTCACATGTCCGCAAGTGCGGACATGTGATTTTGGATTTTTTTTTTAATTATGTAGGTTATTATTTGTCTCTTGATTCAATATTTATAGTAGGAATAAATATCATTTTAAGTCCCTAACAAAAAATATGGTCTCCATTTTAGTCCCTTATCAAAAATTAGTCTCGAAGAGATCTCTAAAAAATTCAAAGTGGATCAATTTAATTAAAATTGTGGTCCCTCATAAATTCAAAAAAGACCTACATTAGTCTCAAAAAGACTAAAATAGATCCACTTTAAATCTCATAGGGACCATGTGACTTTTTTTTATAATGGACTAAAGTGGGGACCGAATTTTTTGTTAGGGACCAAAAACGATATTTATTCTTATATTAGTTAGCAACGTACAAAGATGATTAAAATAACGTAGCAACACAAATTGATTAGAGAGAAAACTTATTCTTCCTCCCTTGTCACGTATCCATTTCCATGATTTCTCATTCCCATGATTTCTTAATCCTTTGTTATGGAAGCAACTAGATTATGAGCGGGTTCAAACGTTAATTTAAGCTTTTTTTACAAAAAAAAATTCGGAGGCGCGCCCCCGAACCCCCACCACTAAATGTGCAAACATAGAGAAATTTTTTTCTGGGTCCGCCATGATTTGCAAGAAAAGTTATAATGCATGCACGTCTTATAATTGTGCAAGGTTTGGAATGGGCTAGGCCCAAATTGAGTCGTAGAAACTGAGACAGTGGGCTAGGCCCAAATTAAGTTGGTAAAAACTGAGACGGTGGTTGTTCGGTGCTGGAGTTAGCCATGGAAGCAGCAGCATCCTCTTCTCAGAGAAAGTCGAAGAGGAAGCGAGCGGCGGCGGCAGCAGCGGATCCTGAACTCGAGCGTCTGAACTCGCTGCCGTGGAACCCCGCTCTTCCTCAACACGATGACGATGACTCTTTTGCCTTGTTCATTGGCTCCAATGAACTCGAAGGAGGTTAGCTCTCCTAATTTATTTTATTTTTTAATATTTTGAATAAATTTTGCATTTCGGCGTTGTATGTTGTATAACTTTGTAGGTTTTGTGTTATTTTATTGAATAAACGTGAGAATTAGGCATTTTTGTGTGGGTGTTGTAAGTTATATAACTGTTGCTATTTGAATGATATGTTGTATCTATTGGTGTTCTTATAAAGAAAAATGTTGCTTATGGTGTTTAAAATTTTACATTTGGCTGATTTTTATTTTTTTTATCTTATTTTTTGTTTGTGTTATGAATGCAGGTTTTCTTCAACTTGAGGAGATTGATGAGGCTGAGTATGGTTTGGATATTCCTGAGCCTGAAGGTGACAAGAGGAAGCAGAAGCCTAAACATAACAAAAATTTGAAGAAACAGAAGCAAGATGGAGTTGATGATGCTTGTAGCGATGTGCTTGAAGAGCAAGTCGAAGGAGAGTTGGTTAAAGATGAGGATACGAAGTCTCAAGTGAAGAAAAAGAAGAAGAAGAAGAAGAAAAACACTGCGGTTAAAGAGAACCTGAAGGTTGAGCAGTCAGATACTGGTAATTGCATTTTTAATTTTAAATAAATTAATTCCAAATATGTATATTATGTGCTAGGGTGAAGGGAAGCCTTGGCACAACGATTGGTGTTGTCTTCATGTGAGGTCACATGACTCTTGCAAATGCAAGGTTAGGCTGCCTGATAAAGACCACACAATGGATCTAACCCTTTCATAGACCCTGCGCATAGAGGGAGTTTTATAGCACCATGCCTTTTTTATTTTTATTTTTTTATGTTTATGTGCAAGCATGCCTGTGTGAATGTAGATTCCTGAAATGAGAATTGTTTGTGTAATGTTAATGATTGAAGATGGGAAAGATACATTGCCCTAATTGCGATATCTGCTTCTAGGTTTAGATACTAATGTGAAGGATGATATTGGGGAAGACGACATTGATGAAACTGAATTTTATGCATGGAATGAGTTGAGGCTTCATCCTCTCCTAATGAAAGCAATATACAAGCTTGGCTTCAAGGAACCAACACCCATACAAAAGGCTTGTATTCCAGCTGCTGCGCATCAAGGGAAGGTTGTTTAAAGTTCTTCTGGGCATTGTGTTGGTTTGAATCATAGCTTTGAGGATAACTCTTTTGTGTTCTTTTGACAGGATATTGTTGGTGCTGCAGAGACAGGGTCTGGGAAAACACTTGCATTTGGTTTGCCCATTTTGCAACGCCTTTTGGAGGAGCGAGAGAAGGCTTCGAAGATGGTTGAAGAAAAGGGTGAAGAACCTGAAAAATTTGCTGCTACAGGCCTTTTGAGGGCTCTTATCATTGCTCCGACTAGAGAACTTGCACTTCAGGTACTTGTCAAGGCATTTTGTTCATTTGGGTAATTGTTAGTTGCTTGACTGTTGAGGCAATGCTTGTTTGTTTTATTTATATTGTGTGATGTAAATAAAGTGAGAACTTTTATCTTGTATATTTAGTTTTATAGTAGTTACAACTTACAAGTCTCATGGTTTTGAGCTTGTTTGACACATCTTTATTTTTAGCCAAAAGCTATTTTTAAGTTGAAGTTTAAAAAAAGAGCTTAAAAAATAAAGCTAAAAGCTGTTAGGTGATTATAAATTTTTTAGATGATGTTCTTAGGGTTTTGAAGAGAGGACATGGAATGATTTATAATTAGGGTAAAGGATAAATAAAATAAAGGTAAAACTAGAAAATAAATGAGAACTCCAAACAGTTGATATACATCTTAAAAAAAAGCTCCTCCTGGGAGATTTTAGCTTTTTAGCTTTTCCCTTTTTTATTCATTATAAAGAAAACCTCTTTTATGATAAGAGCTTTTGTAAAATTATGTTTGACTAAATTTTTGCTTATAAGGAGAAGAGAAGCTAAAAATAAGACTTGCCAAACAGATACTTAATTTAGGCACTATTCTTGTCCATCAGAGGGAGTAACTTGGTGGGATTTTCTTCCTTGTTTACTTGCCAGCAATCCGGAGTTTTATGAGATGATAATGGATTTCCTAGGCTTTTATTGTAATGAGTGAGACAGGGTTATCTAACAGAATAAATGCAAAAATGAGCCTCCTGTTACTGGCAACCAGTATTGTATGCTCTATGGAATCTGTTTTGAGTCAATAATGGGTTCGACATTAGAAGCACTTGCAGTAATGGAGGGGAGGTTTTCCAAGTCAGATTAAAATTTGGACCTTTAGAAAAAATCTGGCATTAAAAATGGTATTTGGGTAGAAACTGGGACTTCCAGGTCTGTTTGAAAACTCAAATAAGTGCTCTAATTGAAAAGTTTAAGCACTGAAAACGATTCAATGGTGTTTGTTTAATACATACTGAGTGAAATTAAGTGAAGAAGTGCCGAAAACACTCAGCACCTCGGAGGTTTTTGCTTCAGTGTATTTGCTTTCATGACCTCGACGAAGAGAAAGTATGACTAAAACTATATATGCAGTTTTGTCAAGTAATCAATGTCATTTGCTTGATATTGTCGGACAGTCAGTCATTCTAATGGTCGTCTCCTTTAGTAATTAATTGCTTTTTTCTTTTTTGTTTAATTTTTGTGCATTATTGTCATTGCATATGGATATGGTATTTTGTACTTCTATTCACTGGTACTGCTGGACAAATGTCAAATTCAGTTGTCATGGAATTCAACTTCTGTTTTCATTGGACCTAATGATAAACTTAGAAAGCCATGCTGACCTGTAAACCTTTAGAATCTGATTAACTAAAATATAATCTGAAGATCTTTATAGTTAACGTGCTTTCTGGGACCCAACAGATATCATTAATGATAAAAGTGGTTATTTTTTTATTTGGTGCTGTAATTGCTTTTTCAGGTCGCTGATCATCTGAAAGCAGTTGCCAAGTATATTAATGTTAGAGTGACCCCTATTGTTGGGGGGATTTTAGCAGAAAAGCAGGAGAGACTTTTAAAAGCAAGGCCTGAGATTGTGGTCGGGACACCTGGGAGGTTATGGGAACTTATGTCAAGTGGAGAAAAACATCTAGTTGAGGTAATACTAACTCTATGTATTGTGAAGTTTGAATATCATTGAATTAAATTTTTTATTAAAATAATTGTCTTGATTAATTGAGGGCGAGCCTTGGAGTAGCAGTAAGGTTGTGTCTTATGAGCAGAAAGTCACAGGTTCAAGTTTGAGAAACAGCCTTCTTGCTAAAATGTAAGGATAAGTTTGTGTACAATCGACCCTCTCCTTATTCTCGTAAGTCGGGGAGCCTTGTGCATCGGGGTTGGCCCTTTACCCAATTGACTTGATTAATTATAATCCATTAGATACCCGACCCAAACAAGTTTGGGATAAAGGTTATGAATAATCCATTAGATTATTACCAAGGGGAAAACTGGAAGTGTTTTATAAGTAGGTGCTACGACCCATATTATAGGAGTTAGGCTTCGTTAGTTAGATGGTTAGGTTGTTAGGAGTAGTTAGCCCCTCATCTATATAAGGAAACATTCTTTCTGTACTTAGCATATTGGGAATTGAATTGTAGAATTGACTGAGAAGTCTCTTAGTGTGAAGGGGAGTGTCCCTTGTGAAGAGCTTGCTCTTGAATTGTGTTCATGTACTCTTTCCTGTTAATCAATAAAAAATTGTTCTTTCCTTCATTCTTTTTCCCTTTTCATCCTCTCCTATCCCCCATTTTTGTGATTCTTACCTTGTAATAATCTAGAGTCGTAACAATTGGTCCGATCCGTCGGATCTTTGAAGGGGTGAATGCCATGGGAGGAGCTTTGAAGAATTTTGGAAATCATAACAAGAAGAAGACCAGTGATTCAGAATTCAATGAAAAGTTGCAGAAAATAATAAAGATTCTTGATAGGTTGGTGGAGAAATGGGAAACACCAATTTGTGAAATCAAGAAGCACGATCTTGATGGAACTCTTGCAGTTTCCCAGCCAGATATGGATACCCAGAAAATGGAGATAGAAGAAGGTGGGTTTCACGATTTGTCTAAGGAACCCAAAATTATTGTTGAGGCCTCTTCAATCATGGGTGGCTGTGTTTCGAAATCAATTCGTGTATTGGAGACGAAAAACGAAACAGAAAAGACAAAAAAATTGCAGAAAGAAATGCAGCGAAAGTTAGAACACGAGGAGCCATTTGTTGGAATCAAGAAAATGCAAGAATCCGCAATCAGTGACCATATGTTCTTGGGCAATGGCCATCAAATCATCCAATTTTGAAGGCAAGGTGGACAAGGCCGCTGAACCAGAGCCTTTTTCTATTGTGGGTGTTTTTGCTTCGGCTCTAGAATCCATCACTAATATAGAAGCAAAACCTGATGTGGTGGTAGAAGAACGAGAGGCTGGAGAACAGGTAGAGAAGGTCGTAGTGAAGGAAGAGGGTGAACCCATATTGCTGAAATTAGAGGACTGTCCCATCAAAAGAAGAATAGTGGAGAAGGAGAGATGGGGAAGCTTGAGATGGCACCTATGAAAACGCAAGGGGTGAGCAGTTCCCAACCTCCGCCAAAGTTGCCAGAATTAAAGCCCAAATGCCGCTGACAACCAGTCTTCCCTTGTTGAGATGCCATTGGTATGCTCGAGGAAGAAATCAAGGGAAGGAAAGAGGAAGGGCAGCGTTGGACAAGAGATGGGTCTCAACTTTTGTCTAATGGATCAGACCCACAATGAGATTAGTGACAAGAAGCCCAAAAGTGGATGGGCAAAGGATATTGGGTTCAAGTGGTCACATGTGATGAAGACATACGATAAGTCATCACTAAACTCACCAAAGACTTTTCTTCTCTACCACACCTCAGGGGTTCCATGGAAGATTTACAGTCTACCTCAGTGTTATGATAAAAACGACGCCAAATTGAAGCTCTACTTTTCCTAGACCAGCAGAGCCAACCAGATCGGGAACTACAAGGTGAAGGGTGTCACATTAAAGTACCATCGACGTGCTTGCGTCCCACATGCTTCGAATCTTTGCCGCATGTCGCTTCAGTCAGATGCCAAACACTACAATCGAACCTTTGAACTAGCTAGCAAGATCAAGACATATGAGCCATCCTTTTCGGAGGATTTAGCATTCTTGGACGTTCAGAACGTCTACGAAACATAGAAGGATAACTTGCTCAAAGGGATTCACAAGAAGGAAGGGTTGACGTGTTTCGTTAACTGACCACAAAGGCCATTGTGCCTGTTGGGTGACGTGACAGCAGATCAGGGCTCGCTCAGCCGGTGTCTCCGAAGCGCGGGAATCTCGCATAACCATTTCTGGGATCATGGAGAATGGAGGAAAGAATTGCCTGCTATGAATATGCCTGATTACTTAGCACCAGTGAAAAGTTGGGGAACTTGGCATGAGGGTATTGCAGATTGGCGATATTTTGGAGTCATTTTTTTCGAGTTGTTCGTTGGTATTCCACCCTTGGTTGCAGAGCACCCTCAGGCTGTATTGGATATTGTTCTTAATTATAAGATACCATGGTTTGCGTTTCCTTCATTTTCAACCTCATTCATATGTGACAATTCCGACATTCTATTATATGTTACAAGTTCAATCATAATATGTTTTAGGTTAAGAGTTTGTTGGGTACATGAAAATTTTGGGCTAGGAGAATCTGACATAATATTTGCATTGGATGCTTTTGTTGATATTTGGTGGTATTTGTGGAAAAGCATGTTCCTGTTTGGAAACACAGCTTATGATTACGTACAATATTCTTCTTCCTTTTTTTACCATAGTCAGATACTTGGTTCTGATTTCGAGGATTTGAAGCAAAAAATTGGCAGTTATGCCTTGAGGGCTACATTGTGTGAATTGCAGATACTCCTCAATAGTGGTGTGGAATTTAAAGACATACTTGAAACTGCTCTTTTGATGGTTCATGGGTTACCGTGGCAGGGAGTTACGCCTCAACTTTTTGCTCGTATAAGTTCTCATTCTGGACAATTAATTCAGAAACACCTGAAACACTTACTGAATATGCTGGCCAAACAATCCTCTTGTTCTATAATGTACCCAATGGTAGTGGACGTTAATGCTTATGAAGAGAAACCTTCAGAAGACTTCATCATGTGCTGGGTTGTTTAAGGGGGCTGTTGTGCAGTTCCAATCTGTCCTTACGGCTGGACATGTTAACAATTCTGCAGCAAGGAGAGTCTTTGTGCAGTTGCAGCACTAACTCACTACTGAAGCTCCCTCAGAAGATAACATCACCATGCAGGAACAGTTTACCTATTTCAACCTTGAGGACAAGGTTGTTTTATAGGGGGCCGCATTGTTACGACCCATATTATAGGAGTTAGGCTTTGTTAGTTAGATGGTTAGGTTGTTAGGAGTAGTTAGCCCCTCATCTATATAAGGGCAACATTCTTTCTGTCATTAGCATCTTGGGAATTGAATTGTAGAATTGACTGAGAAGTCTCTCAGTGTGAAGGGGAGTTCCCCTTGTGAAGAGCTTGCTCTTGAATTGTGTCCATGTACTCTTTCCTGTTAATCAATAAAGAATTGTTCTTTCCTTCATTCTTTTTCCCTTTTCATCCTCTCCTATCCTCCATTAGGATCCAGGGTCTGCCAATGGCTCCCCCTGTCCGGGTAACAGCTTAACATTAGGATCCATAGGTGTATCAATAGGTTTACATCCCAACATACCAGTCTCATCTAGGATATCCAGTGCATACTTCCTCTGACAAATGGAGATGCCCTGCCTAGACTGTGCCACTTCAATTCCTAAGAAATATCGAAGTCTGCCAAGATCTTTGGTCTGAAATTGATTGAATAAGTACTTCTTTAACTGATCAATCCCAACTTGATCGCTGCCAGTAATAATGATGTCATCAACATAGACCAGGAGATAGATGCACTTGCCAGAAGAGCTATACCTATAGAAGACAGAATGATCGGCTTTACTTCTGGTTAAGCCAAAGGATTGAACAGCAGAACTAAAGCGACTAAACCAAGCCCGAGGGGACTGCTTCAGGCCATATAAAGATTTACGAAGCTTACATACCATTCCAGAATTCTCCCCCTGAGCAACAAAACCTGGTGGTTGATCCATATATACTTCCTCTTGCAAGTCACCATGTAAGAATGCATTTTTGATATCAAGCTGTAGAAGAGGCCATTGATGAATGGCAGCAAGTGCAAGAAATAGGCGAACAAATGCCATTTTTGCAACAGGAAAAAAAGTATCCCCATAGTCAAGACCAAATATCTGAGTGAACCCCTTGGCCACCAAACGAGCTTTGAGGCGATCAACAGTGCCATCAGGACCAACTTTGATAGTGAATACCCATCGACAACCGACAACTGACTTTCCAGGAGTAGCATGAACAAGATCCCATGTGCCATTGGAGTGAAGTGCTTGCATTTCATCAATCATTGCTTGACGCCAACCCGGATGAGAGAGTGCATCACCTGTGGTTTTAGAAATAGAAATAGACAAAATACTAGAAACAAAAGTAAAATGTGGTGAAGAAAGTCTATCATAACTCAAGAAACTATAAAGTGGATGAGGGTTACGAGTGGATCGAATACCTTTGCGAAGGGCAATGGGAGTAATTTCTGATGGAGGATCCGAAGGGGAAGAGTCGACAGCAGCAGGCGGTGAGTCAGTAAGGGTCAAATCCGCTGGAGGCGCAGGCTGACGACGCTGGTAGATGAGAAAAGGACGGTCCTCAGGGATGGAGGCAAGGGGATGCTCTTCCGGGATAGTCTCCTGCAACTGGTAAAGACAAATCAAGAAAAGGAACAGGAAGAACTTGATCAACTTGTGTTATCTGAGATGGGATAGAATGAAAAGGCTGTTGATCAAGGAAAGTGACATCAGCTGAGACAATATAACGCTTGAGATCAGGAGAGTAGCAACGATACCCCTTTTGAAAACGAGTATATCCAAGGAAAATACACTTGAAGGCTTTGGATGTTAATTTATCTTTTCCTGGAGTAAGATCATGAACAAAGCAGGTACATCCAAATACATGTGGAGGTAGAGGATAGGAAGGTGCTCCTGGAAATAAAACACTATGTGGAACTTCGTTATTGAGTACGGAAGATGGCATGCGATTGATGAGAAAGCAAGAGGTGATTATAGCATCTGCCCAAAAACGAAGTGGAACATTCATATGAATTAGTAGGGTACGAGCAGTTTCAACCAGATGTCGATTCTTACGTTCGGCCACTCCATTTTGTTGTGGAGTGTGTGGACAAGTGGTCTGATGTAACGTCCCACGTTTCTCTAAAAAATTAGAAAACTCAAGAGGCACATATTCTTTTGCATTATCACTGCGCAAAATTTGAATAGAAGCACCAAATTGAGTATTTATCTCAGCACAAAGTTTTTGATAAATTGAAAATAATTCAGAACGATTTTTCATTAAATAAACCCAAGTGCAACGAGAGAAATCATCAATAAAGGTGACAAAATACTGAAAACCCAAAACAAACATTGTTCGACTAGGACCCCAAATATCAGAATGAACAATAGAAAAAGGAGCATCAGCTCTTTTATCGACTCTATTAGCAAAGGAGGAGCGAGTGTGCTTTCCTTGCTGACAAGAATGACAATTTAAAGACTTAAGACTGGATAAAAAGGGAACCATATGCTGAAGCTTGGAGAGGCTTGGATGACCCAGACGACTGTGAATTAGCTCAGGAGACTCTGTGAGAGAACAGGCTACTGGAGAAGGTGATGCAATCAGATAGTAGAGACCTCGTGACTCAATGCCTGCTCCAATCGTCTTCCCCGTACCCGAATCCTGCATAGAAAAGGATTGTTTAGAGAAGGTAACAGTACATGAAAGAGAATGAATCAACTGGCTAACAGAGATTAAATTAAAAGGAATGCCAGGAATATAATAAACAGAACTCAAAGTTAAAAGGGGAGTTGGGTTGGCTTCTCCAATTCCACGAGCCGGAGCCTTAGTGCCATCAACAAGAGTGACAGGGGTGACAGGGGGTAGGTTATTAGAATAAGAAAGTGAAGTGAAGAGATCTTTATTACCACAAAGATGATGAGTAGCACCTGAGTCTATTATCCAGGGTCCAAGAAATGATTGATAAAAACAAGCAACATGATTACCAGTGTCTTGAGTAGGATGTTGAGAAGAAACCTTCTTGAGAAGTGCCTCATAGTCGGCACTTGAAAGAGTTACTAATCCAGTTGAAGGTGGTGTAGCATCAGTTTGAGCAAAGTTGGCAGTCAATGGCTTCAAATGAGGGTACTTCCTATAACAGCGTTCTTCAAAATGCCCAAGATTCTGGCAATAATTGCAACGAGGCCTCTGTCTGCGGCCACATCCCCGACCGCGTCCACTGTTCCAATTGGAATCACTGGTCCGAGAAAAGAATGGAGATGGGGTAGTACTGGAGATGATGCCAGTCGTGTTTTTGGACGCATTACATGAGCCCTCCATCACAAAATAAAATAAAGGAGATGACCAGATCTGAAAAGAGGAGAGGAAGGTTCTGTCTCAGAATGGCCGATTTTTTTTTTTGCGTGAACAGTACCTGTACGGACGCGTGAACAGTGTCTGTACGGACGCTATGAACAATAAACTGTACGGACGAGCTGAACAGTGAGCCGTACGGATGATGGACAGTAAATCTGTACGGACGGTGAACGGTGAAATCTGTACGGACGATAAACAGTGAAAATTGTACGGACTGTACGGACGCGGTGAACAGTACTTTTTTTTTTTTTTTAAAAAACCCGCGTGAACAGTGTAGAACCAAGCCGGAGGGACGCACGGCGTTAGAGGAAGGAGAGAACGCCTAAGCAGTGGGCTTAGGGTTTTAGCGGAAGCGAAAATTCCCAGAACAAAGACCTCTGGTACCAAATTAGAATGTATGAATGTATTGTATTCAATTATGTATAGAACTATACAAAAGACCTCTATTTAAAGAGGTTAAATGACCTAATGGGCCAAGCCCAAATAATCTACTAGAATAACAGAATAATAAATAATATAATACTATTTAATATTATATTATTTCTAACAGTAATGACAATGTATGCATACTAGATAGCGTCTATATAATTTTGCCTGTGTTTTTCCCTCCTTATTTTTGATACATAGCTGCTGCTGGATAAATTTACACATGGTAATATGTTGGAGTTCAATGCATAGACCTGACATTGTTTTGAAAGTCATTTTTGATGTCGACCATCTTGTTTTGCAGTTACATTCACTGTCTTTCTTTGTGCTTGATGAGGCTGATCGAATGGTACAAAGTGGTCATTTTAAGGAGTTACAATCAATAATTGATATGCTTCCCATGTCCAATATCCCCACTGAAGATAATTTCCAATATGCACAAAATTGTCTTACAGTTTCTAGCTACCAAAGAAAGAAAAGGCAAACTCTTGTTTTTTCAGCAACTGTAGCACTGTCTTCTGATTTTCGCAAGAAGCTAAAGCACGGATCAATTAAACAGAAGCAATCATTGATAGATGGATTGAATTCCATAGAAACTCTTTCTGAGCGAGCAGGAATGAGATCCAATGCCGCAATTATTGATCTTACCAATCCGTCAGTATTAGCAGCTAAGCTTGAGGAATCATTTATTGAGTATGTAAACTCATCTAAACTCTATTAACTCAAGTTTTACAAAATACTAATATTTTTTTAGTGGTATAATCACTTTGACTAAAATTGTTATTTGATTTGGTGCTGTTATTATTTTCCCCTAGTATTGGGATGGGTCATATATGCTACTCTAAGGCCAGTTGCTATTATTCCTCCTTGTGTAAATAGAGTTTTAGTTCATTGTTGAACTTTCTTGCTTAGTTTCTAAGATACTCCTTCATGGTCCCCTTTACAATCTTTTTAAGTTGAACTCATTATGCATGATAAAGTCGCTAGGTAATGTTTAATCTGACATGAAATGTAATTTTGTTCGATGACATAACATTACTTATTTGTTACGGGATGCAGATGCAAGGAAGAAGATAAAGATGCCTATTTGTATTATATTTTGACTGTTCATGGACAAGGCCGCATGATAGTTTTTTGTACGTCAATTGCAGCTTTGCGCCATATTTCTTCTTTACTGCGCATTCTTGGCATAAATGTTTGGACTCTTCATGCACAAATGCAACAGCGAGCACGTTTAAAGGTATGATCCTTTCTCTGCCCCAATCCTGGGCTTCTTTTTCTTTTTTTTTTTTTAAAAAATTTCTTTGTTTTGCTCAATGGTATAGTTCAACTTTGAGTCATCACATTTCATTTTCTTTCTCACTAGTATACAAAATTATTTTTGGTCATTGGTTGAATGCTGCATTTGCAATAATTAATGAAGTTGTAGAATGAATTTCATAAAGCATTTGCAAATCCCAATACGCCTAAGAAATTGCAACTCCCTTAATTAAACCATTTGTGGAGCATCCTGAAGAGGTCATGAACACAATCTCGTCTCATAAAAAGTTGAGAGGCAGTAAGGCATCTACAAAGATGTGAGCATTTTACTCCAACTAATTGTGCCAAATGACTGCAAAGTATGATCAGTGCCACAAAAATTTGGCCTCCTTAATGCCAAACTAACTGTCAGAAATCCTTCCTAAATAGGATATACCCAAGGCTTGCCAAAATCCTGAACAAATTGTTCATAATAAATCTGCTGCCTTGCAGTGCACAATAGATTCTGAAGTAGAACAGCACATATCACAGATCAAGAGAGAGAGAGAGAGAGAGAGCAGTGTGAGGCCTATGTCCTGCTGCAGTCAGTAGTGTTGATCCTATTAAGTATCATTGCCCAGAAAAAAGACTTGACTCTAGAGAGAGCTTCATATTTCAATATCAGTTTACCTACAAGAAATCTGTGTTAATTAGGGTAATAAGTAATATGTTAGGAATTGGACGAAGGAAAGAAAACAAACTAGAGGAACCCGGCCTCCAAAATCTTGTTTTGAAGATTTCTAATGCTCAACTAATGTGCTTTTCTACTGTTTTCCCCCCCTCTAATGATTTGTATCATGATAGATGCTGATATGAACTGACTCACTGAGTTTTTGAAGTATATAGTCCATCCATGAGCATCATGTGTGTCTACTTTGTCTCTCCTTTCGTTGGGCGTTGAACTCAGATTCTTCAAATTGTGATTGACTTGATTATCTTAGTACTGAGTAATCCTTTAATTTGATTGAATGTTGAATTTTATTTCCCTCATCTATTTATTGTTGTTCCCCCCCTTGTATAATGTAGGCCATGGATCGCTTTCGTGAAAATGAAAACGGCATTCTTGTTGCTACAGATGTTGCTGCAAGGGGTCTTGATATTCCTGGTGTTAGAACTGTTGTCCACTACCAGCTTCCACATTCAGCAGAGGTAAGTCAATATCTTGCTTCTTTCATCCGTATACTTATATATCACATCTGAAACTTGTTTCTTGTTTGTAGGTTTATGTTCATAGAAGTGGAAGAACAGCTAGAGCTTCTGCCGAAGGTTGTAGCATTGCTTTAATCTCATCAAGAGATACGTCAAAGTTTGCTTCATTGTGCAAGTCATTTTCTAAGGTTGGCAGTTCTTTCATTTTAAATTTAAACATACAAGTTTGAGATATTAAAGTTGTATTTTATAGCTATTATTTTAAATTTTAATTATCTCTTATTGATACCAGTTAGTAAGAATTAGTTCAGAGTTGTTTTTGAATAAAACTGAATAAACTAAATAATATCTTTTATTTGAAATAAGTCAGCAGTTCTTTTTGCTTCATCTAGACCAAAATAGTGATTTACATTTCGGTTTATTCTCTTGGTCGTATATACAGGATGCCTTTCAGCGATTTCCCTTAGAGAATTCATACCTGCCAGAGGTCCTCAAACGAATGTCTCTGGCGCGTCAAATAGACAAGATAACACGGAAGGATTCCCAGGTATACAGATTCACATGAATTCATACTGATAAGTTTTGGGACTTGATGCAACCTGTGTTAGTTACTTAGATGTATCGAGTTTGCTGGAATTTGTCAATTTTGTGTTTTATGATTTGAAATGGTTTTGAATGTATCTTGTTGCATGCCCTCACTTTTCAGTCAAGCAATTAAATTTCTGTTTTGCTTGATTACTTCCTTTCTGGCAGTCTCTTTAAACAATGTTTCCTCATTTGAGTTTTTAAGATATATCAGTGCTTGTAGATTTGTTAGATTGTATTTTCCTTGTTAGGAATGTTATGCTTCAACTAGTTGTGACCAGATGTGTGTACTCGTATCGTATGTAGAAATTTTATTTTTCTTCCTTATTTCAGGTGAAGGCTGAGAAAAGCTGGTTTGATCGGAATGCTAACTTAGTGGAATTAGTTACAGAAAATTACAATAGTGAGGAGGAACAAGTGAACAAACATAAGCAAATGAAATCCAGCTCTAGACAATTGAAGAAATTGCAGGAGGTTTGATACTCAACTTTTTTATTTTTATTTTTTTATCTTTTAAACTTGAAAAGATACATAGCCACTCCCCCCCCTTTTTTTCCACTTTATTTAATTCTTCTCAAATTTTACTATTTGCAGGAGCTCAACATGCTGATTTCACGTCCTTTACAATCAAAAACATTTTCACATCGATATTTAGCAGGGGTATGGCACTTACTGTTTCCCACATCTGTCACGTCTCTTGACCAAGATATAATTCTATCTTTTAATGTTATTTATTTGAATAGCATAGCGAATGCAGGTCAAGGCATAAAGTAGAGAACGACAATATTGATTTTAATATTTCTTAATGGAGATATATATACTTTTGTGCATGGGTCTTTTCCTGTTTCATTCCAAAGTGGGATCTTGGGTTGTTTTATCTCTACTACCACTAGTAATTGGGATGAAATTGCTTTTATGGACTGGAAGGAAATGCACTTGATATTAGGTTCTGGAAACTTTTACCATGCCACCAGAATATGGCCCATGTGTCCCATTGTCTACAATAAAATGAATCATTATATTTTCCTATTCCAGATGTTAGCTGTGTACATAGAACCTGGATAAGCTTGATACTTCTGTCGTAATAAAAAAAGGATTATTGGCATTTTTCTGTTGGATGATTCCTCAGATTGTCTTCACCGATAAATGTCAAGATGATAAACTCATGCCTTAATATTTTAAAATTGTTTAGACAAACATTATTGGAAACATGCTTATTATTTCTTTTCCTTTCAACTTTTACCTCGAAGGTTTGAGGACAAAACTCTGAAATGTAATACTCTTTTCCAGGCTGGTGTTACACCCCTCATGCAAGAACAACTGCAACAATTAGCAAGGCAAAAACTCAGTGATCACCAGGGTTCAGGACTAGGCAAAAAGGGAAAGTTGGTTGTGATTGGTCAAGATTGTGTGGAAGCACTTCAGGCCCTACGGAGTTCCGGTGAAGAGGTAGAATGTTCACCTTTTTCCATATTCTGGCAATTGTTATTGCTTGTGAATTGTGTCACAGACGAGGAAAGATCAGAGATGAGATTTGTCTGCCTGACCAGTAAATTGAAAATGTTTTTTCTTTTTGTCTATATTTAAGTCCTCATGTTCGAAATGTCAAATATGCAAACAGAAAAAGAGCATTGCAAAAATTGCTTAATTTTTTGCTCTCTTTTTTTTTTTTTTTCTCCCTTCCTTTCTTCAAGTGGCTTATAATTTCATACCCTTTGACATGAAAAATGCTCTTGGCTGAACAGTTTAATTCTACGAAACATGATAGCTATATTATATTTATTATTTGATTTTATTTTTATCATCTGTCAATGTAAACTTTTTTACACTATCATCTAATAATGTATATTGCCCCATCTTTAAAATAGTTTGAATTCGATAACTATCTTGAGAGATCAAACACTTTTAATGATGTCACAGCATATAATTTGGTAATGGTGTATAACAACTTTACATTGATAATGGATCAGAATTAAACTCCTCATTATTTGAAAAGTAGAACTAGTTTCTTGTAGCTGTAATGTTAGGAATTTCTGTTTAGTAGAAAAGTAAATTCAACTTACTTCAAGATTGAACTTATGTATTTTGTTCGTTTTGTTCTTCCTTTTGCCCCTTTTTCCTCACAGGTGCGCATGGATGTCAAGGATTTCACAGGAAAACAAAGAAATATGGAGAATTTAAAAAGAAAAAGAAAAGAGGAGAAGAAACGTATTTTTTTTAGTCTTAATATGTCTTTTTCTTCCATACTCTATTAATTTAATTGTCTGAGTAATATTTGTGCTTCTAGTTGGTAAAAATTCTGGTATATTGTTCCAGGTTTGCGTGATCAGCGTAGAAAGAAGAGAAAGCTAAAGAAGCAGGACGAATTGAATTGTATACATAACTGAGACACTAGGTAAATTTCTATACCAACCGAAATTTTGTCACGAGTTGCTAGATTTTTGAAGGCATCACCTGTAGTTTCTCCTGCCTAGTTTTGGAGCTTTGAATTTGTCTATGAATATCTCATACAAAATCCAATACTGAGTAGCTGTTATGATTAAGTTTATGTCATGTGAACCCATTGTCATATTTGATAGTTATCACGTAATAGCCATGCTTGAAAAATGCAGTCTCTCTCGAGCTCCACATTGACCGGCAGTAATTTATTGCTGCCGCAGAGGCTTGAGACTTTCTTGAGGGATTACATGGTTTGGAATTTTGCCTAGTCGCCTTACTTTTCATCATGACATCAAATTTGGTCTGAAAAAAGACCAACAAGGAGTATATTTTGGACTCTCCCTTTTTTCACAATCCACTCATCAATGATGTATTGTTGACATTCTAATTAAGATTCATGAAAATGTAACCTTACCAATTGGAGGATGATGATGGATGGCTTTCAGTTATTTGTTAATAAGCCGAAATTGAACAGAATGATGCATCTAGTTTTCATTTTGGCAAGGATAGGGTGTTTTTCACTAATCATGATAAGAAAACAAGAGCTTCCACCCAAACTGAAGCAGACATGGAACCTCAGTCAATGATAAACTTCCCCCCTACATCAGAAAGTGGTGTAACAATGATAAAAAATAAAAAATAAAAGCAAAGCGAAGATTTGAGTTTTACTACTTTAATGATGACGTGTAAAAAAGTAAAAGAAATATTGAAAAAAAGGTGTAATTATGAAGTCATTACTCATTAGTTATAAAATCATAAAGTATATTATTCAGAGTTGGATTAGTTTTGGGGATTATTAAAATATTGAGGAAAGATATTTGCACATATCTAATTTTACAGACTCTTAATGTTCAATTATTAAATTTTTTAATTACATGAATACTAACATTTCATCGCAAATTGAAATTACAAATTTATGATTAATTTAAAAAAAAAATCATCGGTCGTATATATAAATATGATTTAGTGAATTATGTCAATGTATAGAAATAAATAATAAATATAATAATAACAATATTATGATTAACAAATAGTATGGCTTAGTGGTAAACTTAATATATTTTTAACTTCAGACTCCTGAAGAATGTAAATATTTTGAATAAAATTTCAGAAGCCGATTTCATACGGGTTGAACGTTCCTATGCCCACTTCCTCCTCTCAACATTTATGCATCTTGGAGTAGTTTCTACCAGATCTTTGTATGATTCTGTTTGACGTACCTCGATGCTTCTTGTTACCTCGTACTAGTCGCCCCCCCCTCCCCCCTCTTCTATTGTACTGAAAAAATTATAATATCTCTGAACTTAAAATAATAAGTAATACATTCGATATAGCTAAAAAATATTTGTCTTATAGCCAATTTTTTCCGGGTGTTAGACAAGGTTTATGTCTTAATTTTTTAAATTTTAGAAACCCCTTTTGTATTTATATTATTATATTTCATTTAGTTATGCTATTAAATTATGTATTATGTAAATATTATACTTAAATTATGTTTTATTATAAATATAAAATATATATTTATATATACTTTTTTTAATCTAGAATTTTCAAGTTGGCCACTTAATCTGTAGGCTTTCGTTATAGTGGAACTAAACCGTTACTCCTCACTCGCACAAGTAGATTTTGTACAATATGCATTGGCTTCATAAACAATTAATTTTAAATTATTTAATAAGACAAATATGTAATTTTATCCTATACGAAACAATCATGTGTTGAAAAAATAAAAATCCTTAAATAATGTTACGAGCCTTACACTTTTATTATATTATTATATTATGAAATAAATATGAAAAAGGTAGAAGAACGTCATATATTCTATGTTGATAAGAGTGCAAAACAAGAATACATTTATGGCAATGGCACCTTTTTCTTGATTAACCATACACTGTTATATGGAATATGAGTATCGTGTGTCTGTGGGAATATATGTTAGAAATGAGACAAGACTAAAATGGTTAACTTCATGAACCATTGTGCTTAGGCTTTCTATAACGTCGTGCTAATTCTTTTGCTTTCTATAGGATTTTTTTAAGGTACAGTGACTACTCTAGTCTCAGCCCTATGTCCTTTGATTCCACTCCTTGGTGCTCCTCTGGGAATGGTATTTGAAATTGTGCTTTTTTTTTTTTTTTTTCAAAATAAAACCATAGATCCTTTCTTTTATTCTCCACTGCACGATGCTTTTGGTGCTGATACTGCCATCTTTCAAAATCTCTGTGTTTTCTAGAAATTCCTTGGGGCATTGTTTTCCAAAAGGTTGCCATGGTTGTGCATAATCCTGAGAGAGTGATTTCAATACAACTCAAAAATTGAAGTTAAACCTATAACCAATATCTATTTCTATTTGTTAATAAGCTAATTACTGGGTATGTAATTAGAAGTATTTTAATTAGTGCAATAATAAACTTCACAATTAAATGTTATATTTTCTACATAAAATTAATGAAGAAACAAATGTTGAGATTGGATTCACTACCTTTTCAATTCACTTACTTCCCTCCCCATTTTTCTAGTTTAATTTTTTTTTTTTTTTGTAAATATCAACAGTTATTTGAAATCTTAACTGGCTCAATTAATTTAATTTCATATTTGAGTCTTTTTTTTCCCCTTATAGAGAAAAATTTCAGTGATTCTGGACCACCATTTACTTAATGATCTGGATCAATCAAAATCATATAACTAATGAGGAGAGACGAGAGAGAAGAAATAAAAAATAATTTTTTATCTAAATATCATCTCTTGAATAGAAAGATCACATGGAATATGAAGGAACAAAAAAAATCCATCCTTGAGAGTTGCCATTTTCAAGAATCAACTCAGTACCATTTAAACAAGTCAAATCCTGATTTCTAGCTAGGTGCTACTAGACTAACACTGGCTAAGGTTTTAACCTATATAAGTGCAACAATGCAACATTTATGTCAGCACACATATTATGCGGGCGCAGACATCATATATAAATGGATTTATTTTTCACATGAGATAACATCTCTTATGCTATAGACACAACAAGTGGAAGGTTTCACCACTTGTTAAAATAATAAAAAATAAAAAATAAAGAAGATAGTACGAATTTCGATACCTCACAACATGAGAAAACAATCTCCAACAACATGAGAAAATGATTTCCCTCTATAAATATATATTGCAACTAGCTAAACGATGGTAAAGTCCTAAAGTTTATATATATAATTGAGTATATTGTGTATACTCTTTTTTATCTTTGACGTCTCTCTTGGACATCAGATACCCCTTTTTTTTCCGCAGTAGAAAGCATTAGCCTTGTATACGTAATGTTTTAACATTATTAAATTTATTGGGGCTTAGATAATGCTTAATAGGGGGTTACCATGCGTAATATTCCCTTTTCAGTCATTCAGATTTATGCTTTTGAAACCTGTTCATGAAAAAATATACTACTAAATATCTTTTTTGGTCTCTAACAAAAAACACGATCTTCATTTTAGTTCATTACAAAAATAAATTAGTCAGTTAGTCCCTAATAAATTCAAAGTGGACTCGTTTTAGTCCTTTCGGGGACTAATATGGGTCTTTTTTGGATTTGTGAGGGACCACGATTTCAACTAAATGGGTCCATTTTGAATTTGTTAGGGATTAACTGACTAATTTATTTTTGTAAGAAACTAAAGTGGAGACCGTATTTTTTGTCAGGGACCGAAAAGGGTATTTACTCAAAATAGAATATTAATTTGCTTTTGCTGCAAATCCAATGAATTTCTTGGAACAGTGACCCAAATGACACTGTTCACCAAGTTTTTTACCTAAATGCCATGCGAACAATGTTATTTCCCAATCTGTCACGGGAGCAAGTTCGCTACCCGGTGTAGCGAACTCGGTTTGCTAACGTGTCACGTTTCTAGTGGACACCAAGTTCGCTACCCAATGTAACAAATTTCATACTTTTTTTTAACTTGATACTTGCTATCCACTAGAAATGTGACACGTCAGCAAACCGAGTTCGTTACATCGGGTAGCGAACTTGCCCCAGTGACAGATTGAAAAATAACACTGTTCGCGTGACATTTAGGTAAAAAACTTGGTGAACAGTGATATTTTGGTCGGTGTTCCGAATTTCTCCCTTGTTTGCTTTGAAAAGCTTGAATTTGGCCGAAAGTGGTGGAAGAAGCTGGTTCAACTCTTTCAAGTTTATGCTAAAATGCATATGATGCTTAGAATGAGTTTCAATGTTTCTTGTCACACTTTAGGTTACAGTGTTATGTACTTTTGTAGTCGTGTTTAGATGGACCATATAATTCATCTAAAAATATTAACTTAAAGATTTGTTCCAACTTTTAGAAGGATCAAACGATCTGTGATGGAATCAAATTCTTTGATTTCAGACAGAACGTTCTGTTCTCTGTGCTGTAATTCTCATAACTATGAAAAGAATAAAAGGGGTTTATTGATTTTATTCTGTGAGCGAATTTTGACCCGCACTTAAAATAGGTTATGTTGAATTTATTCCAATAACAATTATTTTGTATTGTTTAGTGTTTTTAGGTGACAAGTTCGAGAAAAAAAGTTGTTGTGGGCCATCTAATGTGGAAATGGCATGTTCTTATTTTCATAGCTTGGAAATTAAACAATGCATTGTCTGTACAAAGTTAACAAAAAGGAAAAGGAAAGATACTAGGGTCAAAAAGCGAAGCGCAACTTTGGTGTATATCACCTTTGGGAAATTATCATAGATTCATAAGCCAATGGTAACCTTCTTGTTCATAAACTTATAGTTATTTTCTCCCAGCATTAATTGTATTTAGTAGTGTCATAAATTATAATAATGTTCTGTTCGTCACAAAAGTCAAATAATATCACTTTTCCCCCCTTGAAAATGAAATAGTAGAAGATGAAAGAAAAAATCAGCATTATTAAATCCGACTGGATCTGATTGGGTTGATTCGAAAACTAGTTAATTAGTGATTTAATTGGTTCGAGTTAGCCAACAGATCAACTATACAATTGAACAGATCAAAATTGGTTTGACTTGATTAGTTTTTATAAAACTGATGACCCAGTTGGTTTTTGTTAACCCGGTCGGATCATGTATATTTTTTAAAAAAAAAAAATTAAAGCAAAACATTTTTTAAGCAACGACCAAATGCAAATTCCCTAAGCTGTTGTGCACCATTTTCAATTAACATATACACATAACAAACACACACAAAACAAAACACAGCTAAAAATTTATACTTAAGAAGAGTGAAATTGAAGTGAAAAGCAAAATACTAAGTAAGTTGGATTGACATTTAAAAGTATAGGAGACATGGAGGAAGAACTAATTTGAAGTTTAAAAAGTGATATTAATTTTATTATTTTAATAATGACCTATGAATAATCCTTCCGGTCCCGAATTACAGAGAGCCTAAGCCCGAAAAAGTAAATTATGAAGATGCAAGAGTTCTATAGTTGTGAAAAGTAAGTAAATATCCATTACTATTTGAGAAGTAGGTTGGTTAAAGATGACGGTTTTTTTTCCATGCCAAGGCCTTGTTTCACAAACTAGTTGGCACATTTGTTACCTAATATAATTTTTAATAATTTTAGATAGACGTAATTATAGATTTTGCTAGACAACATAGAAGTTATTATAAAGAAATTTTGAGTATAAAATATATTTATATACATCTATCCGGTGGTTGAACCAGTGTCCCATGACCTAATACCCCAGCCAAGTCAATGAACGACTCAGATTTAATAACATTGAAAAAAACTATGAAACAAGTATGCAACTTTGGCTAATGTGTGATTTTAGGAAGGGGGAGGGGAAAATATGATATGTTCAGCCTCAATGATATATTAATTTGAATAATTGAATGACTTTAACTGTGACAAAATCCCGACTTGATTAGTCTCATAGACAGCTCAAAGAATTAAAGTTTGTGGAAATACTTAAGAGATCGACTCGCTTCAAAGAGATAATTATGGTTGAAATACCAGCAACAACAAAAATTACAAGATGTACATTGAATAAAAAAAATTGAAAGTTGATTTCAAATTTTGAAAATTGATTTTTTAATTTTTTTTATCTAGTTTCATTATTAAATGACAAAAGATAATATAAGAGACACAAATCTCTAAATTTTATTACCCATTAAATAAAATTATGAAATCTTCACTGCACGAAAAGAGTAAATGACCGATTACCCGTATTCTATATTATTACAAAAATATTATGCGCAAAATAAAGAGTAGTATTATGATAAATGTCATTTTTTTTTTGGTAAAAAGATAAATTTCGTTTTATTTCATCCATGATATATCACAATTTTTTTATTTCAGGAAAAATTATCTATTCAAACATTTATATTGTTTTGTTTTATTGTCTCTGTTTGATCCCTAGGGTTAATGCACCCAAAAATTCTCTGAATAAGGTGGTTGGGAAAATATTTCCAAATGGGTATGGTGGTGTCGCATCCCTTAATGATATCTATTTTTTTTAATAAACTTAATTATAGGCCAATCAAATTGTATTATATGACGTAATCTGTCGGACCATACTTTTTTTTAAAAAAAAAATCAATGAATTTTTTTTTCATAAAATATTTATATATTTATACTCATTTATTTTAAATATTAAATAATTAAAATTATTAATGACCATATTAATATTTCTTAATCAATAATAATATTTTATTATTTATTAATAAATTTTTTATGTAAATAAATGAATTGATTATAATCATAGTTATCAGTATCGTACGATTCATACGATACGATTCATACGATACGATTCACAAGCCCAGCGATACGTATCGTGCGGAGTATCAGAAAGGGATTTGTATCGAACGATACGTTCCTGTGTCATACGATACGAAATGATACATGTATCATACGATATGAAAATTCAATCCAAATTTTTAATTTTTAATATAAAAAAAGAAATAAAAATTTGATTTGTGATTTAAAGTCAAAAAATCTGAGAATTTATTATTAATGAGAAAAAGAAAATAAAGATTTAATTTATAATTTAAACTCAAAAATAATCTAAAATTTTTGTATTAATAAAAGAAATAATAAAGCCGACGAGAATGATAAAAGTAAAGACATCATCATATAAGAACAAGATAATGTTAGCAGGCTTGATAAATAAAATGATATTGCTAACAAGAATGACAAAAGAAAAGGACCTATGATTGTTGAACAATAAATGAGAGATAAGTCAAATGACTATCTTAATGAAAAGGATAATGGATTTCACCAAAAAAGAAAAAGAAAAGGATAATGGATTAGTTATATCACTTATAGATGCTGATAATGATAATAAATTAGTCTTAATGATTGATAAGTAGGAGAATAATTGATTTGCATTTTAGTTACTTATGTATTTTGCTTATTGGATCATTTTTGAAATTTGGATTTATATATATTAATTATATTATATATTTTTAAATTATTTTTTATTATATTTCTGTATTTTACTATTTGATACAATTCACGATATAAAAAACCGGTCAAACGATACACCATACATATACACCAAACAATGACCATATAAAATACGATGACCATATAAAATTTGTTTGTGTAAGAGAATTGTTTTATCTTATATAACATAAGAAAAACAATCCCCTTTTTTTATCTCCCTTTGATTTATATGAAATCTTGATTTTAACTATTTTGGGTAAGGATATGCGCATGTGCCCCGCGCTGACCGTTTTCATTCCGAAGACCTAAATTGACCTATGAGCCCCAAAAAGTCAACACATTATCTTCGCAAGCAATTACACCATCGCTGCCCGTTTCTGTTCGGGCAGCTTCAACTCAAATTATTGTTACAAGTACCCGTTTTAGTCTCACTCCTCTGTTTCTCTCTTACACTATTATAAGTACTTCAAGTCCCCACTTCTATAATTACGGCTTTTCAAAATTTAATTTTCTCGGGAAAATGTGGTTCTCAAAAGAAAACGACACTAGCATAGCATAGTAGTAGCTGTAGTTGAATTTTCCCGAGAAAATTTAAGCATAGCTTTGTTGAACTCTCCTTTCAGCGAAGAAAGAATGTGGAAACTCGCACGATTCGCTGCGGCGGCATCCAATCTCGCACGATGGCGGCGATTCTCCACGGCGATTCCTGGTCCTTGCATTGTTCACAAGCGCGGTGCTGACATCCTCCACGATCCCTGGTTCAACAAGGTTTCTCACTACTCTTATATGTCTTCAACTTCGCTTTCTCTTTTTCTACTAGTATCCGAGTTTTGCCAAAATTTTGATGACTTTGATTTCTGTGATTTATTTTTTATTTGATTTGTTGAGTACATGTGTTAACGACCTTGAAATCGGTTTTGAGTGTAGATTACTGAAAACATTTGATTGTTATGGAATCATTTTACTCTTGTTAAATTAATTAATGTGCGTATGATGATTATGTGAAAATAGAAGCTAATTCTTTGTTTATCCAAAAAAAAAAAAGGAAAGAGGAAAAAGCGAATTGTTTGATGTTGTGTTTTTTTCCTTGTTATTGATATTTTCCATAGCATGTGTTTAAAGTTTGGTTAAATGTTGAATATTCATTCATAACAAAATGATGCTTCTCGTGGCTTTGTGTTTTACATAGTCTTTGGGATGATGTAAAACTGGTCGTGAAAACCTTTCTTCACGGTCTTTGTTCTGGATCCTAAACCTCTCAGCTTTTATTTTTTAATGTTTTTAAATTCTTTGAATGCAGGATACTGGGTTTCCTTTGACTGAAAGGGATAGATTGGGGCTTCGGGGCCTCCTTCCTCCTCGTGTTATATCATTTGAGCAGCAATATGATCGCTTTAGTAAGTTTGAGTATCTTGGTATTTCAGTAATAATCATTTTTCCTATCTTCTGAACCCTATGTTATGTACTTTGCTAGTGTGTTTCTGTTCATGCTTTTTACCCATTTGTAATTTTATTCTTATGTAATAAATTGATAGCCATGTATTATTTTTTTTTCTCAGTGAATTCATACCGATCTTTGGAGAAGAACACTCAGGGCCAACCGGATAAAGTTGTTTCCCTAGCAAAATGGAGAATCTTAAATAGACTGCATGACAGGAATGAGACTTTGTACTATAGAGTGAGTTTGTTTAATGATGAAGTTTCTTCTCTCTCTCTCTCTCTCTTTTTTTTTTTTTTTTGAACTAAATTTACTTATTGTATAATCAAATTTCTGTCATATGATTCTTATGTTGGCGTTATCTTTCATTTCACTTCAGGTTCTTATTGATAATATTAAAGAGTTTGCTCCGATAATATATACTCCTACTGTTGGATTAGTGTGTCAAAATTATTCAGGGTTATTTAGACGTCCACGCGGGATGTATTTTAGTGCCAAAGATAAAGGAGAGATGATGTCAATGATCTATAACTGGCCAGCTCATCAGGTAATGCATGAGTCTCTGTAAATGTAGTATTGTTTTCTTTTTGTTCATTATTGAAATTGGAAATAACTCTTTTCCTTTTATTCTTCCCTTCTAATCCGTACACAGTAATATTCAAGATTATGAACTTTTGAACTATTGAGACACTTACTACTTGAATTCTCCAATTCTAGCACTGAATTTAGTAAATTTCCACTCCATGAGCAATAAACAGAAACTCAGTTGGCTTGGATTTGTAATTTTCTCTTATTAAGTAGTTGAATAAAAGAAAATCTGTCAATAAGTAATATGTAAGACTTTTAATCCTTCTAATGGGGCTAGTTTAGTTATAGAACTCCATATGGTTTTCTTTTGTTTAATTGGTGTCTTGATGATTTTGATCTTACTTTCTACAGCATGAATGTTCTTATAGTTTCTTTTGAATATTTGACAAACATTCCCTTTTAAGGAAGATTTGTGTAGGTTTCTAACATAGAGGGGAGGCCTTTGAAAAATCCAGAGAACTCTGGAGGTTGTAGTATTTTACTTTTATTTATTTGCGAACGGGAGATTCTTTTATACTGTCAAAATATGTACCATGCATAAAATTTGTACACATTTTTAAGTTAGGTTAGATTGGTTTCGATGAGTTAGGTCTCGTGTCTCTGATTGTGGTTAACTAACTATATCTTTGGTGCTTTTTGATTCATTAAGTAACAATTTAGCTTGCATTTATTCATTTATTATGTCCGGTTTTATCTTATTGCTCTGTTGCAGGTAGACATGATTGTCTTGACAGATGGAAGTCGAATTCTTGGCTTAGGTGACCTTGGAGTTCAGGGGATTGGAATACCAATCGGAAAACTTGATGTGTATGTTGCTGCTGCTGGTATCAACCCACAAAGAGTATGCTTCTTTTTATCTCTGTCTATCTATTTTCGTCTCAATCTCTGTCTGTTTATGTCTCTGTATTTTCTGGTATACATCTGATGGGAGTTAAGGATCTTTTGCTGGTGGCCTAGGCTTGGCATAGAAGCATTCACACTGGGATAGGATTATTACCTATGCTTGGATACTGCTGGGCATTTATAATTTCATTAATGCTTGTAATTTTATCATGTGTAGTAGCTGCATGTGTCTTCTATAAATGAGTTGATAATATGTTCATGATGTTTTGACTTCACTAAGATCATTAATATGGAATAATATGTAAATTAGGTTTCTTTTGTTTAACTACTACTTGATAAAGGTAGTAACTCTTGTTAACTCACCATGTGTTGTTTTTCCAATTGTGGCAGATACTTCCAGTGATGCTAGATGTTGGTACCAACAATCAAAAGCTTTTGGAAGACCGCCTTTGTGAGTAAAACTCTGTTCTTTTAGATATTTTGTCTGCTTATCTCATTATTTCATGTATTGGGGACCAAGGATGGAGCCAGAAATTTCATGTTGTGAGGGCCAAGTACAAAGTTTATTTTATTTAGAATCATGAATGTCTTTAAGTTTCCGTATCTGAGACACAGGATTAATAAACTGCACTGGATTATAGTTTTGAAACATATCAACGCTTTAAAATTGCCAAACAAGAGTGAAGGATTAGGATTCATAACCTCTTTTCCTTTCTTAGCTGCCATTGCTAGGTTAAAAGCTTTAGAATACTTAGAATTAACCCACCTTGCTTCTTTACTCCTTTGCATATCTGCTCATCTCACCCTGGCTAGGCCCCTTAATCTAGAGTTGTTGTTCGACTAAAACTTTCTTACTATAGATTTAAGCTCTTTGCAAAGCTTATCTGGAAGTTTAAAACAATTAGAACAGAAGAAGTTGCCATAGTCACTTATTCAATTAAACTGTCTCTACCTTCAGCATCAGAAAGGAACCAATTAGTTAGACCACCAATAAGTTCAATGATTACAATTTTTCGTTGTATAATTTTTCAAATTTTGAGCCTTAGGAGGCCATGGCACTTGCCAGCTCCCCTTGGTTCAGTCCTTTCCAGGGACTTATGTTTACTAATGAAGACATCATGCTTGTCAGTTGTCAGCAACCCATATTTTTGTGGTTGTATTTGAATAATATGATCCTGTAGATAATGACTATTGTGGGTTGAATATACTAAAGCAATATTTTTGGAGTCTTGGAGTGTGATTATTCAATTGCTTTGACGTTCTTGATCTTTTGAGAAACTGTTCCTAATCATTTATAACTAGATTCTGTATATAATTTCTCTTGTGCAAATAAAAGCGAACCTATTAGCAAAAATAATATAAAATAACATTAAAAAATTCAAATAAAAGACCATATTCAAAATTCTGACAGGTTACTCTGCAGTATACTGTATCTTTCTGATTTGTTTCTTGACATTTTCTTGATTAGTTTATCCTGTATTTATAATTGTATTTTCAGACTGCAAAGACCATACTGAAAGCTAGCATGCTAATTTATCTTAGTTGATATCATGAAAGGTATTGGCTTTTCTGATGTCGTTTTCATGTGATAGATTTAGGACTTCGACAACCAAGGTTGGAAGGTGAAGAGTATATATCAGTTGTGGATGAATTCATGGAAGCTGTTCATGCTCGATGGCCTAAGGCTATTGTACAGGTTTGTTTGTTTGTTTTTTCTCCTTTACCTGGTTATATTTGCAGGTTTGTATTTATTCTAGCACATATTACTCTCAATGTTCACTTTGGATTTTATCAATTTTGTGACTAGATTGTTGTGCTTATTTTATCAGTTTGAGGATTTCCAAATGAAGTGGGCTTTTGAAACCCTGGAACGATATCAGAAAAGGTTTTGCATGTTTAATGATGATATACAGGTGAGAAAATGATGTTAAATATTGTTAATGTAGAAAATCTTCAAGGCGTTATCTAATTTAGTGCGTTACTGAAGTAGCTACTGAAACTTCAAATTTTCTTGATGTCCAACAGGGCACTGCTGGTGTTGCACTTGCTGGATTATTGGGAACTGTGAGAGCCCAAGGTCAACCATTGTCTGATTTTGTGAACCAAAAGATAGTTGTGGTTGGAGCTGGGAGGTAATTACAAAATTGATTATGATGGACATAATACTGGTGTCCAGTTTCTTTTGTTGTTTGATGTTCTATCACACTCCTCATTTTAGTTACTTTCTGTCTCAATTTTTTGTTGTTGCCTGGATTGCAGTGCAGGGCTTGGGGTTCTAAAAATGGCTGTCCAGGCAATTGCAAAGATGTCTGGGTGCAGTGAATTAGCTGCCAAAAGTCAATTCTTTTTGATTGATAAAGATGTATGCTTTCACAACCTTTACTAGCATTGTCAGTCCTTTAAGTTGCAATGCTTGAAAACCATAATTATGTTGACTTTCATATTCAATTGTGATTTTGACTGAACTCCATGTAATCCAAACATAATTTGTAATTTTTTTTTTTCATTATATTCTGTCTTGATTTGTCTTCATATCTAATATTGTTGGCATGAGAAAATAAATAATTGTGTGCAATCAATTTTTGGATGATGCTATTTTATATTTGTATGTTGTTGGATTAAGTCTGATAACAAATCCATCTTCTTATGCAGGGTCTAGTCACGACAGAAAGGAACAATCTAGATCCAGCTGCAGCCCCATTTGCTAAAAATCCAAGAGACATAGAGGGGCTTACAGAGGGTGCTAGTATAATTGAAGTGGTAAATGTTACAAGATTCATTGAGGAAAACTCTGTTGGCTAAAGGCTGTACTCCTATGATATTGAAAAGAATTATTTTGATATAAAAGGACTAAACCACTTTACTTCAGTGAAGCTAATTTTAAAGATTTTGTGTACTTACTCATGTCCATCCTCTAATTGTTGGATATATTGATCTTTAGGTTAAGAAGGTTAAGCCACATGTGCTTCTTGGTTTGTCTGGCGTTGGTGGTATTTTTTATGAGGAGGTAATTAAATTCTACAATTGCATTTCTATCATGTTATATCCATAAATGAAGTATATTTCAATATAGTTAATAGAAATCTTTGGAATATGTCTTGTTTTGACAACTTTGGGTACTGTATGAACTTTTCTGCTATTGAGTTTCTTAATTTTAATGGTTGATATTCAACTCAGGTGCTTAAGGCAATGAGAGAATCTGTTTCAACAAAACCCGCTATCTTTGCCATGTCTAATCCCACCATGAATGGTTAGTTTGTACAAGGCTTATTAAGCACTTGCAATTCCTTAGTAATGTTTATGTTTTTTCATTTTGACATTTTTCTGTATATTATGGGGACAGCTGAGTGCACTGCTATTGATGCCTTTACTCATGCTGGGGAAAATATAGTGTTTGCAAGTGGAAGCCCTTTTGAAAATGTAGATCTTGGTAATTACCTCTCTCGTTGGTTTTGACGTATCTTGTATAGTTTAGATTTTCCTCAGCTGTTGAAGAATCTCCAATTAAAATTTTGCGCAGGTAATGGAAAAGTGGGCCACGTAAATCAAGCTAACAACATGTACCTGTTCCCAGGGTTGGACATGTCTTCTTGGCCTATATATTTTCACAAACTATACCTATCAATTAAACTATTGGTGTAACTTCTATTTTAACTTTTTCATTTCAGAATTGGTTTGGGAACTCTTTTGTCAGGTGCTCGTCTTATAACAGATGGAATGTTGCAGGCAGCTTCTGAATGGTATGATGTTAATTTGGATAATTGTTCCTTTTTATTTACCAAAAAGCTATTGGAACTAGCATTCATGGAAGTTTGGCAAAAAATCCATAGACATTTTTAGAGTCCTACCATAACATAATAGATTTCACTAGGCTGCTATAACGATTGAGCAGTTTGCCCTTGTCTTGTGTTGCCTAACATTTTACCTGTTGTCTATATTTCTTTTCTTTGAAATCTGTTCTGTATAGGTCCTATGTTTGGACAGTTATTTTCTTGCCCGGTAATACATGCGCACTACATACTGAGTATTTTTTTACTACTAAAGTTGTCAATAAGATATGCGCACTACATACTGAGAGTATTTTTTTACTGCTGAAGTTGTCAATAAGATAACACTATACATGGTAGTTCCATGCACTTGCCCTAGTTTTTACAGCACTTTTTATCTTCAGTGTATTTTTGCAAGTTTGTGATGAAAATTTTATAACCAATTTCATTGGATTAAATTGCGTCTTCCTTTTTAATTTTCCCATCCTGATGGGATGTCACTTGATGGTTATTTTCAAATAAATTACTAACATACTGTCGTCCTAACAGCCTTGCTTCATACATGGTCGAGGAAGATATCTTAAATGGAGTTTTGTATCCATCCGTTAATAGGTAATATTCCTTTTTTTCCCTTGACATCTTTTGATTTTCATCTTCTCATGGTTCTGCTTTTCCTGTAGTCTTTTATAATGACCGGAACAAATGAAGTTGCAATTTTGTTAACGAACTTAAACTGTGATTCTGTGAATGTTATTAATAATCTAGGATTTAGATGCCGAGTCTGGCACCAAATATCTAATAATATAGGTGTTGATCCACTCATCTCTTATCAAAGGTGTTCGGTCATTTACTAAATGTATTAGCTTCTAATATGGTTAAAAAGACGTGTCCTCAACTTTTTTTAAAAGAAAAAAACAGTCTCGTTGATCTGGTTGTTTGTTAAGAAACTAAATAGTTCTTAATAGTTGATATTATGGCCTTCTCTTAGTAACGCTACTTTGCGTGCTGCAGCATACGAGATGTTACAGCAGAGGTTGGGGCTGCTGTGCTTCGAGCAGCAGTTGAAGAAGAGCTAGCAGAAGGACATGGTGATGTAGGACCCAGAGAACTAGTAAACATGTCAAAAGTATGGAGAATTTTCAGATTTCACCCGTTTATGATATATTAAAAATTCTGGTAGACTGCTAACTGGTGGTTATTGTTGCAGGAGGAGACTGTGGAGTATGTCCGAAGGAATATGTGGTACCCTGTATATTCTCCTCTAGTTCATGAAAAGTAATTCGTGATGCACAATTTTTTAAGGCTTTGTACAATTCACATCTCAAAGTGCTGCAGCCAAGCCTTTTCTATCTTTGTTTTCTAATGTTCTTAATTAACAAAGAGCAAATTGAGTATTGAGGGCATATAGCGAAATGGGGAAAGATATGTCCCCATTTGTTTCGGCCGTGAATTATCATGAGTGTATTAGCATCGAAATTTGACTTTTCTAAGTTCCATGTATATTATATTTTTTATGTTGGAGACAGTTATTAATAGATCTCTGTAACATTGATGACCATTACGGTGGATAGATTCGTTGTTAACATTATTTATATGAATACTGTTGGGATTGTTTGTACAAAGGTGGCACATGATTTTAAACTCATGACCACATGTGTTTAAACTATTGGCATTTTCATATGCTCTTCCAAATATGGTATGCATGCTCGAAATTTCACAACAGTATTACATCTTTTAACCACATTTACTGTTTGACTAACGGGCTATTAATTGATTATCACAGTATATTAACTGACTCCTAGGCTATTAACCAAATAATACACGTTAACTCAAATTTGTACCATTTTAACTGGCATAATATGGGTGTAGAGATTCGGGTGTGGAGGGATCATTTTCGAGTATTTTAAAGAGCATAGAGTAAGTATTATTTGGTAGTTACTTTAAAAAAATGAAGCGAATACATTCATAAAAATTAAATTATTATTTAGATGTTTTATCTTTTAAAAAAACTTATTTTCTTACTATTAATACTATAAAAAATACCCCCTTTTTGTTATTTTGAAACCATACAATTCTTTTATTTTGGGTTGAGTGGTCCTGAGCTTATGAATGGGGAAAGAAAAGCATATCAAAATGGTAAAATACAAAAGCAGTGGCTTTTGACAAAAATATACTGTGTATCTAATGAATCCCCTGTGATGCTGGTCATTAGGGGTGTTAACGGGCCGAGCCGAGCTTTGATCTTAACGGGCAAAGTCTGTATTTAAACGTGTCAGACTGGCCTTAACATGTTACCTGTTACGAATACAATATTAGCCTGTGGCCTGGTTCGTTTACAAAAAATAAAAGCCTGTCTCAAGCCTGTGGCCTCTTTATTTATTAAAAATAAAAATCTTACCTTCCAATTTGTAGCAATATTTAGCCCATTAATCATGCACTGATATGTATTTTTTTGTAAGAAAATAATAGTTGTTTCTTTTATAATAAAAAAACATTAATATTAAAAAATCAAAATAACAACAGCACCTTTACTTTATTTTACGTTGCTTTTCCTTAATTTTCTTCCACATTCTAAATTTTTTAAATTAAATTTTCTTCCACATTCCTTAATATTCTAGATTTTTTACACTAGATTTGAACCCCACCAATAAATTTTCTTCCACGTTTTACATTAAATTTTCTTCCACGGTCACCGCCATAAGCATCATTATAAGCCGTGGAATCCGCATGGCTTATAAAAATAGATGATGAATATGACTTCATTTACCTGTTGGTGGGACGATGACTTAGATCGGGGAGAAGAGATGGTGGAGCAGAGACAGAAAACTGAGAAAAGAATGTTGAAATGATTAATATAAAAATATAAAAAATAAATAAATTTAATGTATACGAGACAACCTCCAAGGCTTCAAGGACGGGCTTGACTATGGAAGTCTGAGGCCTTTTAAATAAAAAGGCTTTTGCATGAGTATAAGTCTGGGCTTAATAATAAAAAAAGACGAGCCGAACCGAGCCGAAACCGGCCGGGCCTAAGGCCCCTGATAAACCCCTGGCCTTATTATCAACGCTACTGGTCATGTTATCTTGTTAAATGTTAAATAAAGCTTGAAAACCGTTTAAAGAAATGTTATGTTCAAGATAAATTTATTATATAATTAGACTTATTATACAGAATGTACACAGTTCATTATCTAACTACAAATAAAATAAGGGAAAAATGTGTATAATTTTGAAGGATGTAAAATTGTGTCATTTTAAGAGAGAGAAAGAGATAGATAAAGGAGGATAGAGAGTTGACAAAAAAAAAATAAAGTTGTGGGTCCCACCTCTTTGTGAGAGTGAAAGGATATAAGTTGTGTAATTTAAATGTATAGACACTTTTCCCATAAAATAAACATACTACTTATGTACATGTACTTACGTACACCGAAAGGTTTTGTCTCTTGATCCTAGTATTCTACAAATACTATTTACTGTGTACGAGTAGGGGTGGCAATACGGGTCAACCCGACACGACACGACACGTTTTCGACCCGTACACTATTTGACACGACCCGTTTTGTAAACGGGTCACAAAACACGAATCCTGACACGACTTGCGGGTCACGAGTCGACACGACCCGACTCGCAAAATTTAAAATTTAAAAAAAGTGGAATTTTTTGAAAAATAAATAAAATAAATAAATAAAAAATAAAATAAAAAAAAGATTTGTTTCTGTTTCTTGAGATTTTTAGTTCTTTGTATTCTTTTCTATACTAAACAATGACTATATATATCAATATATAAATGAATAAAAATAATAGTATAATAAAATATTTAATTAAAAATTAAAAAATGACACTGTGCGGGTTGACATGTGACTAGACACGAAAAAAAATAGGTCACATTTACATAACCCTGACACGACCCGTCCTGACCTGCGGGTTCACACGACACGTGATTTGACGGGTCGGGTCAGGGGTTAACCCACGAGTCAATACCTGTATTGCCACCAGTACGCCCAACATAGTTACGTATTCCAATACTGAGAGCTTTCTATTTCTCTCTCTGACTTTACAAGAAAAAATAAATAAATTTGTGATACATAGTTATCATGGTAAGGTGCTTGGACTCTGATTGAATAATATTTTTAAAAACAGTTTTTTGAATTTCGAAATAAAAAAAAAAATATTTGATAAGGTCTATATTATAAAAAAATTTAAAAGATTGTAATTTTTTTTTAAATTAAATTTAAAAAATATGTCAAATTACTTTTTTTTTGTATTTTAACTTTTAATTTTTAAAATAAAATATATATAAAAAAAACATATTTTCATAATTATTCTTAAAAACAAAAAAATCTGAACACTAATTGAAACCCACCCTCTTTCTCATTGTTTTTTCTTGTCGACCATGACGGCGCCACCATGTGTTCCACCGTGACCAAGCTGCCGAGCCACCCACACTACCGGAGCTCCACCGCTTGGTCCTTGCTCGTTTCAGTCTACGTAAGATGGCAAGAAATGAAAGGTGCCAGGGTTGAAATCAATTGTTATTAAATATTGATTCTTTTCAATTTACTCAGTTTGTACACAAAACGAGAGGTTAATTAAAAAAAAAGGTCAATTTTTTTTGGAGAATGTGATGCAACATAAGAGGAAAGTTGAAAAATTGATAATAGTAACAATTAATAGAGGGAGGGGAAGGAAAAACAGGTAATTTTTTTTGAAGAATGTAAAGGAGCCAGAAAAGGAAGCTTTAAAAATTGGATAACAGTTATAATTAATAGCGAGAGAGGAAAGAAAAACTGGTGAAAAAAATTGAAGAATGTGATGGTGCCAGAAGAGGAAATGTTGAAAAAGTTGATATAATAGTGTCAAGAGGAAAGAAGGGTCTGCATGGATACAACAGAAGCTTCAGAGTGAGCTTACAAGTTGTAGATATTCTTATAAGATTTTCATTGAGCCAAAGATCATTCAAATTAATGGAGTGAAGCTCAAGATATAGCTATATTACCCAGACTATGCTGTTTTCTGCGACAGCACCACTAGTGTTGTACCTTTGAGCTCAATTTAAGGTATTTTAACTCAAGAATCATGCTTCTATGTCTTCATCAAAGTTGTACATATGTTTCTAAGCTTTCCATAATGTTATAGAATGCCCAAAAGAGAGATTTGTAGCTCAAGATACGAGTAAAAATGTAAACCATGTTCGGTTATGACGAGAATGGGTTGAATGGAAATAAAACTCAAACTTGAGCTTATGTTTTGTGTGACTAAAATGAAATACCTCACAACTTTTTATTTTTATTAACAATTTAACACTGATCCCACACTGCTTTCATGAATAGTTGAAAGTAAAAGAAAGATGGTGAGGAAATTTGTAAAGAACGAGGGAAGGCACGGGAAGACGAAGCTCTAATAATACCATTCACGTTTTCAAGCTGTGAATGTCTTTCATTTAAGTTACAATTTTAAAAGTTCTTGTTGATAAAGCTGCCCAAGTGGGCCACAGGAAAATTATAAAGAGTTGTGATATGGCGAAGATATGCAATCCAAGGAAACAATAACAGCCGTGCAAATTTTATCTAGCTAGCCTCACAAGAATGCTTTTTGGGTACGATGGTGATATTGAAAATTGGATGTGAGAGTGTACTTTACACTATGTCTTATCGGTAACACATAGTGTAAAGCACAAAAGTAGCTTTTTTTTTTTTTCTCGTTCCGATATAACATAAGCTGACATGATGCGCTCTTATTGGCCGAATGTATCTGCGATGGTGGTATTGAAAATAAATCTTGGGATTTCAAGAAGTGTTACAGTTTACTTCTAACCCAAGATGGCAAAAAGGTATCACACTAGCACTTATTCTTTCTCTTTGCTTTACATGCCTGTAGTTCCAGGCATATTGTTAATTCTAATATTTTCTAGTCCATTTTTATTTTTGCTCCATTTTTTGAAAATAAAATCCTTTTGTTTGAGTATCTCAGGTATGCAGTTGTGACTGGTGCAAATAAGGGAATTGGATTGGAGATAGTTAGACAGTTGGCTTCAGCTGGGATCAATGTAGTGCTTACTGCTAGAGATGAGAAAAGGGGCTTTGAAGCTTTGGAAACACTCAAAGCCTCAGGTCTATCTGACCTTGTAGTTTTTCATCAGCTAGATGTGGCTGATGCTCAAAGTGTTGCTTCTCTTGCAGATTTTGTCAAATCCAAATTTGGGAAACTTGATATTCTGGTAACATGGATATTTGATCTCCTATGTTGTTATTACTAAAAAAAAATGGCACATCCTAAAAGTCTACATATTTGGGCTGTTCCCCTTAAAAATTAGATGAGACACTAATTGACTTGCTGAACTGCAGAAACACATACAATTAAATTTCCATTTCCATGATTTGCGATATTCTCTTTTAATTTCTTCTTTGGTATCCATTGGATGTCAGGGAGCTCATCTTGTAATTCCAGTTATTCATTTTTGGTTGTGTGGCTCTACATGCATACTTCTCTTTAGTTATCTATTATTGGATTCTACATGTTAGATATATTACATTTGCATTTTTGTTTAATTGGCCTAAGTAGCCTTTATTTTGTATCAGATAGTGTTCCCCTTTGTCATCTGTTAATTAAGCAGGCTACAGTAGCCAATTAATCAATTTAATCATGACTTCTCATCTTGACGTATGCATATTTCTGTATCGTGCAGGTTAACAATGCAGGGATTGGTGGAATGGAAATCAAAGACAAGGATTTATTCTCTCTAGCAGTAATCAAACGTGGGGTTAGTATCTAGACATGTTATGGCATCCAGTCAATAATAGTTGCAAACAACAGTTTCCCAAAGTACAGTTTAACTTGATAACAACATGGATATTATTATTGATTCTGATAATAGCTTGTGTAGTATTATAGCATTCCAACAATGTTCTATATGTCAAACTAAATTTAAATATCAGGTGCTTATAACTCTTTACTATTATGGAGTTGATTAATGGCATAGTATATGTGAAGTTTATAAGATGCCATATATAATTTGAAACTGTTCTGGAAACTTCTCAATGTTAGTAGGTCCAAATGTTTTGTTTTAGGGCAGGGGGGGTTATTGGTTTGAAAAACTTCTATAATGTTTGTTGAGTATTGATTGTCCTTACTTTGCAGGCATTATCTGAAGATGATAGGAGAAAGGCAATGACTCAAACATATGAGTTAGCTGAAGAATGCTTGCAAATAAATTATTATGGTTCTAAAAGAACAGCCGAATCCCTTCTTCCCCTCCTCCAGTTATCTGATTCTCCAAGAATTGTGAATGTATCATCCTTCATGGGGAAGTTAGAGGTATGCTATTACTTCTTGCGTCAATAATTCATAAGGTTTTTGCAATATCTTGACTCATCTATTTTAAATAATCAATAAATAGTCATGCCATTGTCTGTAACATAAATATAATTGGTTCCAATGATTGGGGGACTAATTAACAAAGTTACACTCAGCACAAAAATAAAATAAATTAACATAGTTCCACCAGTTACATGCTTAATTACACCTTAGAAGATTAAATTTTTTTGGATGAGACTAATCCCGGGGTAAAAAGCGTGAAGATTTTTGTGGATTCTGTTAAGAATCTTGAGGTCACCTCCCCAAAACCTAGCTCGAAGGGTGAGAGTGTCCAAGGCCTTATAAACTCCACATTAGTTGCACATACAACCAATGTGGGACTATATATCTCAACATGCCCCCTCACACGAGAGCCCATTGGGCTTGAAGAGTGGACAATGCAACAGGCCCAGCTTACCTGTACTAAGAAACGCCACAAGAGAAAGTGGAGGGCGGCGATGCTCTGATACCATGTTAAGAACCTTGAGGTCACCACCCCAAAAGCTAGCTCGAAGGGTGGGGTGCCCAAGGCTTTATAAACTCCACATTAGTTGCACATACAATCAATGTGAGACTATATATCTCAACAGATTCAAACCAAAGACCTTTTAGCACCAACTGAGCTAGCTTACCAGCTATGCCATCCCTTGGGTTTAAGATTAAACATCTTTACTATGAGAGAAAAACCAATACAAGAATAATTATGGAGTTAAATAAACCTTAACTCAGCCATTCCAAAACCCCTTGTGCACCCTCTCTTATTACCCCATTGGTTTTATTTATGACTAAGCTTTACTTGGCCTTGTGTATGATATTGGAGCAATATCTTCAATATCTTTCCCCTCTCCTCCAAAATTTTCATAGAGATATCTTCTTATTTAATTTATTGTTATGGCCTGCCTCCTTTTATTTGCATGATCTCTTATATTGCTTATTCATATCACATCAGTTTGTATCAAATGAATGGGCTAAAGGAGTCTTCAGTGATGCTGATAACCTTACAGAAGAGAGAGTGGATGAAGTATTGAAGCAATTTCTCAAAGATTTTAAAGAAGGGTCATTAGACAGCAAAGGGTGGCCTAAGTCTTTTAGTGCCTATGTTATATCTAAAGCTGCTATGAATGCCTATACAAGAATTCTTGCTAAGAAATACCCTGCTATCTGCATCAATAGTGTTGACCCTGGTTATGTCAAGACAGATATAACAGCCAATACTGGCTTCTTAACTGTTGAAAAAGGTGCTTCTAGTCCTGTGAGGCTAGCACTACTTCCCAATGGTGCTCAATCTGGACTCTTCTATCAAAGGAGTGAAGTCTCTCGCTTGTGATTACTTTTTTTGTTTAATTTTTAATCCTAAGGTATAAGGGTTTTATAAAAGTTATGTTGTAGGAAAAGTGATTGTGTAATGTTATAGAGATTCGTTTTGCGTGCCGTAGTTTTTTTTTCTTCAAAAAATGTGGGCCCCACGAAATGTTATGTGTGTAGAAAACTTTGTTGTGTCATGTTAAATGACAAATGCAAACCCCAAGCTATAATAGTGACATCTTTTGCCTTGTTTAAACCTATTTGTGTTTGTCACATCATAAAGATAAATCTTAATTATCTCTCTTGAAATGCAAGTTCTGTCCGTTGTTTTATTAGAATACAATGGAGTTGACTATATTTACAAAGTACACTATATACTATGGGTGTACGAGTACTACATGCTCAAGTATTATGTATTATCCGTAATACATAATTTAATTTGTAAATAAAAAATTTATAAATATAACCTGCTCAAATATAATATATTTAAAATAAATTTCGGGAGAGAATCTGAGTTTGATTCTCACCGAATAAATCTTTAAGGAGGAGCGAAAAACTTTAACTATAAATTAAGTTCCGACTCGAGATTAATCTCATAACCGGCTCAAAAAGCCGAATTTGTGAAAATAGCTTGGGATCAATTTGCCTCAAAGAATTAATTAAGATTGCTATAAAAAATATAATTCAAATAAAATGGTACATTTCAGTCTCATACATTTTTTTCGATTCGCATGAAATGTTAGAACTTTTGATTCTGTCCTTAAATTGTAACAATTATATTAATCATAATAGAATAGTAAAGGTTATATTTATAAACTTTTTATTTACAAAATTTTATAGATTATACTATGTACTATCTGTAGTACATGCTCAAGTAGTATGTACTACCTGTAGTATATAGTGTAGTTTGTAAGAATTTGTAAACAAAAAATTTATAAATATAACTCTACTCTAATAGAATTCCCAAATCATAAAAATATAAATGTTATATTAAATTTGAGATGCAATCATATTAAATTATTTCTTAAATAAAATGAATGATTTAAATAAATAAATACAAAGCAATTCAAGTCATTTTATTTAAACAAAATAATATAAATAAGTAACATTACAATTATTTATTGGGTTAATTTTTCTTATGTTACATAAGATAAGATTTTTCTTGTGCACAAACCAATGTTATTAAAACTGGCCCGGTCAATGACCCGGCCGAGGTACCGGGTCACTGGATCACTGGTTCAACCGCATGATCCGGTGATTATATATAAATCTATAATTTATATTAAAAATTTTATAAATATACTCAAATAATTGAAAAAAATAATATAAATTATAAATATTTTAATATAAAAATAAATAAATTATACATTATTGTCCAATAAAGGATCAAACAAACACATAATGCTTGTTATATTGGTGTTTCAGGTTCGGTAAACAACATCTCTAACTATCAAATCAAAATTTTCTGCATAGTGCATAACTGAGATATATTAGTATTGTAGGTACCTAACTTATGTAAGTCAATAAGTAATAGATCATTCAAAAATGTCAATTATGATTTATTTTTTTTGGAAAACTTTTTTTTTGAATTTGTTTTTAAACTCGGGCTGGGTCACCGATTAACCGGCCGGGTCACCGGTTTTTCACCAAAACTGATCGGGCCGTACTGGGTCTGATACTTGATCGATCTAATGTGATAACCGGACTGGTCAGATGACCGATTCACCGAGTTCCGGGTCAACCCGGCCGGTCCGATCCGATTTTCACAACATTGACTCAAACATCACATGGTGGGACCCACCAAGTTTTAAAAATAATAATAGGGAATGAGAATTTTGATGGATGTGTAGAAGAAAAATCTTCTTTTACGTAACATGAGAAAAGTTTAACTTTATTTATGTTACATAAATATATGAAATGATTAATAATAAATATATAATAATGTAATATTTTAGACTTGTTATAAACTTCATTTTAGACATGTTGGAATTATAGATTTTCAATTTATAAAGTGTATTATGAGATCCGTAATAATTGGAAAAGTCACCCATTTAATTGAAAGTGTTACCAATCATCTTTTACCTCTTATTTTAGCATACCCGAAGGAGTACATGCTTTGATGCAAGTTATTAAAATATCTTATACTTCATCTCCTGCTATGGTGAGGTGACATGACAACTAAAGATATCATTCAAAATACAACTGTCCACATTCTTATGAAAAGTTAACGCAACGACAGAAAACCAAGAATTAATTATTATTTTGTAATATTTTAAGGAATTACAAAAGTATTTTAAAAAAACTAGTGCATGGTGACACTTAATATTTGAAAGACTAAATTAAAGAATCTTTTTTCTAACAAATTTTAAATTTTATTTAATTTGAGGTAGACAGGTTGTTATATTCTTTTCATATGAAGATAGATATGAAGAGATTGATTGACCAAAGAATATATTAAAAAAAAATCTAAAAAATCTAAACCCTTCCTTATTGCCGGCTTTTATTTTTGCCGGCTTCTCCTTCAACACTCCACACTCTCATGCAAACCCTTCTTTTCTACTTTACTTATCACCGTTTCCATCGATCGTTGCAGTGGGAATGTGGGATGACAAGAAATGAAAAGTAAACGGTCACAACACATATAGGTAGTGTTTGGTAGAAGATTTATTTTAGGATTGATGGAAAAGTGCAAGTGGGTATTGAAAAATATCAAGTTTGGTTCAGTTTTTAAAAAGAATACTAGGCAAATAGGATAGATGAGGAAATGACTTTTGTGTTGATTTTTGGATGAAATTCACTGTTACATAATACTACTTGAGATGTGGTATTTTGAGATAATTGAAGAAGTGAAAAAATAGGTGCGAAGTTTCTCCCGAACATAGATTTTGCAAATTTAAATAACTTTCCCCGGTAATATTTCAGTCAACCAAACAACTTTTTTTACATTTTCCTACCAAACTTACTTTCCAACCATTTCCCTAGTAATTACATTTTCTTAGTATTTAAAAAATTTCTCCTCAACCAAACGCTCCCACAGGGAAAAGATGTTAATTATTAGGGGTATTTTTTTCTCGTGTTGTTGCATAAGAAAACAAACCCTTCTTACACATATTATAAAAAGGGTGTGTCACTCATTATTTTGTTTTTTTTTTTGAACAGATGGATCCCACATTTAATGTATCTATGACATGAGATTAGAATTTTTTCACTAACATAAGATTTATTTTTCCCTAATTATTAATGGATAAATCAACATGATAATTTTTTATTTTTATATTTTTTCTTTCTCATCCCTCGTTATCATAAAAATAGGCATGAGATTAGGATAATGAGATTAGGCATGAAAATGCATGCATGTCCAGTATATATATATTTTTTTCTTCTACAATTTGGTAAACAAAAATATAACATTTTTGAAATATTCTTTATTTAACGGCCGGCGCTAACATTATAAGAGAAGCTCCAGAGTGACTGTAGAAGCATATCATAACACAATACTAACGGTTTCAGAGTTGAGTGAATAATTGTAGCCAAATATGACAAGAACTGTAGCAAGGTAGCACACTAGCACTTATCTTTTTCCTAGTTCCAACCACATTGTTAAATGTCATACTTTCTAATCCATTTTTTTCACTCATTTTTTTTTAAAACAATTCTTTTGATTTGAGTTTTTCAGGTATGCAGTTGTGACTGGTGCAAATAAAGGAATTGGATTAGAGACAGTTAGGCAGTTAGCTTCAGCTGGGATCAATGTGGTGCTTACAGCTAGAGATGAGAAAAGGGGTCTTCAAGCTTTGGAATCACTCAAAGCCTCTGGTTTATCTGATCTTGTAGTTTTTCACCAGCTAGATGTGGCTGATGCTCAAAGTGTAGCTTCTCTGGCGGATTTTATCAAATCCAAGTTTGGGAAACTTGATATTCTGGTAACATGAATATTTGATGCTCCTTTGTTGTTATTACTGAATAAACGACACATCCTAAAAGTCTACATATTTGGGCTGTTCACCTTAAAAATGAGATGAGATACTAATTGATTATTAAAATTGGTCCAACCGGAACCGGACCGATTAGGTCAATGGATCGGTTATCCATACAACCCGGTCAAGAATCGGTGAACTGGCTATAAATCATGTTGAACCAGTGATACCTATTTCTTAATTGAATTGTTCCTCGAAAATTATAGCAAAATATTCCGACAAAAGCACATATAAACAATTTTCCAGTTGTCTTTTAATTTTTTGTTTAGTTTCCAATGGATGCCTACATCCACGCATCAAATTGAAGCGACAAACCCATGAGTGACAAGAGACCTGACATTACATTTAAACTCAAAACTTTAAAACATTAAATTTACGAGTCATTTCTTTCACTAATATATATGTACCATGTTTAGCTTCTTTTTTCCTGATGAAAAACTTTTTATCAATCACACTTGAAATTTCCAAAAAGACTATTATTGGATTCTGCATGTTTGATCTTCTAATTTTAAAATATGGTTTATTTGGCCTAATTAAGTTGTCTTTATTATGTATTAGATAATATTTTCCTTTGTAATCTGTTAATTACATTTTAGCATTCAGCAAGCTTCAGTAACCAATTAATCAATTTTACAGATTTCTTTAATGTTATTATAAATCCCTTTGATAGCTTTGAATTGAATCATCATGACTTCTCATCTTGACGTCTGCATATTTTATTAAAATAGACTGTATTGTGCAGGTTAACAATGCAGGGATTGGTGGAATGGAAATCGAAGACAAGGATTTACTCCTTCCAGTAATGATGAAACGCGAGGTTAGTATCTAGACATGTTATGGATCTAGTCAAATGATAGATGCAAAAAAAAAAAAACATTTCCCAAATACAGTTTATCTTTAACTTGATAACAAAAAAGATTTTTATTGATCCTGATTATAGCTTGTGTAGTATTATGACATTCAGACAATGTTCTATATGCCAAACTAAATTTAAATATCTGGTAATTATCTTATAACTCTTTACTATTATGGAATTAAATAATGGCATAGTATATGTGCATATTAAATTTGAAGTTGTTCTGGACATGTTAGTAGGTTGAATTGATTTTTTTTAGATCAGGAGATATTGTTGTTGGTTTGAAAAATTTCTTTAGTCTTTGTTTGAGTATTGGATTGTCCTTGCTTTGCAGGAATCATCTGAAGATGAACTGAGAAAAGCAATGACTCAAACATATGAGTTAGCTGAAAAATGCTTGCAAACAAATTATTATGGGGCTAAAAGAACAACCGAATCCCTTCTTCCCCTCCTTCATTTATCTGATTCACCAAGAATTGTGAATGTATCATCCACCGTGGGGAAGTTAGAGGTAGGCTATTACTTCTTGCATCAATAGTTCATATGGTTTTTCCACTAAATCTTACTGAAGAGAGTAAACTTGAAACTCTAGTGTTATGACCGGAGTGAAATGTGGCTCAGAATTAGAGCCGGCAAAACGGACTCGACTCGGCAGGCCAATCCGCCTAACTCGTCAAACGGGGTGGGGCAGGCTGAATTTTTCAACCTATCTCAAAAGTGGGGCTGGGCGGGGCGGGCTCATTTTTTGGCAGGTTGATGGCGGGCATAGGCGGGCCGAGGCGGATCAGTGTAAAATAAGCTTGGGCTGGCGGGCCAACTCGCCAAACGGGACGGGACGAGCTGAGTTTTTCACCCCACTTTCAAAAGCGGGGCGGGGCGGGCTGGCTCATTTTTTGGCGGGTTGATGGCGGGGTGGGGCGGGGCGGGGCGCCCACTTTGCCACCTCTACTCAGAATGACTTAAATGCTGACAATATCTTGATTAATCTATTCCAAATAATTGATAAAATAATCATGCCATTCATTGTAGTAACATGTCTAATTCATCTCTATTTCTAATCTGTATAACAGTTCGAATTAGATTTTTGTATGATATTGGAGCAATACCTTCAATTTCTTTCCCCTCCCCTTTGCAAAATTTGCTTAAAAATATCTTCTTATTTAGTATATGTTAATTTGTGTGTTGTCTCCTTTTAATTGCATGGTCTCTTACATTGCTTATTCATGTCAAATCAGTGCGTATTAAATGAATGGGCTAAAGGAGTTTTCGGTGATGCTGAAAACCTCACAGAAGAGAGAGTGGATGAAGTATTGAAGCAATTTCTCAAAGATTTCAAAGAAGGGTCATTGGAAAAAAAAGGGTGGCCTAAGTGTTTGGGTGCCTATATTGTCTCTAAAGCTGCTATGAATGCTTATACAAGAATTCTTTGTAAGAAATACCCTGCTATCTGCATCAATAGTGTTTGCCCTGGTTATGTCAAGACAGATATAACAGGCAACAATGGCTTCTCTACAGTTGAAGAAGGTGCTGCTAATCCTGTGAGGGTAGCACTTTTTCCAAGTGGTAGTCCATCTGGCCTCTTTTATTCACAGTGTGAAGCCTCTCCCTTCTGATTGCTACTACAATTTTATGGATTATGAAACAAGTTCCATTGCTTCTTCATAATGTTTTGCTTATGATTACTTTTTTTTTATTTAATTTTTGAAAGAACTCTGTATCATTTTAAAGGATGTAAAATTGTGTCATCTTAAGTGAGAGACAGAGATAAATCATGAAAGGAAAAAATGGACAAAAAATAATAAAGATGTGAGTCCTATTTCTTTACGAAAATAAAATGACACAAATTGTATCATTTAAAAAAATAAATATATATTTTTTTTGTATTAAGTAATCATTAGTGTGTTGTTCAAACCTGTTCCTCCTCATTATGAAAGTTGACAAGTAACAAGCATAGTTATTAAAAGTGGACAGACCCGGCTGGGTTGACCCGGGAACCGGTAAACCGATCATATAACCGGTCCGGTTGAAGCAACGGACCGGCCATGCATTAGAACCGGTGCGACCCGACCGGTTTTCATAAAAACCGGTGACCCAGCCCGGTCCCAAAAAAAAAATTCCAAATTTTTGTTTTTTAAAAAAAAAATCATAATACCCATATTTGAATATTTTTTTGCTTATTGACTTACATAAGTTATGTACCTACAACACTAATATTATCTCAATTATGTACTATTCATAAAATTTTGAATTAATTTATAGTTAGAGATGTCGTTTTATGAACCTAAAACTCTGTATCACGATTGTTATATTTTTGTTTGATTTTTTATTTGATAATAATATGTGATTTATTATTTTTTGTATTAAAATATTTGAATTTTTTATCATTTTTTTAGATATTTGAGTATGTTTATAATTTTTTAATATAAATTATAAAATTGCATATAATTATCAGGTCATGCGGTTGAACCAGTGACCCACTGGTTGAACTAGTAACTCAGTGACCTGATACCTCGATCTGATCAATAACCGGACCAGTTTTAATAAGATTGGTAACAAGACATTAGCACTGTACTATGCATGTGATGGTATAAATTTTTTCTAATTTTAAAAAAAGGGAAATACCAAATTTAGTACTCCTGTTATTTACGGAAGAGAAAGAAAGAAAAAATCCGTGATGTAACACCGCACCTTGCCATTGTCATGATTTGTGTTTGCCACTTATTGGGCCTGTAGCAATTATATGAAAGCATCTTTTCATCTACCTTTTACGAATGACTTGACGTGATCATGGAAAATTTCTTTTATGCTCCGTATGCATAAAAAATTTGGTATATCTTCCGTTTATAATATAATATGTATTTTATTTTTTATCAAATTATTTTTTCATCTAATTTTAATATATATTATTTATGAGTTTTATAAGAGTTATGTTGTAAGAAAAGTGATTGTGTCATGTTATAGAAATTCGTTTTCCGTGCCTTAATTATTATTTATTTTTTACTTCAAAAAATAAGAGCCCCACAAAATATTATATGTGTAATTTTTTTTTTCATGTTGCATGATAAATACAAATCCCACTATTTATTACTAAAAAATAAAATATATGTCATATTATGAATGAAAAATTCATTGAAAATTCGGTGCATTGATAACACAAAAGATATTCTTGTGGTCTAGGTCGTATCTTTACACTTTTAATCTTTTTTTAATCAAATTCAAGTTTTATCTATTTGTCATTTTTCATAAATTGAAAAAAAAAATAATAATTAAAAGATTTGAAATTTTTAAATTTATTTTAGATAATTTTATCTAATGTTCACTAAAATATATATATAAAAATATGTAAGGTTTATATTTTTTTCTCTCTTATCTCTTTACATGGGTTCACATGATTCCAACACACTTTTTTTTTGTGTATTTTGGGTGAACATTTAGTATAGTTATCTAAAATAACTTTAGAAACTTTAAATCCATAATTAAAATATTTAAAAAATTAAAAGACGTAACTTACAACGAGGAACGTCAGAGAATTCAACAACATCAACATTACATTTAATCCAAGCTAATTGAAGTCGGTGGAGATGAATAAAAATAAAGAGAGGGGGCATTAAAAATAAAAATAAAAAAAATTAGGGAAGGAAGAAATAAAATAAAAGATAAAAAAAAGGGAGTTTGAAGAAGAAAAAACCTAAAAAGAAAGTATCTGAAACATAAAAATAACAACAGCGGAGAATTAAACATACTAATGAAATATATAATCATTATAAATGAATGCATTCGATTCAACATCCATTACTACTTGCTCTAAAAAAAAATCTCTCACACAAATTAATACTAATATGCTAATATTGATCATGTCTTCTGTTTCTCTTATTTTAAATTATTATTTAATTTAAAAAAATAATAAACAAATAAAATTAAATTCTTAAAATAAGGTCTTGAATCGTATCATGTCATATTTGGAACACTGACGAAATTGCTACAATTTTCTTAATTTTTTTATTCAAATGTCACACTAATAATCTTTTTTATTAGACTACAATGCTTTGAAATTCGTTACGATTAGTAGTGTACTTTGTTGTCAATAATTTCGTAACATGTGGTATTATTTATGTGCCCCATAGTGTATCAAGTTCATTATCACTATTAATGAACTTAGTCCAAAGAGCTCTTTTCATGCAAAAATGTATAATGTGTCACGAAATTATCGAGGATAAACTTCCATGCATTACAATTTAGTAAAAAATACTAACCGTGTGATATTTGGGTAAAAAATTGGGGGAAGTGTTAGCACTTTGGTCGATGTTCCGTCATATTTTCTGTAATAACTATTTATTTATATAATTGTGATAGTTAAAATGACATATTTTCTTTAATATTCACCACGACGGCGCCACCATGTATTCCACGCCGCCACCCACACTACCCCGGAGCTCCACCGCTTGATCCTTCTCTCGTTTCTGTCTACAGTTCGATGGAAAGAAATAAAAGGTAACGGTGATAGAGACAAGGACAATGACATTGGTTATTCAATATTCATATTAAAATATTGATTATTTTCAATTTATTCTGTACAGAAAACGAGAGGCCAATATAATATACTGCCACATAGAAAAAATGGTCAAAAAAAAGAAAAAAGTTGAAAAATGTGATGGAGCAGTTAATGGTGATGCATACTAGAGGATATGTTGGGAAATCGATAATAGTGATGGAGCATAGAAACAGAGCTTGCATGGATGCCAAGTCACCCATACTATCTTATATAATTTTATTTTTTATATTTTAGTAATTTTTATATTTTTCTAGTAATTTATTTTTTGTAACACTTTGGTAAGTCAGCCCTAATCAAGATATGTTTTTAACTAATTTAATCAAGATTTGGAAGTGTGTAAAACACATAATAAAAATGCTGTGTTGTTGACCTTAAAAGAGAAGCTCTTACAACCACAGCATAACACAAAGTTGAGGGTCTTTACTCTGTTGAGTTTTTACTTCAAACACAAGATGGCAAAAAGGTAGCACACTAGCACTTAATCTTTCTCTTCGATTTGCATGCTTCTAGTTCCTTAATATATTGTTAAATCTCATGCTTCATAGTCCATTTTTTGATCTCTTTTTGAAAGTAAAACTCTTTTGATTGAGTATATCAGGTATGCAGTTGTGACTGGTGCAAATAAGGGAATTGGATTAGAGGTAGTTAGGCAGTTAGCCTCAGCTGGGATCAAGGTGGTGCTTACTGCTAGAGATGAGAAAAGGGGTCTCGAAGCATTGGAAAAACTCAAAGCCTATGGTGTTTCTGACCTTGTAGTTTTTCATCAGCTAGATGTGGCTGATGCTCAAAGTGTAGCTTCTCTGGCAGATTTTGTCAAATCTGAATTTGGGAAACTTGATATTCTGGTAACTTGGATATTTGATACTACTATGTTGTTATAACTGAAAAAATGGCACATCCTAAAAGTTTACATATTTTGGGCTGTTCCCCTTAAAAAATGGGATGAGACACTAACTAATTTGCTCAGCTGCAGAAATACATACAATTAACTTTCCATTTGAATGATTTGGAATATTCTGTTTTAATTTCTTGTTTTGTTTCGATCTTGCAATTCCAATTATTCATCTTTTGTTGTGTGATTCTGCATGCATACTTCTCTTTGGTTAGCTATTACTGGAATCTACATGTTAGATCTTTTAAATTTGAGTTTTTGTTTTATTGGCAGTATCAGATGGTGTTCCCCTTTGTAATCTGTTAATTACATTTTAGCACTAAGCAGGATTTAGTCACCAATTAATCAATTTGATAGATTTTATTGATGGTATTATATATCCCCTTGATGGCTTTGAATTGAATCATGACTTTTCATCTTGAATTATGCATATTTCATTAAAATAGGCTGTATCGTGCAGGTTAACAATGCAGGTGTTGGTGGAGTTGAAGTAAAAGAGAAGGATTTACTCTCTTTAGCAATCATTAAATGCGGGGTTAGTATCTAGACATTTTATGGCATCTAGTCAATAATAGATGCCAAAGAACAGTTTCCCAAAATACAGTTTATCTTTAACTTGATAACAAAATGAAGATATTTGTTGATCCTGATTATAGCTTGTGTAGTATTATGGCATTCCAACAATGTTCTATATGTCAAACTAAATTTAAATATCAGGTGCTTATCTGATAACACTTTAGTATCATGGAATTGGTTAATGGCATAGTATATGTGAAGTCTATAAGATGCCATATTAAATTTGAAATTGTTCTGGAAATTTTTCTATGTTAGTAGGTTGGATTATTTTGTTTTAGGGCAGGGGATATTGTTATTGGTTTGAAAATCTTGTAATGGTTGTTGAGTATTGAGTTGTCCATACTTTGCAGGCATTATCTGATGATGATCGGAGAAAGGCAATGTCTCAAACATCTGAGTTAGCTGAAGAATGCCTGCAAATAAATTATTATGGGGCTAAAAGAACAGCGGAATCCCTTCTTCCCCTCCTCCAGTTATCTGATTCTCCAAGAATTGTGAATGTATCATCTACGTTGGGGAAGATAGAGGTGGGCTATTACTTCTTGCATCAATATTTCATCTGGTTTTTTTTTGTGACTAATCTAACTGAAGAGAGTAAAGGAAGATTAAACTTGAAACTCTGGTGTTTTAGGTTGATGACTGGAGTGAAACCTGGCTCAGAGTGACTTAAGTATTGACAATATCTTGATTTATCTATTCTAAATAATTGATAAATAGTCATGCCATCCATATTTTGGGTAACTGTGGGTTTAAACAGAATTATTATTGGTTCCAATGAGAGGGAGTCTAATTAACAAGATGGCAACAAGCATAGAAACAAAAAAACAAAAAAAAAAATTAACATTGTTGGACCTGTCACATGCTTACCATATAACATTAACCATCTTTACAAGAATAATATGGAGTTAAATAGCTTAAAATCATAGCCAGCCCAAAGCCCATTGTACACCCTATTTCATAACTCAAAAATTTCCTCTTTCACTTGTTCTCTCTGTGTCTCACAATACGTCTGAGCCATTGGTTTTATTTATGAACAAGCTTCCTTAGTTTCCACTTGTTAGTTTCCACTTTTCCCAAATCTAGTAGATTGTACAAATTTAGTAAATATTTACAAAATCCTTTACATTATCTCATATATCCTTGTTATGGACCCATCTTATAGGCCCATATCCAATAGCCCACAACAAATAATCACCTAGGAGAGTTAAAGAAACAATCCTATTTGATAAGATATCAATTTTATCATATCACTAGTGGATCAAATATCGGGCCCCCAATATTCTCAAGTGGCCTAAAATCCTACTCCTACCAAATAATCCATCTATAAATAAGGGGTTAATCCAACTAGGTACACACTTTGAACTCCATACTCTCTTAGCTGTCACTGTGCATACATCCCACGCCTTCGTCTATACGCCATTATTATTAGTGCACAGTGATCTGCCAACGGTGAGAACGCTCAGATTGAGCATCAACGATCTCCCTGTTGTCGATTGTGACCCAAATGGCCTTATCCGAGTCAAGAGCAAAGTTCCCTGTGACAAATCAATTCCAGGAGAGAAGGTAGCTTGCTCTCTTGTGACGTGATATGGCGGATGATGGATTTTGAAGTCGGCATCATGAATATCGGCACAGAACCACCATAGCACATCATTAGCAAGAAACTAGGCGAGAAAATAACTAGAGGCAAAGAAAACAGAGCATCGAAATTCAAATTCCCTCAGGGTTCAAGAAATCGTCACGCCGGCAAGAATTGCACGGAATTGATGGCGTAATCGATAATAAAGCAGGAATAGAATAATTCAGGCGCCGACTCCAATCTCGTTTGCAATGAGCAATTTTGATTCTAATGCTCTAAAGACGAATCAGAGTATAGTTCCACTCCCCTTAAGAACCCAAAAGCACTATAGCAAGTTAAACCGAGATGCTAAATACGACATTCTCAAAATGCCAAACTGGCTTCAGGCCACAAGCCAAAGTAACTTGTAAAAGATACGTCAAAATATAGAGCAAGAAATTGGAAAATAAATCGCCAAGTTAGAAGCTCAGCTATAGCCCCAAGCTCCAAGTTAAATATCTTGGCCATCACCCCGATCTCCAAATCAGATCGGCCATCGCCTCGAGCCCCATGAAAAGCAACTTAGCGCATAGGCCGACCTATTAGTGCAAAATAAGTTCGAACCTTGCTTAGTGTTAGAGAATAATATAAACCATTAAAAAGGCATCATCCAATGACTTAAAGTTTTGGGTTGAAGTGGTTCTTTACATGGTATTAGAGCTTCAGTGACCATAAGGTCACGGGTTCGATCCTCACCGCTCCCCACTTTCAAGTGAAATTAAATAAGTACAAGGTAAAAAAAAAAATTGGGCCTGTGCAATATCCATTCTTCAAGCCCAAATGGCTCTTGCGTGAGGCGGTGTGTTAGAGAATAATATAAACCATTAAAAAGACCATCACCCAATGCCTTAAGGTTTTGGGTTGAAGTAATTCTTTACACCTAGAAGATGTAATTTGGCTAATGCAACTCACTAACAAAGGCTCAAGCAACCCTGACGAGTACGCCAGGGACCAATAACTCGGTGCCCTCCCCTAGCTACATCAGGACAAACTGAGGCTCGTCTACAAGACACACAATGCATGGCGGCTCAATGCCACAACGCCCTCATCATTTGATAGGAACTCAGCCACAACCACCTTGGCTATAACACCTAGGAGCCCAGAAACCCAAAGACGGTGTGAAAAAGGAGGAGAAATTCTCTGGAAACCAAGTGCAAAATAGGAAGTACGAAACGCAAATGAGCAAGACCAAAACACACAAGCAACGTGTAACGGGATCTTTGGGAGTGAAAATGAAAAGGCAGGGGCAAAACAGACATTTCACAGGGGGAATAACGTCCCTGAGATAGACGTTTGCAGCAGCTCATTATCACACACGAAACGCGAAGGCGGAACGCGTTCTCAACGCATGCCGCGCCAATCAGGACGTGACACGTGTAAAGACATAACCACTGAAAACAGGCGTGAAAAAGCTAAAAGGTCACCACACATGGGCGACCCATTCAGGGCGGCATAAGAGGGGAGACCTTTTTGACCCCACGAGAATGAGACATGAAGCTCAAGCCACCACAGCTAACCCAGAAACCCCAAGTTGGCCAAGAGTTGATCTATGGAATTAGATGGGCTTATACCTCGTCCAAAAGCCCTAAAGCAGCTATGACAACAGTGAACAACGCTCGCAACGCCATAACTGGATGTTGCGATCACGACAAGTATACCGCCCGTTTCAAGTAATAGAGTTGTGAGAAAGCTTATTGTCCCACGAGGATTGAAGCACCAAGTACTATTCACACTAGTCACTTTAATTTGGACAATTCGATTTGGTTGTTGATAATAATTGTTGAATTAAAATAAAATAAAATGAAAAGTAATTTTAAAGAAAAACAATAAAAAATATGCAAGAACGATTAAAGAACGATTTAGGAATTGTAATAAAGAACTGTAGTCAGGGCACACTTCACCTTTGATCCTCCCATATTAATAAAAATTAATTCTTATAATCAATTATTTCAATTGTTCAGACAATTCATCTTCTTTAAATTAATTGGTTAGATTTTAATGTCTTAGTGTATTTAACCCTTTAACCCAATTACAATTCTAATGTCTTAGTAATCCTTCTTGAATTAAGCATTAAGTTCAATGAATTAAGAAGTCTGCAATTCATACAAGCCTATGTCTAGATCATGCACAAATTGTTATTTTACCCTAGTCAGAATTAAAACCCCGATATGTCTATTGTGAGTTTTAACCCTCAAAACTCTGTAAGAGTGATCAGTTCTAATAAGGATATAGATTTTTCATTCAAGGTAAAATATTTAATTAAAATAAAATAATTATAAACTCAAATCAAATACCAAAAGGGGTTCACATCAGATCCATGACTCTAACTATAAAAGAAACTTAGCCAGACATAGTTGGCTTAAACAAAATAAAGACATAAAAAAGAATAAGAAGTCATGATGAAGAAGAAGAAGAAGAAGAAGAAGAAGAAGAAGAAATCAATGGTGCTATTTTTCTTCTAATTCCTCTCTCTCTCTCTGAAAACTTCAACCCTGGTATCCGGTGTTCTTTTCCTTCCTGAGTGTGCTTAGCTTCTTTTGTGTTTCCAAGAGTTGCCTTTTTATAGTGATGAAATCATATCTTTTAATTTTTCATAATATCTTCAATGAAATCTTCACTAGAATCTCCAATCATATCTTCAATCAAATCCTTAAAATCTTACCTTTTATATTTAAAGGAAAAACTTTCCTTAAAAATATTTAAAGGAAGATTCAATAAGATCTTCAATGATTCAGAAATCCAAATCAAATCCACTTGAGCTCTCCAATTTATCTCTTTATTGAGCTGAAAATTACTGCAAAATATAAGAATTTTTATGAGAATATTACTGAGAATAAAATAACACTTTAATTATAATTCTCATAACTTTTAATTATTTTTAAATCAATTTCATGCTCATATTAACCCTTAATATATAATAAATTGGAGACTCATCGCTGGACTCGTGATCCGGACCTTGTCACACCTAGGTGGAGCTTACCCACATAAAAAGGGGCGCAAGATGGCCCAAGAACTCCAAATGGACATCAACCAAATGGAATCCTAAGACAAAATGGACCCGGACGTGGTCGAGACGTAAGAAAAAACATCACAGCCTAGCAGCTCGAACATTCTAACTTCCGGACTGGGGTGCAACTGTTATTGACCCATCTTATGGGCCTATATCCAATAGCCCACAACAGATAATCACCTAAGAAAGATAAAGAAACAATCCTATTTGATAATATATCAATCTTATCATATTACTAGTGGATATCGGGGGGCCCAGTATTCCCAAGATGCTCAGAATTCTACTCCTACAAGGTAACCCATCTATAAATAAGGGGTTAAGCCAACTAGGTATATACTCTTAACTCCATACTCTTTTAGTTGTCACTGTACATACACCCAACGCCTTATGAGCAGGGGCGGAGCCAGGAATGGAGGGGAGGAGGGGCGAAAATTAATTTTTTTGTCTTGCATAATATCAATATTTTTTTTTACCTATTGATCTCGTAGGAATTCATTTAGGTAATTTCTTACCAAAATATTAACATTTAACAACATTTGAAAGACTGAAAAAAATGTACTATTGATCGGGTCCAACAAACATAAAAAGTAGTTTAAAGCAATAATTAAAAAAAAAGAATGCCTTAACTAAGACAATGCTTTTAACTACATTTTTAAAAAAGAAAAAAGAAAAAAGATAAGTTGGCCCAAAAAGTGAATCTTTTAAGTTAGAGCAATCACATTTTCTCTGTATGAAACCACTACACAAAGAGAAACACAACCATCCAAATGAAAAGAGAGCAAAAGGGTGGCAAAAAAGCCAAAGCTTTCATTAACCAAAATATAGCTTATGAAAATAAAAAAGAAAATGCAGAAAAGGTTACACATAACACGCACATTAGGTGAAGTGGACGAGAAATGAACGAGAAATGAACGTGGTATTATGAGAAAACCACCTCCAACACTTATCCAAATCACAAATTATTGTTACAAACAGTTCTAATTGACCATCAATCTCTTTCCCCTCCCCTTCTCCAAATTTTCATAGAGACGTCTTCTTATTTAGTTTATGTTTGTGTCCTGTCTCCTTTTACTTTTATCTGCATGATCTCTTATATTGCTTATTCATGTCAGCTTATTCATGTCATGTCAGTGTGTGTCAAATGAATGGGCTAAAGGAGTCTTCGGTGATGCTGATAACCTTACAGAAGAAAGTGTGGATGAAGTATTGAAGCAATTTATCAAAGATTTCGAAGAAGGGTCATTAGACAGCAAAGGCTGGCCTAAGTCTCTTGGTGCCTATATTGTATCTAAAGCTGCTATGAATGCCTATACAAGAATTCTTGCTAAGAAATTCCCTGCTGCCTGCATCAATAGTGTTTGCCCTGGTTATGTCAAGACAGATATAACCCTCAATACTGGCGTTTTAACAGTTGAAGAAGGTGCTGCTAGTCCTGTAAGGTTAGCACTGCTTCCCAATGGTAGTCCATCTGGCCTCTTCTATTTCAGGAGTGAAGTATCTTCCTTTTGATTGCTAGTACTTTTTTTTTTATGTATTGTGGTGTTGAAAAACTACGTTGCTTTTCCATAATGCCTAGCTTATGATTTCTTTTTTTATTGTGTGGTATCTTAGTATCAACTTTTGTCTTGTTCAAACCTAAGTTCCTCTTCACACTGAAGTACCCTGACATTGTCTGCTATCCTATTTGTATTTGTCATTTATTTATCATTTAAGGTAAGTAAATATTAAAAAGGCATATCCTAATTGACTCACTTGAATGAAATATTTTCAGGGTTGTTGTATTAGAAGATATCATATTTAAAATATTTTTCTAAATGAAAAAAAATGCCTTTAAATCTCAAACTTTTTTTGATTTGCCAGAATTTAGAATCGTTCAATTTTATCCTTAAACTGTAACAATTATATGAATAGAGCTTTTCATTCACCTTTTATTAAATTTTGAATGGATGAATGAACTGGTGTGATCTAAACCCTTCGGATCTTTACAATTTTAACTTTTTTTTTTTAAATTCAAGTTTAACCTATTTATTATCTTTAATAAATTTAACATAAAAAGAAGTAATATTTAAAACAATTGAAAAATCAAAACACATGTTTATGTGGCGAAACACCGAGAATGTTTTGTTCAACATGCACTTTCACTAGATTTTGTTTTTTCAAATAAATTATTTTAATATTTGTATGTGAAAAATGAAAATTGGGATGTTCTTGTAATATATTATCTTTAAGAATTGCAATATATTTACGTTAAGAATATATGATATAAATTTTTTATTTTGTGTGTGTAAATTAAGTAAATATGTTTTGGCCAATATATGCTTCCAATTGCCACCTTTTTTGATCTCTATATCTCCCTGCACCACTTTCATTTTCAAATTGTAACTATCTAGCTTAGATTCCTAAGGAAACAAAAATTTAAATTGAGGTGGTGGGAGCTTTTGGAACTGAGTAGTGTTAGTCTGATAAATTAATGTCACATATTTCAGGCTTTTGACCATAGTAACATAAAAGAGATTTTTTATCGGATTGATTCAAAATTTCAAATATTTTACCAAAATATTGCTATATGAGACACGAATGAAGGTGTGTGCGTTTGAGTCGCGTATAGAAGATGTGCATAGATAAATATACATCTGTCATATGATGGACACGACAAGTTGCACATGAGAGTGTGTTCGTTCAAGTCGCACGTGAAGGTAATGCATTACATTGCGCCTTATGTGGCAAATGCACATTCATCCATGCACAAGTCACGCACCTTTCTTGAACAGACTCATTCTCTCCACGCATTTCATGATATTATTTTAATAAAATATTTATATTTTAAATTAATAAGTCAACATAAACTATAATATATTACAGATTTCATCCGGACAGTTTGCTTTTATAATTGATTAGTTTTCCCTTTCTCTCTGAGTTATCTAACTCAAATTTAAAATTTTTGGCAATCTACATAAATTTTATTTGTACATGTATAAACAGCAATGAGAATTTCGTGCATGATTATTGGTGTTTTATCAATTCTCTTCCTTAGGTTTCAAAGGAGCAGCTAGCACGTTCCAAGCTGCACTTTGCGGATGATGGAGAAGATCATATGCTCTGATTTTATTATTTTAATTTTTTATTAGTTTTAAAATTATAAAAAATTAAACTATTAGGATGAAAAAACATATGGGGCCCTTAGATTATGCCATACAATTTTTCTTTACCAACCATTTGTTTGTATAAATGTAATAGTCAAAAGGATTACATTGGAATTTTAAACTGCACGGTGACAAATGGACTAAAGTTTAAGGAGTCTAAATATATTTTTACTCTACAAAATAATTTTAAATATGATAAAATCAAATACAACAGCAACCAGAGAGACGTACAAATGAGAAACATAAAAAGCTGACAAACAATTGCATGATCGGTGTCTCATGCATATATAGAACATGCATGCATATCCAGATATCCTTGTTATTGTTCTCCTAATTAACATCACAATTCTAACATCAAACTTCAAAACTGAAGAATGGGAAAAGCTAGGGAAAGGTAGAATAAGAATAGCACTTATCCTTCCAAGTTGTCAGTGCTTCTTAGTTTAAAACTCCAAACTTTCAATCCCTTTGTTAAATATTACATTCTCCAAATCTCTTTTCCTATCGCATTGCTTCTTCTTTTTTTAACCTTTTGGGATGTGGGGTTTACAGCTAGCTTTAGCTAGGATCTAGGTGGTGCTTACAGCTAGAGATGAGAAAAGGGGTCTTCAAGCTTTGGCAAAACTGTTTTCATCAACTAGCTAGACGTGGCTGATGCTAAAAGTGTAGCTTCTCTTGCAGATTTTGTTAAATCAATATTTGGAAAACTTGATATTGTGGTAACATGGAAATTTGATGCCGTCTATTTTTGTTTTTGTTTGTTTTCATTTTTTTCAGTAAATGAATGTTTGTGAGCATTGAAGGTTGTCAGTGAAATGCAATTGTGCATGTTAAGAATGTTCTGCATATTTATATTTTACTTTTCTTTATTTGGTATAAAATGTCTTTATTATGTATCAGGTTATGCTCCTTCTTGTATTCTACTGCATTTTGTACCGAGCAAACTTCAGTTGCCATTTAATAACTTGATAGATTTTTTTTTCCTTTTATATATGGGGTTGCATTTTCTCATGCAACATGAGAGGAGCTTTTCTCCTACACACACAATCAAGTGGGCCCACTAGTTTAAATAAAAAAGGAAAATGAAAGAAAATATTAACACGGAAATCAAGCTCTCACTAACATGAGAGATGACTATTCCTACAATATAAGTGTTGATCTTTTATGAGAAAAACAAACATCAGAAACAATATTGTGCAACAACTTATTTTATTCTGACTAATGAACTTGTTTTTAAATACAAAACTGAGCTCATGCGGTTGCTACTAACCAGCTGATTTTGTTGGTCCACAAAATCAGCAACAAACTAACAAAGCAATAACAGTAAAATGCAGTAAACAAACTCCTAAACAAAAGACTAATCAATTTAAAAAACAACTAATTAACTCCTAAAAAATAGGACATCAACAGCAGCCTTGAAACACCAACATTCTCCTCCTGGATCAAGTGCTGCTTTCACATCTAACTGATACACTTTCCATCCTTGTTGAGCTGCCAAGGCAAGAATCATTCTAATTGTATCTAGTCTTGCAACCGGAGGAAAGGTTTCTGAGAAATCAACTCCCCAAACCTGTGCATATCCCTTCACCACTAACCTGGCTTTATGCTTATTCACTGAGCCATCAGGATTGAGTTTGGTCCTGAAAACCCATTTTACTCCAATCACTTTCCTGTCCTCAGGTCTTTCTGTTAGCTCCCATGTCTGATTTTTTTCTATCATAGCCAACTCTTCCTTCATAGCATTCATCCACCTCTGATCACTTTTAGCTTCCTCATAACTTGAAGGTTCCAAAACAGCCACACTACACCTCTGATATATATCAGTCAGAGATCTGGTACCTCTAATTGGATCATCATCTACTAGCTCATCATAATCCAGTGAGACCTCTTTATGCTTTGCTCTTGGCTCATCTGTCCAGTCCCACTGCTCATCTTCTAGGAACTGAACATCCCTGCTATTGATCACCTTCTTTGTTTGTGGTTGATAGATCTTGTAGGCTTTTGACACCAGACTATAGCCAATGAAAATTCCAGGTTCGGCTTTTTCTCCCAGCTTGTCTCTCTTGACCTGTGGAATGTGAGAAAAACACAGACAACCAAAGACTTTCAAATTTTTTAGAAATGGCTTGAAACCAAACCAAGCTTCGAAAGGTGTCTTCTTTTCCAGTACCCTTGTAGACAGTCTATTTAACAAAAAAACAGCTGTGTTTACTGCTTCTGCCCAAAATTCTTTTGGTAGATTCTTCTCATGCAGCAGACACCTAGTCATTTCCATAATGGTTCTATTCTTTCTTTCACTAACTCCATTTTGCTGTGGAGAATAAGGAACAGTAAGTTGATGCTCAATTCCAGCTTCCTCACAGAAAGTGTTAAACCTTTGTGAAGTGTATTCTGTTCCGTTATCAGATCTGATGACTTGAATTTTGCAGCCACTTTGAGTCTCAACCCATCTCTTAAACTTCATAAATATCTCAGCAACTTCTGACTTTTGCTTCATAAAATAAATCCAGCACATTCTAGTATAATCATCAACGAAGATAAGAAAATACCTGCTGCCATTTAGTGAAGGAGTCACGTGAGGATCACAAAGATCTGTATGAATTAGTTGTAGCTTCTTTGTAGCTCTCCAGGTGGATTCTTTGAAAGGAAGTCTTGTCTGTTTGCCCAAAAAACAAGCTTTGCACCTTGTGATCTGCTCCTCCAGGATTGGTAACCCAGTTGCCATTTCATTCTTCTGCATGAATAGTAAGCCTTTGTAATGAAAATGCCCCAACCTTTTGTGCCATATTTCTGAATCACTAGCCTGACACTTGAATGCCGCTTGCTCCTTCTCAAGGGGATTTAGAGAAAAACTCTTTTGTTGCATCTTTATTCTGAACAGCTCCTGACCATTTGAGTCAAAGATCAAACACTTCCCTTCTTCAAATATCACTTTAAATCCCTTTTCTACCAACTTCCCCACACTCAGCAAATTCTGATCAATATCAGGCACGTACATCACACCAGAAACCAGCTTAGTTTCAGCATAGCTCTCTATTGCTACAGTCCCTTTACCTTTCACTTCTAGATACTCTCCATTTCCAATTCTCACTCTTGACTGCAATGACTTGTCAAGGTCTCTAAATAGCTTTTCATCACTTGTCATGTGATTTGTGCAACCACTATCAACAAGCCAATTATCACATGGAGCACTAGAGGAGAAACAAGAGGCAGCAAATAATTGATCTGCCTCATGCTGGTCTGCAACATGTGCCTCACCTTGCTGCTGATCTCCTTTTTCTTTGCAGAACCTTTCAATGTGTCCAAGCCTATGACACTTTCTGCACTTCACATCTGGCCTCTTCCAACATCTGAAGTGTGGGTGATTCTGCTTTCCACAATGCTTACATGAGGAATGCCCGCCCCAATTGTTCTTAGAGTTGATTGCATTGTTCTCTCCTGCAGCAGCTTCTGAACCACTACTGTCATCTCCTTTCTTCCATCTTACATTATGCTGTTCTTTAGCTTGCAAAGCTCCTTCTGTACTTCCTTCAAGCCTCATTAACCTTCTTTGCTCTTGTGCTTGCAGAGCACTTAGCAATTCTGCCAACTTGATTTGAGACAAATCCTTGGTATTCTCCAAAGATGCAATGGTTGCTTCAAACCTTTCGGGCAAGGAGACAAGAACCTTTTGCACTAGCCTATTATCAGAGATGTCAGTGCCTAGAGCTCTTGCCTGATTTGCAATATTTACCAACTTATCAGAATACTCCTTAATTGTTTCAGACTCTTTCATCTGCAATCTCTCAAATTATGTGATTAGATTCAGCCCCTTCATGCTTCTAATCCTCTCATCTCCTTTATACTCATCTTTGAGGAGGTCCCAAATAGCTTGAGCTGATTCACAAGCCATAATTCTGCTGAAAATGGCAGGTGAGACATCATCATATAAACAAGATTTTGCCTTTGCTTTTCTTGTTATCCTCTCCTTATGAAACTTGATCTGATTGATGGTTGGATTATCAGGAAGGGGAGCAACTTCATAATCTTGTTCTACAGCTTCCCAAAAATCGCAACCCTCTAGATAGGCTTGCATTCTCACTGCCCATGCTTGATAATTTTCTCCATCGAATATTGGTGGAGCCATTGCTGAAAAACCACTTGATCCTCCCTCCATTAATTTCTCAAGTCACTCACAGCCCCTTAAGATCAAGAAGGCTCTTGATACCAATGTTGATCTTTTATGAGAAAAACAAACATCAGAAACAATATTGTGCAACAACTTATTTTATTCTGACTAATGAACTTGTTTTTAAATACAAAACTGAGCTCATGCGGTTGCTACTAACCAGCTGATTTTGTTGGTCCACAAGATCAGCAACAAACTAACAAAGCAATAACAGTAAAATGCAGTAAACAAACTCCTAAACAAAAGACTAATCAATTTGAAAAACAACTAATTAACTCCTAAAAAATAGGACATCAACAGCAGCCTTGAAACACCAACAATGAGATTTATTTATCCCTTTATATATATACATACATATATATATATATATGAGTTAAGAAAATTTTCTTGATAGCTTTGAAGGGAATATCATGACTTCTCATTTTGATGTTTGTACATTGCAGGTTAACAATGCAGGGATTAGTGGAGTTGTAATTAAAGACAATGATTTATTCACTTTAGCGGTCATGAATCGTGAAGTAAGTATCTAGGCTTGTTCTGGCATCTAGTAAATAGATGAGAAAAGTTTGCTACTTTTTTTTGTCCATCTTATCTTAAATTCTAATTATAGAAAAACCTTACAACGAGAGGGTGAAAGTTTTCATAATTAATGATTGGAGGTCTTTGGCAGTGCAACTATGTTTTATAGGCTTTTTGACCACTGTAGCCCTTTATTAATAATTATTTACCAAATTGCCCTCGGTTAGAAACTATTACGAAAAATTAACCCTCCAAACAAACATAACACCAATCTGCCCCTGTTTGACCGTTGACCACGAAGCATACCCGGGTACCCCACTCCTTACCCGGGTATATTTTAAAAAAATCAACCATACCCGGGTATGGAGTGGGGTACCCGGGTATGCTTCGTGGTCAACGGTCAAACAGGGGCAGATTGGTGTTATGTTTGTTTGGAGGGTTAATTTTTCGTAATAGTTTCTAACCGAGGGCAATTTGGTAAATAATTATTAATAAAGGGCTACAGTGGTCAAAAAGCCATGTTTTATATGTCAACCTAAACTTAACTATGGTGCTTATCTTTCAACTCTTTAGAATTTTTGAATTGTTTCTTTCCTTTTGCATTGTAAATGGCATAGTATTTGTGAACTCTGGGTGCCATATTAAATTCAAAACTGTTGTGGAAACTCTGGTTGTTAGAAAGTTTGTAATTGTTTTATTTTTGGGCAGGGGATATTTATAGGGCTATGAAAAACTTCTGTAATGGGTTTGAGTATTGACACATTTACAATTCTTGGTGAATCAGACAACTGGAGGAGTGGAAGAAGGGATTCAACAGTTATTTTAGCACCATAATAATTTATTTGCAAGCATTTTTCAGCTAATTCGTATGTTTGAGTCATTGCCTTTGCCATGTCATCTTCTGATAATACCTGCAATAGATTCTTAAGGTTTTTCCATAAAATCTGACTTAAATAGAGTAAAGGAAGATTAAAAACTTGAAAAAAACTATAGTGTTTAGGTAGATTACTGGAGTGAAATTTTGCTTATATTACTGACTAAATCTTGATTCATCTCTAGTGAATAGTTGATAATTAGAGTCATATTGCCATCCATATGTTTCTTGGATTTGAACAGAAATAGTGACATGTTCCATCATCTATCCTTGAGGGTCTTATACTTTATAATATAGATATATAGATATATTTGCATCGTCTTTTCCAACAAGTTAAAAAATGGACAAAATAATATACTCAATTACGAAAAGCAAATGCTATTTATTAATTTTTGGTAGTAGGAAATAAGCCTCGTTGTATAAGAAATGGATCTCCATCACTAATCCAAAACCCGTATGATAGTTAATAAAAGTTGTAATTGGCCTTCTATATGATATTGAAGCAAAATTTTCAGCTTCTTTCCCTGCATGTATAAAAAAAAATTCATATAGATACTGTGTTAGTTTATTATTTTCTCTTGTTTCCTTTAATTTGCATAAGGTCTTATTGCTTGTTCATGTCAAATTCAGAGTGTACCAAATGGCTGGGCTAAAGTAATCTGCAGTTATGCTGATAACCTTACAGAAGAGGGAGTGTTGAGGAAGTTTCTCGATGATTTCCAAGCAGCTTCATTAGAAAACAAAGGGTGGCCTAAGACCCTAGGTGCCTATATTATCTCTAAAGCTGCTATGAATTCCTCTACAAGAATTCTTGCTAAGAATTTCTCTATGTAAAGAACCTTGGGATACATCACCCCAAAAGCTAGCTCTAAGGGTGAGAGTGCTCAAGGCCTTATAAACTCCACATTAGTTGTTCTTCAACCAATATGGGACTATATATCTCAACATGCCCCCTCACGCAAGAGTCCTCTTGGCTTGAAGCATGGATTATGCAATAGGCCCAGCCTACCTGTGCTAAGAAACGCCACAAGAGAAAGTGAGAGGCGGCGAGGCTCTGATACCATGTAAAGAACCTTGAGATACACCACCCCAAAAGTTAGCTCTAAGGGTGGGAGTGCTCAAGGCCTTATAAACTCCACATTAGTTGCTCTTCAACCAATGTGAGACTATATATCTCAACACCCTACTATGTGCATCAATAGTGCTTGCCCTGGTTGTGTCAAGACAGATATAACAGCAAATACTGGCTTCTTAACAGTTGAAGAAGGTGCTGCTAGTCTTGTGAGGCTAGCACTACTTCCCAATGGTGCTCCATCTGGACTTTTCTATTACCGGAGTGAAGTTTCTCTTGCTAATGGGTTAAGTGAAGTGTATATAAGTAGGAGGATGCATGAATCCAATACTTTAAGTGATACAAACAGTATCACACAAGAAGGCAGAGGACGTAGAGTTAAGGGTGCTCCTACATGGGCTATTGATTTTGTTAAACAGTAGAAGTGTCTATTGGGCTGTGGGCCATAAGAGATCCATTGTATTAGTTGGTATAACATTCATATGTACATAGGAAGTATACGTGTCAATCCGCATGGCACCTTAGATGTGTCTTTTAAATAGAACAACATGTGTAAGGAAAAGGCATTGATCAATTGTTAATAAAAATTTGGTTCTGTTATTCAGTTACAGAGAGTATCTCTGTATCATTGGTGCTTTCATTCTTGTGGAGTCAAGATTCCTAACCCATAACAATCATGAAGCTTCAAGAACTTGCTGAGGAATTTACGCAGTATCGCGAGCAGAACAACAAGAGAATGGAGCAACTGTTTGCAACAATGGAGACTCGTTTCCAGGACATGCAGAACACGCTTCGTGATTCGGTTCTATCGTCACAAGGTACAAGTTCTGATAATCACAGTCATAATTTGGGTTCACCAGCACAACGTATTGTTCATAATCACACTACCAACAATGAGGATCCACGTTCCGTGCTCAAGTTTATCAAACCAGAAATACCTAAGTTTGATGGGAAAGACCCACACATATGGATTTTCAAAACGGAATTGTTCTTCAAGATTCAACAGGTTCCAGAACAGCTGAAGATGGAATTGGTAGGATTGAGGATGGAAGGAGTAGCAGCTGACTGGTTCCAGTGGTTGTTCAGTAGTGGGACTATTCAGTTGTGGGAACAATTTGTTCGTGCAATTAAGGAGCGTTTTGGTCCTTCTACCTATAAAGATGTTCGAGGAGTTTTAGCCAAGCTCATGCAATCGGGTTCATTATCTGATTATATGGCAGAATTCCAAAAGTTGATGAATCAAGTCACCAATATAAAGGATGAATTGTTGATGACTTTCTTCGTAGCAGGTTTACATTCTGAATTACAAGGTGCAGTTCAACTTAGATGGCCTACTTCCTTACACCAAGCTATGCAACTTGCTGTAGCTTATGATAGCCATCATTGTGAGTTGCGTTCTTCCTTCCAGAACCAACCAAAGAAGTTTGTTCCTCGTTCTAATATTAAAGTTACATCTGATAAGGTACATTCTAATCCTTCACCTTCGGTCTCAGCTTCAAGTTCCAGTTTACCTGTTAAGAAAATGTCATCGGATGCCTTGGCCAAAAAGAGAGAATTGGGACTGTGTTATGTTTGTGATGAAAAGTGGTCTAAGACACATAGATGTAAATCTCAGATGTTAGTCATGATTGTTGACTGTGAAGAGTCAGATGGAGAATCTGAGGAAGAAATTATCTGGCAAAAGGAGGGGACAAAAGATACTTCCCTGGATGCAGCCTTGCATTCTTTGTCCGGGAGAGCAGATGCCAAATCCTTGGTGTTGTTGGCAGAATTGGGTAAGGGGAAGGTAAAAATCTTGGTGGACTCAGGTAGTTCCCATAACTTCATTCAGAGAAGTTTGGTTGAGGAGTTGCAATTACCTATGGTTAAAACCAATAGAATGAGAGTCTTCATGGGAAATGGTGAGTTTCTAATTTGTGACAAGAAATGCCTACAAGTGAAAATGGTCATCCAAGGTCATACAATTGTCACTGATTTGTATGTTCTGGATTTGTGCACTCTCAACATAGTATTAGGCATGCAGTGGCTTGTAACATTGGGAAGAGTCACCCACAATTATGGTGAACTTTCCATGGAATTTACTTGGAACAATAAGCTGATCTTATTGAGAGGCATTATTCCACAGCAGCATCAACAAGTGGTGTATGGAGAGGATTCACAATGTCATGCATTAGCAGTTCAGGAACAACAGGTCGAGCAGTCTGCAATTGACCCTGCACTTTTACACATCCAAGACAAAATTCCAACAGCCTTATGGCCTGTCTTGCTGCAATACCAGAAAGTGTTTGAGTTACCTAAAGCATTACCTCCGTGTAGAGACTTGACACATGCTATTCCACTGGTTGATGAATCCCAAGCTGTTAAGGTTAGACCTTATAGATATCCACATCATCAAAAAGAGGAAATTGAAAGGCAAGTAACTGAACTTTTAAAATCTGGGTGGATTCAACAAAGCCATAGTGCTTTTTCATCTCCAGTACTGTTAGTTAGAAAACATGATAGCACTTGGCGCATGTGCATAGACTATAGAGCCTTAAATGCTTTAACAATCAAAGATGCTTTTCCTATACCTACTATAGATGAGCTTCTAGATGAATTGCATAATGCCAAGCTGTTTAGCAAGTTGGACCTACGTTCAGGCTATCACCAAATACTCATGAAGCAAGATGATGTTCACAAGACAGCCTTTAGAACTCATGAAGGTCACTATGAGTTCAAGGTTATGCCATTTGGCTTGACCAATGCCTCAGCCACCTTCCAAGCAACCATGAATCACATTTTTAGACCATTTTTGCGTAAATTCATAGTTGTTTTCTTTGATGATGTCTTAATTTACAGCTCCTCCATGACAGATCACATAACTCATTTAGCTACAACATTGAGTTGCTTACTTGACAACTTATTTTTTGTCAAATTGAGTAAGTGTGAATTTGGAGCAAGTGAGATTGGGACATGTGGTGACAGCAATGGGAGTTAAAGCTGATCCTAGAAAAATTGAGGCTATGCTTGAATGGCCAACTCCCACATCCCTCAAGCAACTCAGAGCTTTCCTTGGGCTGACAGGTTATTTCAGAAGGTTTGTGCAAAGGTATGCTTCTGTTGCTCAACCACTCACTGATTTGTTGAAGAAAGATAAATGGGAATGGACTTCGGATGCTACTCAGGCTTTTCAAGCTTTGAAAGTTGCCATGTCTAGCACTCCAGTCCTCCAATTGCCAGATTTTACTTCTTCCTTTGTAGTTGAGTCTGATGCTTCCAGTGTGGGTGTTGGTGCTGTATTACTCCAGAAGAATCAACCTGTATCTTATTTCAGCAAACGATTGGGACCAAGGTTGGTTGTAACATCTGCTTATGTTAGGGAGCTATATGCTATAACTGAAGCAATAAAAAAATGGCGCCATTACCTTCTCGGTTCTCACTTTATCATCAAAACTGATCACCAAAGTTTGAGAGAATTGTTGAAACAAACAATTCAAACACCTGAACAACAAAAATATGCATACAAATTGATGGGGTACAATTTTAGCATTGAATACAAGTCAGGATCTTCCAATATAGTTGTTGATGCCCTTTCTAGACAGTTTACAGATGAGGTGACAATGCAGTGTTGTGGTATGCATTCTGAGCCTTCCTTGGATGTATGGTTGAAGATTAAGGAAGAAAATCAAACTGACACTGAGTTGATGGCAATTCACAAAGCAATTGAGGATGGATCACATCCTGATCCTGCTATAGTTCGGAGAGATGGCATACTGTTTCACGAGCACAGATGCTTGTTGTGGTCTACATCCACCTTGAAGCAATTATTATTGACAGAAGCACATTGTACACCCATGGGTGGCCATGCTGGTGTTCAGAGGACTTTCCTTCGTTTATCAACTTCCTTCATGTGGAAAAACATGAGACATGATGTCAAATTGTTTGTTAAAGAATGTTCCATTTGTCAACAGATCAAAAGCTCCACTCAGGTTCCCTTGGGTTTATTACAACCTTTAAAAATACCAGATGCTATCTTTGATGATTTAACCCTTGATTTCATTACTGCTTTGCCCAAATCTAATGGATACACTACTATATTGGTAGTAGTTGATAGATTATCGAAATATGCTCATTTTGGGCCATTGGCCACATCACATACAGCAGCTACTGTCGCCACTTTGTTCTGTAATATGGTTGTTAAGCACCATGGATTTCCTAGATCATTGATCTCTGATAGAGATCCAATCTTTATGAGTAAATTTTGGCAACATTTGTTTAAGTTGAGTGGAACTAAACTCCTGGCCAGCTCTTCTTACCATCCCCAAACGGATGGGCAGTCTGAAGTAACCAATAGGTCCTTGGAGCAATACTTAAGGGCTTTTTGTTTTGAGGAGAATACTAAATGGTCACAATGGTTGTGTTGGGCTGAGTTGCACTATAATACATCAGTGCATTCAGCAATTCAGATGTCTCCTTTTCAAGCAGTTTATGGCAAGCTTCCAACTCTCATTCCTCCATACCATAAAGATACTGTTCGTGTGGAAGCTGTTGACATGATGTTACAGCAACGAGATGAAGTTTTGAATTTGCTTAAAGTTCACTTGCAGAGAGCACAATTGAGAATGAAGACTCAGGCTGATCGTCACCGCCAAGAGCGTTTTTTCCAAGTTGGTGATCGAGTATTGATTAAGTTGCAACCATATCGGCAGGTTTCTGTTGAACGCATATCTAACCACAAATTAGCTAAACGATTTTTTAGCCCTTATACAATTGAACAGGTCATTAGCCCAATGGCTTATAAGGTCAAGTTGCCTGAAGGAAGCTTAATCCATCCTGTATTCCATATTTCAGTTTTAAAACTGTTTCATGGTTCATCGAATCCTTCTTGTGCGTCCTTTCCAACAACCAGCATTGATAACAGACCAATCCAGGTTCCAGTAGCCATTTTAGCATCCAGAGTTCACACACTTGGAGGGAAACCTGTGCTGAAAAAGCTCGTGCAATGGTCTTCTACCGTACCTGAAGATGCATCTTGGGAGAATGCAGATGAGTTACATCATACTTATCCTCACCTTGAGGACAAGGTGGCTTTCCGAGGGGGGACTGATGATACAAACAGTATCACACAGGAAGGCAGGGGACGTAGAGTTAAGGGTGCTCCTACATGGGCTGTTGATTTTGTTAAACAGTAGAAGTGTCTATTGGGCTGTGGGCCATAAGAGATCCATTGTATTAGTTGGTATAACATTCATATGTACATAGGAAGTATACGTGTCAATCCGCATGGCACCTTAGATGTGTCTTTTAAATAGAACAACATGTGTAAAGAAAAGGCATTGATCAATTGTTAATAAAAATCTGGTTCTGTTATTCAGTTACAGAGAGTATCTCTGTATCATTAAGATTTTGGGTTGAGATATAATGTGCACCGACTTGCTACGGTTGGACTAGCTTAGCGCATTTAGCGCATTGATGGTGGTTTCCCGCTACGGACTTCTCTTGGACCCGCCTCACATGGGTTTCAAAGTCAGGTTGGACTTGGACTAGCCTGATATTTGGTTAGGAGGTGGGTTGAATACTTGGCCTCCAGTACCCCGAAGAGGGGGGAGCATGCCACCAATGTTGGGAGATTGTTGGGATATTTAAGTGTGAAATATATATATTTTTTTGTTATTTATGACTTTACATTAATTATTATTGATTTTTTTCTTACAATGTATTCTCCATGTAATAACGTGATATATTACATGATAATTCTGTTTATTTTGAGTCTATTTTAAGCACAGTATATCATGTTGTATTTCAGCTAATGTCTCTCAACTATTACGATTACGGTTAGAGTCAATCTGTGGTAAGATTACGGTTTGATTCATTGTGAGTAGGGGTGTAAATGGGCTGGGCTAGACCAGACTTTGTCTTTCCTGGCCCAAGCCTACGTAAAAAAAAATGAGCTTATCTGGCCTACTGGCCTATTAAAGGCTTTATTTGTAGGCCAAGTCCAGCATATTTTTAAAAATAAGAAAGCCTGACATGGCCTACAGGCTTTGTAGGTCTCCCACTGTAGATACTAAGCAAAGAAATTAATTGTATAGAGCAAAGAAAGTTCCATTCATGCATGTACTGGTACTTCTCATAAGAAAAAAATGACAAACAAGAAAGAGTCAACATAATACTCCAGCTCTAGACTGCATATCATAGAGGAATAAAGTCAAAGAAATGAGGAAAATAAGAAAAATATAATTATTGGGTGCTGAAATAAAGTCTCTAAGCAGAGGTGACTGTCGAAAATGGCCGGCTACAAGCACATGGGTTCTAAGAGAAAAGACGAAGCCGAGAGTGAGAAGCGGCGGTGCACATAAAAATTAGGGTTGGTAGTGGTACTTTGACACATAAAATAAATATTATTTTATTATTTTATTTTAATAAATTAAATAGGCCAGCCTACAAGGCTTTAGGCCGAGCTTGACAAAATTGGCCTATGACCTATTTGTTAAAAAAGTTTTTTTTATAAACCTAAGCCTACTCTACTTTTCTGAAAGGCTGGGCTAGAACAGGCTCAATATAGGTCGGGGTGTAGGCTGGGCTAGCCTGACCCATTTACACCCCTAATTGTGAGTGTAAAAAAGTTTTACATTTACATCTAAATGAAGTGATAATACAATACTTAATGAGTTTGACACCTCATATAGTTAGTTATTAACATAATCAAATTTTCCACATAAGATTAAAATTAAATAGTAATGTAATTTTTTTTACTTTGGACGAGTATTAAAATTAAACTTTAATTTTACTGACATTTTCAATTCTCTGTTCTCATTTTCATTTAGCTCTTTAATTTTGATTTTTAAATTGTACTCAAATATTTTTGTTTGAATCTTAATTATATATATTTTTCCTTTTGTGATAAAAGCTAAAGTAGTTTTGAATTAGTTTTTGCGTCATCAAGATTAAAGGTCTGTTTGATTGTATTTTTTTTATTCTTAAAATTATTTTGCAGAATAGTTAATGAAATATGTGTTTTTTGTGTTTTTGTTTTAAAATTTAAAGGTCAAAATATAAAACAAAAATAACTCAAACATGTTCTATAAATTTGATTCTAAAAACAAAAAAAAGAGTTATAATTTTCAAAATATTTTTTTACAAAACAGACCTTATCAAATATATATTTTTTGTTCTGAAAATAAAAAAACTATTTTTTGAAACATAATTCAAACAAACCCTAAGTCATTTTCTAGACAATTTTAAAGATGGACCTTCTGCTTTAGCCTAATACATTTTAGGATAATTAAATCTCCTAAGTGCATTTGTTTATTCATATGCTAATATAGTAAATTGCAATTAAAAGAGGTTCAAAAAAAAATGAAAAAACAATTAGGAAATAATAGTTCCGTCTCTTCCACCTTGTTTAAATTATTAAATAACGCCTCACCAAAAAAAAAAGTTTATTAAATAATGAAATTGATTTAATTAAATGATTAGTCCAAAAATTATTGGGCTGGATCACACACGGTTGAACCTGGTACCGTGGATGAAGGTCTTGGTAGAGATGTTCTTCGCGAGATGACTAGATGGTTGGCAAGATGGTCAACAAGATGGTTGAGCTGATGAAGAAGTGTTTGGGCAATTTGAGGAGATTGAGGACGGTACCTACAAGGCACTCTGGTGTTCAAGTTAGTTCGCTATTCAAGGTATTTTAGTACTGATGGATATATGATCTTACCTAGGCTTAATGCTTCTGTATTTATAATGGAGGGGTGCCTTACTTACACCGCAATGTATGTCGATATTCATTTCTATTGGTGGAGAATGGTAGCTTTCATAGGTTATGTTGTGGGCGAGATGCCTATAGTCGGGCTAAGCTTCCTTGTAGATGTCGCAACATGCAGGGGGCCTATCATTTAGTCATTGGTTCATGT